CTGCTCCTCAGGGTGGATGAGCATTACACGGAATGGTTGTGTTCTGGTTTTTTTCTGTTTAACTCAGCAGCTCCATCAACATCTCTCCAAAGATGAGCCAGAGTGGATTCATCTTTGACCTTTCTTATTACTAAGGAAAAATTTTACCCCATCTGAGAACAGTTTGAGAGCAGCCAAGTTAAAAGTACTTAAAGCAAGAGCCACTCTGCTACTCCCTATGTAAATGTGCTTCTGCTGATAACATTGGGATGACCAGAATAGCCCCTCTGAAACCACAGCAAGTCCTTCCTCTTCTTGCTGATTCCTCTGTGAGCGCAGGAGGAAGGATGGTCTTGTGGTTCACAGAGACTTGGCTGTCAGCATGCACAGCTGCTATTCCTGGTGGTCTGACTTCTCTTGTGACTTCTGCAAAGTTACCTAACTTCTCCATCCACTCAACTGCCTGCCTGCTGTAAGGACAGCGCGTAGCTCAGCGTTGTGCTTTAGTTTAAATGCCATTGGAAAACTTCATGGCTTGGGGTAGATGAGAATTGTCATAGTTTAATATTTTGTCTTTCATATAGAATTATTTTGTACGGTTTTATTTCTCTTTAAGCAAAATTTTCATCAGATGTGCAGTACCTTTATCTCCACATGTGCCTCGTTAAGACACAGAGACAGCTTTTCAAATGTCATTATTCTGCATTGCCCGGGGGAGGAATGTGGCAAACATCCAAAGGAAGCAAATCCAGAATCACTTCTGCTTCACCTTCATAGTTAAGGTCACTTTCAAGGAGGGAGATAGCGGCATCATTAGTACATGTTTCTTATAAACCTACCTCCAGGCAGCTGCTATCAGATAAATTGTCCACATCAAACAATTACTGCAAGTTTTCAATGTCTGGGTCATTTAATTCTGATAGATTATCCCAAGATACCAGCAGCACTGCAATGTGTGCCTGGCTAAGGGAGGTGATTTACGTGGCCCCAGCGAAACAAAAGCTGTGCCAGTACAAGTCCTTTGATTACTTACCAGTGATAACACTGACTTTGACAGAAAGCCAACCCGTGTGCAGGTCCTTTGTGACAGTGCTCACCTGGAAAGCTGCCTCCAAAGGCAACACAGAAGGAGGCAACACATTGCCGTGTTTTTTTAAATATTTACTACGGGTTACAAACGATTGTTTTTAAATATTTGAATTCCACAGAAACTGACAAAGCTATCAAACTGACAAAGGAAGGTTTCAACTCATAGTCCTCAAGCCTCACCTTATTCGGTATCAAGCTAAAAGCAGCAGCTACCTAAACAAGGAATAGATAAATTTCTTCCATCTTGACACTAAAGTTAAAATATTACTCTAAACAAATACTCAGGCAACCTTGACTTATAAATCTGTAATTAAATTCAGACGTCCTGTACAAATCCTAAAAAAAAAAAAAAAAAAGTAAAAAAATCAGGCGGTTCACCTGAATCTAGAGCTGGAAATATATCAAAGTCTCAGAGAGAAAGATATATATAATTTCAAGAACGTACATTAGAGATATAACTTCTATAATTATTTCTCCTTACATGATTGCTTTTTCTCCCTCCCTCTGGCACTTCGTAGCTCATGGGCTGCTGTAACAACTCAACAAAAGATGTCACTCCAGTCTGTCACAGAGATTTTTATCAGCAATGTATGGATCACCATTATCTTTGTTTTGCCATGCAGTTTCAGTAGCAGTTCGTGTTAAATAAAGCTATTGAGCACCAAATTATAGGTTTCTATTCACATCCTGATTTCTTAGGTATCAGCAAGGTGCCATTAACATCTGTAACAGCCTGCTGCCTTTTGTTATTCAGCATCTTCAACCAAATGATCTCAGACCTGTTGCAGAGATTGTAATCTGGCAATATTCATGGAGCTACTATGTGCAAAGCTTTTTTTTTTTATTTTCCAACATAAAATCAGAGCCAGCAGTAGTTCACCTCTCTTTTCCTGCTACACTAAACTCTTTTTCACTCCTTCTCATCAGCTCTTGCTTTTTCACCTTCTCTATCCAGAACATCACCCGTTCTACACAGAGCACAGACACGCGCAGCACTGCTGTCAGCATCTTTATCACACCCAGCCTGCAGGCTCAGCAGCTCTGTCTTCAGGGAAGTACTTTGTTTCAACTCCTTATTCTTCATCTTCGTTCAGTTTTAGTCACTCTTTATGTGAGTCCCACATTCAACAGTTGCATTGTAAACCCTGAGTGTTTATAACCCATGCGTTAATAGGATATACGTGGAAGTTAAGGGAAAAGCATGTAACTACAAGCTGCAAATAGTTCCACTGAGCTCCTGGGGATGGAGGTGCCCCCTTGACTCATCACCACACCGCTTGCATAACAAACCCAGTATCTCTACACAGAGCAAACCACATGGAAGTCAACTTCTAGCACCCGGCAACCCTCCAGAGCATCTCCTATTTGGCATCTCAGATTCTGGGTTATATCTTACAGCACAGTAGTGAACACGAACATCGGGAATTACTCAAGAGCAATGTATGTGTTTGGAACCCAGCCGTTCACTGAATGCTTTCTTCGAGATGCGGAGGGGCCGCAGAGAGCCGAGGCACAGGCAGAGTTCTGCTGCTGAAGGACCGCGACAGGGCTCGTACTCTGCCCGTGCTTATCTCATTGCTGAGCGACTCTCAGCAGCGAAAGATGGTGTATGAAACACGTTGCTACAGAATGGATTTATTCTATTCTTACGTAGCGGCTCGAGCGATAGGAAGCCCTCGGGCTCTCGCTTCGATCCCACAGCCCCTTACAGACCAACGGCCGCAGGTTTCCGCGCCGCCTGCTGCGGGGCCGGAGCTTTTTGCCGCAGCTCTCCATCAGACAGGGGGTGCTTTGAATCCTTCCCTTACTTTCCGCTGCCCGTGGGCTCAGCCCCCCGCCCCAACCTGAGGGGGCGGACTGGCGCCCTCTGGTGGACGGTGCGGGAACTGCCGGCACAGCGCCGAGCGACCCGTGGCCCCAGGGGCGTCCTCAGAGCGCGCTGGAGGAAGAAAGGCAGAAGTCCCTGAGACACTTCAGCTGCACCTTTCTGCTTCCCTTACGATACAGCAGCAAAAGGGCGGGTTCTGAACCTTCTCCTCCAGCGCTGTACACAGCTCTCACTTGCACACAAATTGCAGCAGAAGAGATGGAGACATCCCTGCCTGCTGAACTGGAGGAATGACTGGAGCCCATCATCAGGCAAGAAGCCATACTCCTCTCCCCAGGTGGAAGCCTGTCCTTAAGATTCCTTTGAATGTATCCCAGCCTGCCCTGGGACACAATTGCTTTTCTGGTTAACATCAGAGTTTGCGCACTGCAGTATTATTCACCTCACACACTGAAGGAGCAGACAGCTCCACAAACAAAGCTGTATTACTTGAACAAGTACTGCCCACACCATGATTTCCTTTTATCAGAACAGGAGGTGCGCAGCAGCACAACACCAGGCTGCACACCACAGCAGCACAGCCCCACAGCCAAACCCCACCGCACAGGAACAGAGCAGGAGCAGAGGCTGGGAGGAGACGTACAGAGGAGCAGAAGCAGGGCTGAGATGGAGATCGGCCTGTCACACTGCCTGTGGGATCACAGCTTCCTGCCATGGTGTCACACTATGGAAATGATGAGTGCCATCAGATTACTGTCCATCAAAGGCCTCACAGTGAAGCACGGATGTTAACCATGTTAACTACCTTCCTGTCTGCAGGAACAGATGAGAATTCTAAGCAAATCTTCCTCTTTATCCCTTTTCCCCTAGGCTAGAGAAAATACAGAAGTACAGAGAAACTATGAACTAAAACCAGATACTCCTTATGGGACTAGTGAGCAGTGTTTGATGTCTAAGTCAAAGTAACTTCAAGGGGACAGCAGTGCCCAGGAATGGTGCAGAAGCACTCCTGCTGTGGCTCCAATTCCCTGTAGAGAAATGCAACACTGCACTCACATCTCTTCCTGTGGCACACAGGAGACAATCTTCTGCCAAAGCTGGGCTGACTGGTAAAAGCAAATGAAATATTTATGAGTCAGATGTATCTGATATGCACACTGCCCCACATTCATTAGTGCAGATACTTCTGGGGCTGGGTTACAGTCAGGGGACCCATTACTGCCACCCCCAGCAGCAGAAGGCTTTTGTGTGGGCAAACAGAAGTTTGGGGAGACCCCATTTTCTGACTACCCCAGCACAACCCGACTGATTTCTCCTAACTCTTCCCTAACATCTTGCTCATAACAAAAGTAGATCACTGATGACGGAGGAGTCACAACTTGATACCTTTCTTCATCACATGGTCAGAAGTTGCAATTTCTTCCCTAGTGAAGCCTTTGCACAATCTGCCCTACTAGGGAAAAATAAGCTACACACTTGGGAAAGGAACACCAAAGCACAGCTCTTCCCTCTGTACTGCAAACAACCTTGGAGCTGACAGTAGAAACCTTGTCAGCAATCAACCGAATGTGAATGACTGCCTCTAGTACTCACGGGACAAAGGCAACCCTTTTTATCCGTTTCTTTTCAAAAGGATGGCTTCAGATGTACAGACAGAATCAAGACAGCAATCTGTAGCAACACTGAAAAGGAACTTATAAACAGGAGGGAGACCGACTTCTACACAGTTTGGTAGTGACAGAACAAGGAATAACTTCAACTATAAGAGCAGAGATTTAGGTTAGATATGGTCAGCATGAGAGATGTGGAATGAAGGAAAACCTCTAAGCTGTAAAACTGCCTGGGTTTCCTTCTCAAGAGGCAAAAAGAGATAAAATACACCTGCCGAGAGTTACCCCAGCAGCTGAGAGAGGAAGATGAACAGCAGCTGCTATAACCACTTGTTCTTTCAGGTGCAAAAGAGGAGATTCAAATGATTACAGATTTTTATCAGAGAAAAATCCTAATATATGAAATACAGCAAAATGATTTTTAGATGGGCCTTCTCTAGGGACCTGATAGCCACCAAGCAGATCTCATTCCCTCCCACAGTAAATCAAGAAGAAAATGACACTGAATGGCAACCTTGCAACATAGTCACTATTGCATTTTTTTTTTCCTTCAGTTGAAACCATTGGCTTTACTGAAGCATACGCTTACCTTCACAAAAGGTGAAGGTGAAAGAACAGAGAGGTAGTCCAAGGCCTGAGCTCAAAAGTCAAGGTGCTAAGCATAAGTGAATACAAAACATGAGGCTCTGAGTGAAATGTGGTCTGTGCAAATCAGCCAGCTGCCACTGGTTGTACATGCAAGATTTCCTTCAGAGATCACTAACACAACATGGGCTTCCCAGCACTGCAGGGGATCTCACAGGGTTTATTTAGATATGTGATTTGGCCTCCAGGATGCAGCCTGCTCAACAGGGAGAAAAAACATATTATAATAAGACTTCTGCCATATGCTTCAATATGCTGATTGGCTCCACAACAGGAAAGGCATACATTTAATTCCTACAATTAAATATAATTAGAGTATTAGACTAGGATGGGAGTGGTAGACAGGAGGTAATGAGTTGTGTCAAACACATAGCTAGGCTGTGAAGAGAAGAGTATTTGCTAAAAAGTCCAAAGATGGAGACAAAAGAGGGGGCTGGACTTTGTCCAGAGATGCTATACATTTTCAAGCAACATGTCCATAAAACAAATCAGTAACTGCACCATGATGCTGTTACAAGTTTTACACGTGGCAAGAAGTCTTCTACTTGCCCTCAATTATAGTGTTTTGATGTTGTGAAGAGCTAACATAAGCCTCAGTGCAGACCTTGATCCAGCTTGATCCCAGCATCACTGAGAAATGTTTAAATGTAGTACTCAGCAAACATAACAGGTAATGTTGTACCAGCTGTTATTCAGTCATACACTGGTGAAGCAGCTTTCTACTCACCAGCAGAACTCACTGGGAATTTTACATTTAAAAAGTATTTTGAGAAAAGAGGGGGAAAAGGGACTATTTTCTATTTCAAATTATTTTCATTGAAAGACAGACACAGGAATTGATACGAGCTATGGATTTTATCCTTACCTTAAAGCAGAGATGACGATCCTTGCTTTCTGTAATTCACACTGAAGTGTACTGCACTTAGGCACTAAGTTAATTCACAATGCCACAATCACAACTAACAATATGGCTCAAATGGGTTCGTGCTTCATCATCACCAACTGTTTTGCCTTTGTTGCAAAGATAACTCCAAGGAATTAACTCAGGTGTTTCATCTACACAGCTTTTTTTTCCTCTCAAATCAGTATTAGAATACAACAGTAGATGGCACTGCTCGAATTCAATGTGAAGTCATGCATTTCCTCCACACACATCAGGGGGGACTGCTGAGGCTCACCAAGGAGACTGATTCATACACAAACCATGCATGAACCAATTATTAATGATTGAAAACATCCTGCATTTGCTTTGTAATGAGTGCTTCTGTGCAAGTGCTCAAGCAAGAGCTCAACCATGGGTAAAATGTTAGCAAAATGCCAAGTGTAAGACAAGTCTATCCATTCAGAAGTTCATCTACTGTACTTTCACCTTTCAACAATGTTTTTTCCTTCACCCTATTTCCAAGAAATACCAGACATTCTGCTTTACGTGAGTCTACAGGGCACAAAACAGTCTGGATTTTAGTTTGTGTGCTACCAACATTATTTAAGAGAACCTAATGGCTACTTCAACCTCATACTGTCAGCAAGCAGAAGAAATACCTGCAGGGACAGCTTTGCTGCTTTAAAAGCATTCAATTAAATGGCTGTTCTGGGAGCTGCTCCAGCTACTGCACAACAGGGATGCACCAACTTCATACAGACAAGGAAAAGCTTCATACATATAAGAGAATGTCCTTCAATATGTGTATATGGATACTAAGTAGATTTAAATATATACACTATACACACGATACCACTGCTGACTATTTCACAAAACAGCCTAAGAGCTTAGAGATAGAAAACTCACACAATCATTTAGTTCATGGAACACAAGTAACACATACCCTGAATTTCACAAATATTGCCAAAATACAAAAGTATTTTTCAGTTGTCAGAACCTCAGACTTGCTTTAAATAAAGTAACAATTCATAAAGCAGGGCTGCTAATATACTAAAGCCGCTGTGTTGAATATCCACAGCCCTCACCAATTACATTTCCACAAAATAGTTTACATTAGGTTTTTTTTTTTGTTTTTTTTTTTTAACTTAAGCCTCAAAAGCCATTCCCAAGACCATTTAGATAACAGAGGTAAGCATTCAAAACCACACTTTCTTACACAACAAATAGCCTGCAGGTTAAGGCATCCTTTTATATTTCAGTAATTCATACATAGCAACATCACATATTGTGATACACTCCTTGCCATACCTCTCTACCTTCAGAGATGGTAATGGACTGAAAGCATACCAATATACACTGCTGCAGGCAAACACAGCCAGCTCTGATATTTGAAACAACAGAGCCCACAACAGCAGCTGGGCCTCAGAAGGCTGATTTGGCAGTGAAGCAGCTGCACACACAGCCCCACCCAACTTGTGATGCAGCACCCAATATTCTTTTGCAGAAAGCTGCCCAGCTGGGTTCAGCATTCAGCATTCTCAGCATTTCCACTACCAGGCAGGCAAGGCAGCATGGGCCTCCTTGGTGCAACTGTGAAGGATGCCACTGCTACAGCCTCTGGAGCAGATACACTGCATCCACCTCAATCATTAACTGTACGTTAAAAAAGTGGCAGCCTTGAATTCCAAGCCATTTCTACAGTACTAGCCAGTTTTCATCTTACTGAGCAGCACTGATGCCTGACATACCTCAAAGCAAGAACAAAGAAGGCTTTTCTTTGTCTATGAACTTATTAATTTAACAGTGACTCTGCCTGATTTACACCCTCTTTATGCTTGTTTCTCCAACTGAAGAGGTAGTACTAAATTATAAGCATGTTAGGTTTTTTTATACAATATACAGGGACCATCTCTGCATTCCCGTCTTGAAACAGAGGCATAACAAGGATGGTACTACTTAAAATGCTTCAGACTAAACATTTTAAGACAAGGGAGAAAGCAACCTGCAAATCTGTCACCACTCATCTAAGAACTTCTAAGAACGCACCTCCCAACTGCTTTATTTCACTATATGATAACACGTCAATGCAACACACTGAAAGCTAAAAGAAATTGGATGAAGTGGCTTTAACAGCTGCTTAGCATTTTATTTTCCCTGACCAACATACAACAAACTTCAGGATGATGATCAAAATATTTCCAAAAGGCAAGAAGCATGCTGTGCTACACTGGTAGTAAATCCATAGCTGACTATTCCTGTTGCCTCAGTGCTCTTTCAGCATAAGATGCCTGTAGTTGCAAGCAGCTGGAAATAATGGTTACAAGCTGTGCACTGAGAAATACATGCATTGCAGGTATGAGATGTCTGAAATAAATATACTACCCATGAAACAGCTCCTGCACGTGGAAGGGGCTTTCAATCAAGACCAGAGAACTCCGTTTCTCAGTAGGTTAATTTGGGAGTAACATTGTTAATACCCATGTTACAGTGAGACTGATTTTCTTTCCTGTGAGGGTGGAAAGGACCACACAACTCAGGCACTGAGATCAGTGCTTGATTATTGAGACATATCAAGGACAGCCTAGCATTTGCAGACAATTTCCACTCTGTTAAAAGTATTCTTGTCTCAAGTAGAACCAAATGTCTTTTCTTCTTTTTTTAAATTCAGTACATGCTCTGTAAACTATTACCACTTCCACTATTTGAAATGAAACTTCTAATTTTTTTTTATTTTTTTAATTTTTTACAAGAAGTCAGAGATTGACATTAGTCAGAGACAAGACAAGCCTCCCAAAGGCTTTGTTTTACAGTTTTCTTTAACTATTGGAAATATTAGTGTGAGAAACTCAGGGGGCTGTCAAAGCTATCTACTAAGCATGATTCTAGGAAGATAAACATGCTACATAGAGTTAATTAAGGCAATTACCTTGAAAAGGCTTTGTATTGATCCTTTCACTTAGAAGATTAACATCAAAGGAAGATAAACATCAAGAACACAAGCAAACATATTTACCTGATGATTAAGAATTCAGTCATGCAGGTGCAATCATGTTGTTACATTGCCCAATGAACAAGCAAAAAATACTGACCATTATTTGATCTTCCATTATGGAGTGAGAGGGTTTGTTTTTTTTTTTTGACAGAATGATAATCAACTATAAAACATCTCAAACAACATTTCCAAATATGAAACAGAAATGAAGTATAGGCTAGTCTTAAAAACACCATTAGATAAATTGTTTATTTCTCTTTTACAGCAAGTTACACCTATGCAATAAAGAAACATCACCTGTCTACCAGCCACAAAAAAGATCAGCACACTTGAACCAGATAAAGAAAAACATTTATTACAAACTCGTGTTTTTATATAGCTAAAAAGATAAGCATTTATTTCTTAAGAGACAAAGAATATACAAATGAACAGTCATCACAGAGGCACATAATGAAAAATGAAATTTGAAGACGACTCCATCTTTTCAATGTTTGAAAGCATCACCAGCATAATTTTCAATATTCATAATGGCACTTGCACACAAAAATAAGGACCAAGTCTGAAAGACAGACATTTCTGAAGTCGTCACACACACAGTGGCTCATTGGTCAGTCAGACGTGACCAGGCAACATCAAAATCTCAAAAATCCCACAAGATACAAACATGTTGGCAAAACCAAGAAACATTCAGATTGGAAAGGCTTTGTACACACAGATGATTTGGATAGAATGACTTCTCAGTTTTTTAAAAAAGTGCAAAGTCCAAGCTTTCCATAAACTGAAGGCCAAAAGACACAGCCAAAGCTGTCATTTTCTAAAATCTGATAAAACATTTTATAATACAAATCTTAGGAAGTCATGTATCAGTTTATGAAGTAAAAAATAATCATGGAAGCACTGAACACAGACATACATCTGACCTGCTGACTGAAGAACATGGCCCAGTCTTCCATACAAGGAACAAAGGGCACTTGTTGATGTGTTTGATTGTGTACACACACACACACACGCATGGGCAGCTGTCTGTGTGTTTGGCTTCATGTGTACACACAGATCCTCAAAGGCCTTACAGGAACTTAGCATAGGACCTAAGTTCTTCCTGCAATAATCCAATTTAGGAAGTGGTCAAAGAAGTGCTTTTTGAAGGTCAAGTTGAGTATAAAGATTATCTCTGTAAATTTGGGATTACTGTAAAAAAAAGAATTAAGACATCATACAGACTGCAGAAAAAGCATAACAATGGAGTTCAGCAGTAGTATCTCACTAACTGGGACTGAAGGCCACTGAAATAAGACAAATGATACCACCAGCCCCAACTCCACACCCCTCCAAGAAATAAAGGAAGTGGCTTATACATGGAAATACCTATTTTCTATGTGGAGAAAGTGCTGCTTTGGTTTTCTTCTTTAAATGAGGAACTGTTTTCTCAAGTACTTACAAGTTCCCTGTGTGTGCTTCACTTGCTTTGTTAACACAAACCTGATGGACATTAGAGAGCCACAGTTGCATTTGGCCACACAGACAGAATCTTCAATATTTCATGACCCAAATTTCATAGACAGCACACAAAACTGTGAGGGAAAGCGGATTTGTCCTTCATGACAAGCCTTTAAAAACTTTACATAACAACACAATCCCTTATTTGCTAAAAGCACATAGGGGACTGTAACCCTTTGAGAGTAAGGGAAGAAATTATGAACAAGAAGCCTTTTGCTCTTCAAGGCAGCTATGATGAGCTTGAGTTCTTGTCTAAATCGGTTTCTTCTAACACAGCCAACAGCTAATTCATTATTAGCTTCATACCGGATCCTTCACCTCATCTTTAGTAACTTACAATTGTAGGAATGGATCCAGTAACCCAGTAGGCTTTTTCTGTTTCTGTATACTGTGATTCTATAAAACATCTAACTGCAATCGAGAGCTTGTCATGCTAGCATTTACAAGTGCAAAGGCAGGTCCAAAGAAGCAAGATACCAAAATCATTGACTCCATTACAAAAAACATGATATAAATCAATTGAGGTATTCTAGATACCATGGAACAGTAGTTTCTCAGGCTCATATTCATTATAGAAAAAACGTTTCAACATTAGCTTGAAAATAAAGGTGGTGGGCTACATTTAATGTGTTACACTATCCCTTTCTGTATCTAAGGTAACAATATTCAGAACTCAGATTGCCTTCAAAAATGATATCAAGTGCTTACTTCCAGAAGTGCAAAATATTTTCTGTGAATGGCTTGAGGACAGGCAGCATGACAAAACAAAGTCACTTTCATCAATTCGGTATCAAGGCAGTATGAACTTCTTCTACCTTTGGTTTCATGTGAGACAAGTTCAGTTAGAGAAGACAATAGAATAAAATATGCATGATTTATGAATATGTAGGCATATACTTGATTTAAATATACAGGCTTTTTTCCCCTCAATTTAGTGACATTAAAGTGCAACATAGGTATCTGTTTACAAATGGTGAACTAGAAATTAAGAAAGTTTCCTCCCACTGGAGAATAAAAAACAGAAGTCGCAGCATATCTCCATAGTCTCTAATTGTAAGAACAGATTACTGAAGAAATCATTTTTGTTCTGATAATTCCAACCAAATTAGAAATCTCACCTTTCTACTTCAAGCTATTCCTAAATTCTGCTTCATTTTTTCATACACAACGTAACTGATACTGACAGCTGGAAGAACTTTCATAAAATTAGGGGCTATGCCCCTATAAAGTCCTTGGATTCCTTCTGTAGCAATAATTCTTTGAAAGAGGCTGACCATGTTTAGCTGTGGAGCTCCTTCCACCGAGGCTAAAATAAGACGACAGCGTTATTCAACAGTTCCAGTAATATCACAATTCTTCAGCAAGTATTAAACAACTGAGTAGCTAGCTTATCTTTTTTAGGGCCAACGACTAAAATTTATGTCTTCGCAGCAAATCTCTTTAATCCCCAAACATTCCAGAGAGATCCATGAGCCTAAACCCCACTAAAATGCATTACTCACCTACATATCAGATAAACTCTCAATTCTTCAAGCTTTTTCTCCTTTTTTTTTTTTTTAATTCTTCATGCCCACATCCCCACTACAGCTGTCACAAATAACTAATTTCAGTGAGAACACAGAAACATTTTCAGAACAATGGGACTCACCTTGAGCCTGCATGCGTGTCCTGACAAGAGCAAGAGGATAACTGGCTAACTGCCCACATGTGCTGGAAACAGTACCACATCCCAACAACACAAAAACCCCTGGGTTAGCAGAGCTTGATGCATAGTGTTCTAGCCACGTAGTCTTTAAGAGCTGTCAAGATAAAAGATTAAATAAGACAAGATAACTGCATTTGAAAAAGTAAATAAATGTTTACTCTTAAGATCTGTTACGGGTTCCATCCTGGAAAGGCATTAAGTTCACTAAAAGCACACATGTAAAACTGGAGTAAAGGCTACACAAAAACCTTTGCATGTGGTAAAGGACTGTAGACTACAGCAGTTAGAGCCAAGAGAAAGAATCCTTAAATACCAAGACACAGCACCAGGCAGCAGTGCCCATACTCCAGTTAATATTTGGGAAGGAATGACCCAGCATGTCATCAGGCACAACAAAAACTCATACAAGTAGAGATGCAAACCATAGGACAGAACTCCCATACAGCTTGGAAAACACTGCTCAAGCAATTGCTGACTCTAATTACTACAGTATCACAACAAGACTTCTCTAGACTAGAATAAAATTAGTCCATGCATATTAGTTACTTGACATATTTTGAAGCAACACTCAATAAGTGAAGGTAAACAAAGCATTTTAATTGGTGCTGACTCATCAGCACCTGTAAGAGGTGCCAGTTCTTTAAAGGAAACAGTGCAGTGTTTCGAACTCATCACAAGAACAACATGTTGGCTACAAAGAATTCTGTTGACATGCAAAAATACATAAGGAGTTCAAATTACTATAATTTAACTACAAATCAAAAATAGCAAAAAATGAGCATAGCTGCAGGACAGGTAACTTAATATGAACACTAGTCAAGTTTTTAAGGCTCAGGTTTGCTCTATAAAGGTTATGTTCCCAGCCAATGGGGTCATTTAGTTACACAAGAGTGTTGTGTTACCAAAATCTAATACACTTTCTCCTTACAAGTACACTTCTTCTTTGATAGAATGGAAGAAAGAGCCCCGCATGCTAGATGAAACTGCTACATGTAATGACCAGTCTGTACAGGATTCCTCCAATGAAGGCAAAAAATGACAGAACTGCAAGTCTAGTGAGCTCAGTAGCAATTCCCATTTATCCAGGGTAACTGTAACATTACAGATGTATCATAAATCTGAATAACACAGATCTGAGTAACTGAGTAACCGTTCCTCTGTTCATAATGTTACAAGAACACACAGTCAGCAATCTGAACTCACCTCATAAACAGCAAGATCAATCCCAGCATAAGGAATTATACCCAAAATGTTAGGAATATAGCCTTTGTAGAAGGCCTTTGCACCTTCTCTTTTCAAGATCTTCTTAGCACAGTCAAACATCCCAGAATATTGCCCTGTTTTACCCACAGCCAACCTGGTCTTTAAAACCTGAAGGGGAGAATCAGTAGTCTTAATTACATAAGTAACTATTACTGTAGTTTAGAAATACAGGAAAAAACAACATTTATCCGCTTATTCCATTTTCTGAAACTGCTCTGAATTTGAAGTACAAGTCTTCTTTATGATGACTACTGTTAAAGGCTGGCTAGGGGTAAGTTTCTTCAGATTTTATCATGAATGCAGAACACCACAAACACTATTACACGCTAGCTTACAATTTAGTACAAAAAAATACATAGAAAGATGTCCCACAGAGGAAAGACCAGTTAATCCATCAAGCCTCTGCTGTAGTTGTTTTATTCTTCCTCCACATCCAGCTCCTCATCTGACCTGGCTCCCTATCATAACACAACTTCATCAGCTTTGTTTCAGACAAGATCATTCCTTGCTTATGTACATGGTGAGAAAGATTTAAGCCTAATTCAGAAACAAGCCTGAATATGTACTTAATGTTAAACGCATTATAGGATTTCTTTTCCCAAACTACATTTTGGAGACACATTTAATAGCATATTTCAAAAAGGACATCCACACAAAATGCAGTCATACAATACAATAACCCAGATTTCTGGTGTGCACATGCACAGAAGTGATATCAACACCTGAATTCCCAGCATCTTTTAAGAAGCAAAAGATACTTTAAAAGGACAACTATACAAACAGAAAAATGACAGCAATCAACTAGAACAGTGTCTATTCTAAAGTATCTAGTGCTGAAATTCTGAAAGGAAGTTATAAATAAAAATGATGACATAGGATAAAATAGTGTATGTACAGGAATTCCTGCAATATTTTCAAGTGCAAAAATGCCCAGACATTTGGCAGATTCTAATGGAAGCAATTCTCTGCTACTAACCTCCATGGGATAAATAGAAGTTTGTGCTGTTGCCCCAGCTAAAGAACCCGATACAAATCTTTCAATGGTGCCTAAATTTCCATCATCCTTAGTGAGTATCTTCTTATACTGTAAAGATAAAGCACATAAAACATCACATGCTTTTTAGAAGATGCAAGAGTTTCTCTAGAGTTAGGAGTACAATAGAAAATGTCTTACAAAGCTTCGCTTACTTTTTCCACACATTAATAGTTGCATTTACAAACCCAACGATGTTAGCACTACCCTTACTCCATCATCAATGATTGACAAAAGCAATAATTATTCTAACATGCAAAGATCCTGTACATTAAAGGCACCTGTCACTCGCACCACTGTCCAGTACTCCACAAACAGCCTACAGTGTGCTGCCCAGATAAAGAGGGCTCTGACTCCCACACAGATCAAGATCTTCAGTTGGAGAACAAAATCTCAGCTCATATGGGCACCAACAGAGCCGTACATACAGTATCATTCAGAACAAACACATCATGCAAGAATGCACCCAATGTCTGCTCCCAAAAGGCTGGGCAAGAGGAAGGAACAGAATGCTCACAGTTTCTCTATGGAATATACATTGGCCAATCAGTCTTGCAATACCCCAAAATTTGACTTTTTTTGTTACTTTTATTTCACTGTTGTACAAAAACATGCAATACATTAATACAGTCTTGCTTAGGCAAAAAAAAAAAAAGTTAACTACATCAGAACCGTAGTTCATTTTCCAAAGGAGGATTAGGCCTTAACATGATGTGTAAAGCTGATTCTGAGGTAAATATAACTCTGAAATCCAGGGTGAGGGCATCTTATGCAGCACCGTGATATTTGACTTAAAAAGAATCCTATCCAAATCCAGCTAGCGTAACGTGCTAAGGTTTTGGTTGTTCTCACTTTGAAGCCAAAAATGAGATTAATGCAGTACATTGCAACCTACGAAAACTGAAGGACAGCCTAAAATTTATGACAGATTTAATCTACACCACTTATAAGTCAGTGGCTACATCAGGAAAACAAGATTTTAACTAGCAGAAAATATAGGCTATTTTAAACCCGAGTTACTCTACATTACTACTATGAAATCCCCAACCATGACAAGAACTCCTATACAACACAACAGTGTACATAATAAACAGTAAGAATGATACAATATTTTATACACTACTACTTCCATTTCTGATTTAGCATCCTACCTGCTCATAAGCCCAGAACTTAATAGCTGTCTCAGGAGCTATTTTGACAACATTTACACCATTTCCCCTCCAGAGGGATCGAACACCGCCTTCTTTCAACATTTGCTTAAAACCACTGGCAATATTCATTTTGTTTGATTTTGAACCATGAACCTAAAAAGAAAAAAAGAAAAAACCAACAGAGTAAGGGACAGTGCTCTGATTAGCCTGTAAAACTCAGCACCTAAGCAGCCACTCACTGCATAAATACATCAACTTGCAAAAAAAACATTCACCATTGAAAATTTTAATTGCACAGGTAGTATAATATTTGGTTTACATTTTTGCTGATATCAATGGAAAACACTAACGGGCACAAAATACCTGTTTAAGAACCTGTTAAAATACAACTAGATCTCCAGAATTTACGTACTCTATTTGGCCATGAACTTTTTGTAACAGGTCTCTAAAACTGAAATGATGTAATGGAAATGGAGAAGTCCTTACGCGTTGCACCTACCTGCATCATTACTTTTAGACGATCTAAAGGCGCTGTACCTGTTCGAGAGACAGCACCAGCCACTCCTCCTGCTAAGAGCTGCTTCCACCACTGTCCACTCTTTTTCTCTTCCTCTGTGAACTCATCTGGAACAGTCAAACTATCTCCAATATCCAGCACCTATTAGAATCCAAAGCAAAGGGCTGCAAATAACCATCTTACTCCACTCCCTCCATTTTACCAATAGCTCAAATTCCAAATTAACCTACCACCTAAGAACAGAAATAAGATGCTAGTTCAACATAAAGAATCTAGTTTACATTCAAAAAAATCAACTTGCTACAAATTGCTACTGCTATTCAATGAACAGTATTTTTAACTACTTCTAACCAGATATTGAGCAATATACCACATACCCACCATTTCAAAGATTGCACCATCATCATTAAAAATTACGACAAACTTCTGTCTTGAGTATGACCCAAACAAAGACATCCTGTCATGATCTCTTTTCAGAGAGCACTAAGGCTCAAATGCTTACTGTCAATGCTAGCCTTTCACCAGTCTTCTAGGATTAGCTTGGTAATCTCTTAAGGACACTAACAAGAGATTTCTCTCTCATGCTAATGTATTCACACATACGTAGGATTTTTTCTCCCTCCTACCAACATCTTAAACTAATAATTTTATAGTTGATATATCAGAATATTCAATTCTAGTAGCTGTTGTGTATTGGCTTATAAAGTGACCGTTCTATGAAGTTTCCTCTCATTAGCAGGTACTCTGAAATACATATTATTGACTTTTCTTCAGCTATACAAGTTTGACACTTCTTTAATGGTTGCATCATTGTGTTAATATTCAATATGATCAAAGAACATTCCAGTATTATGCCTTGGACAGCTTTATCACTGAAGTCTGTGTTAATTTAACATCACTTAGTGGATTTTTTGCTCTTCATGTAATTTATAAAAACAGAACAATTGCACCAGAGATAATGAAAAGCTAATGCTAGGCATAAAGAAAGCCTATAAAGAATCAGGAATGTTAAGAAGTACTGACCAGAAAATATGTTAACAGACAAACCCATTTTTATTGCTGCTGATGTTGAGTTCAGACACTACACCCTAGTGAGATTTCTGTTAAGCAGGCTGACAACTGATTGCTCAGACTATAAAAATTGCAGTATGCAGATTATACAGAAATTATGTAGATTACCCACAAATAGAGCAGATTTAACTAGTCTAGGTATTAAATATGAAACATATTGAAGTGAAAATCTTGGGTTTTTTTTCCCACATTCATGATTTCCAAATAAGGTGTCTTCAGTTACTCAACAACAAATGGAGTCAGTAAAATATCCACCAGAACTCTCAAAGTACAAAAGTCAATAGATTTTACAGATACTATATGCATATCTTCCAGAGTTTAAACATTGTATCTACTGACTCCTAAATGCAACTTTAATAACTAAATCTAGCTTTAACTTTTTTTCTTAAATGTAGGAGAGATTTATAACCAAAGACCACAACTACCTTAATAATTGCCAGTGCAGCTATCTCCTCAGAAGAGTCTGACAGCAATTAAAATTATAAAACTATAGAATTATAAAAAATATACAATTTTAAAAAAGCAAACAATTCCAGGAGCTGTCAGCCACTCATATGACATCTCACATCTGCTCTTATCTGAAGCAACAGCTGTGTTACTCATAGCTGGATTTTGCTTGCTGTGATAACTGGGTCATAACTGAGCCCAAAACAGAACATCACAGGAGACATCTACACTCTTTCCTTAGGAATAATTAAGGACATTCCATAACAAAAAAAAATGGATCTTATATTTAAAAGTGATACAAAGCATATTATTAAAGCATAAGCATTCTTCACTGCACAAGCTGGGAGCAGGCCTATCTGATCACAAAGCAGCACTCCAAGCACTGTCCTCAGCAACAACTGAATTTAGTCCGTGCAGTGTGAGCTGCTCAAATATTTCACATCTCAAACTTTTTTTTTTTCTGGTTATGGAAGTGCTGACCAGTCCCTTAAAGTATGATTGGTCTCAGTATGCTCAAAGAAATTCATCTTCAACTAACTGTAAGATTATTCTATAAATATACAGATTACCCTTCCCTGTACAAGAAAAACAAAGTAAAGTGGATTGTTACTGGCTTATTTACCTTATTATTTGTTGTTTAAAGTCAGCCACTTGAGGTGGTAAGAGCTCTATTCAATGCTAACCTAACAAAAAACTGTCTGCTTGTTGCTGTATATCCTATCATTCTTAAAGGAAATCCCATAACACAAAAGAATGTAAGAACATATAGACAAAGACAGCTACAATTTTATGGTAATGATAATATTACTACAGAAATGCAATTACTGAACTGACTTCAACATAAGAGTTAAAAAGTTTCTGTGTATGTTTCAACATATCAAGAGCACTGAACATAAGAATGTAATGTTGAAGAGAATGCTTCATATTATTACTACTTTCTATGGAGTGTCTCCAAGAGAAAGATTTCTTTCTAGGAATTACTGGCAATCAAAAGGTAACTGAAGAATCTTTTAAATGCACAAAACATAACAAAACATAAAATGAAGCTGTTATGCTCAATACTATAAGTTGTCCCAGCAGAAATGAACTTAAAAGATTCACTAAATTAAAGTTGAACTTACAGTGGAATGTTTCCAATATCGGATTATTTCTTCTATGTCCGTAGCAGGGTTAAACATAAAATGATCTCTCCACTCATTCCAATCTACTGACATTGTTCCATCAGCATCAATACTAAAAAATAAACAACAAAACAAAAAACAAACAGAACAAAATCAGATTAGAAAACAGACTTCATTTGAAATATTGTCCATCACAGTGATCCATTCTACGGACAATATAAGGAAACTTCAAGGGTAAATCTGCCACAGTATTTCAATACCATACATTCCTTATTCAAGTGTGTCTAGCATTCTCCATTTTAAAATATGAAACAGCCTTTGTTTCTCTCAACAATATTTGTACAGAAATGAGGTATAAACATTCCCCTCCCATAACCATATGCTAAAACAGTGGCTAATCCATCTATAACCCAAGAACAGATAGAATGTGGGAATTCCTACATGTGCTATTGAAGTTACCAACACCATTCCCAAACCATGACACAAACCCATTCTCTTTTATTCTCAATTGTTGCATTCTCTGAATTATAAAAAAATATTATGAACATAAAGAAGCTCAAAATATTAATTCCTGACCTTTGCAGGATCTTTTCTGCCTGTTTTTCTGAAATGTTTATACCCAGTATCTTGAGGGATTGGACAACTTCTGATGGTTCAATTTTTCCTTGAAACATAAAAAGAAAGATAATGAGTAGACACAATATGGAGTCCACTGAGCTTAATACATTAGCCTGAGACTGCCTCAAGAGACTGAACGTGCTCAAGTCCGTGGAGTCAGACAACAGACATGACAGGGTCCTAAAGGAACTGACTAATGTGGTTGCCAGTCTGCTCTCCATCATACTTGAAAAGTTGTGGCCGTCAGGGCTGGAGCACCTCTCCTATGAAGACAGGCTGAAGGACCCAGGCTTGTTCAGCCTGGAGAAGAGAAGGCTGTGGGGAGACCTCACTGTGGCCTTCTAATTTAAAGGGAGATTATAAAGAGAAGGGAAATCAACTTTTTATATAGGTGATAGAACAAGGGGAATGGTTTAAAACTAATTCTAAACCTCTTCTCCTTTAGATGTCTGGGGGAAGTTTTTCCGCTGAGAGAGTGGTGAGGTGCTGGAACAGACTGCCCAGAGGGGTTTTGGGTGCCCCATCCCTGGAGGTGTTTAAGGCCAGGCTGGATGGAGCCCTGGGCAACCTGAGCCAATATTGGATCTAGCAGTTGGCAACTCTGCCTATGGCAGAGGGATTGGAACTTGATGATCCTTGAGGTCCCTTCCAACCCAAGCCATTCAATGTTTATAATATTCTATAATATCCATACAATAGCAAAAGATTATTTAAAAAAACAATTTAAACAGAGGCAATGCATTTTTATTATCTAAGGACAGAGCAAAGGTAAGAGCATTAAAATTCTACACCCAAATAAGATAACATACAGCAAGTTAATAGTTATTTTATCTGTAATTGATACACAGTAACTTCCTTATGGCTTTACTGTCTACAAAGCAAAGATACCCAGATGAACAAACCTGGAAGATAAAAAGAGTGAAAAAAAGGAGACTTATTTCACTCTCTAGTAAACAATAACTGCATTCCTGTTAGGCCAAAGAAATCAAGGATTCCCACACACAATTTTTTGTCTCCAATTTAAACAAAATTTAAGTCAAAATAACTTGGAAAACATCTAAGCACATCAAATAACATACCATCATTGTTTTTGTCCAGGCTCTTAAATGCCAGTTTCATTTTCTTCTCGTGATCTTTAAGATACTGCATAAATTCTTCAAAATCTAGCTGCCCATCCTGGTTAGTGTCACCAGCTTTAAAGATTTTCTGTTGGGAGAAAATGTAACGTTTGACTTTATGAAATATAGCAGCTCACAAGGTAACAACAGCACAACACAGCTGAGGTTTAAGAAGTACCATATTGGCCACACTGAGAGTCAAGTCAGGAAAACACACACCTAACACACTTCTGGGGACAAAACCTAGCTCTGAATTTAACAAATTCTTAGTAGCTTCATAACAACAAGAAAAAAAACAAACCATACTCAAAGATGGCATCAGTTTTTATCCCCAAAACTTGTTTATTTAAACACAAGTTACACCTCCAGGGATCAAACCATCTGTGGAGGACAGCCTGGGAGACATGACAAAAATCATGGCAGAAAACAATCCTAAGCCTGCAATTTTCTAGCTCTACTTGAAGTCTACAACATTCCAGTACAATTACAGTCTCAGCCATCCTCTTGAATCTAGTGGTCTATTCTGAATTATACTAGCAATTAATTATTTAACTGCTGACAAAAAATTTCTCACCACAACAGCATTTATCTTCCACTTTTGCATGTGTTTGCTAGTAACTGCCCTGCTGATCAGACAACCTGCATATAAAATTAACTATGAGTTGAACACAATATACAATTGCCAACACAGTACAAAACAAGCCTGAAATACAAAAGCAATGGCATGACTGCCTAAGGCTTATATTTTTCATTCAAAGCACCAAAACAGTGCATCATCTTTATATGTGAAAATACACTTTACAATAAATGGGAAACTAAAGCAACCTCTCAGGGTGTAACAACTGAGGTATGTCTGCAAAGGCAAAGCACAGAGGCGAGCAGTGCCCAGGCTAGCAAGCTCTGCAAGATGTATTAGCTTGGACCTGAAGCCACAGCACAAACTGCTCCATAAACAGAGCAGCAGACAGCAGCAGGATCAGGATGGAAGGCCCAGCAGCACTGCTCCAGTGGGCACTGCCCATCCCCATCACGTGCCCACAGTACCACTGGCTCATCCAGCAGGATGCAAAGAACAGGGGAAGGAAGTCCACCCCAACACTTCTGCTCTAAAACAAAAGATTTGAGGGGAAGTTACGTCCCATTTCTTCGTTTGGGCATTAGTTCCTGTGTTGTCACTCAGTGTGGGTAATCCCAAGAAGACAGTGCACAGTACAAGAGCAATGTGAAAGCATGCGTTACTGAGCACTTGAAGGTATGCTTATAGCACATGCCAAAAATTCTTTCAAACACCTTCTGTTTTGCAAGACTGCCTTGCACAACTGCTAAGTAAATCAGAAGGATTTGCTCAGTCGTTGTAATCAACAAAGTCTGTTTTAATTTTTTTATTATTAACTTCCACTATAATTAGTATGAATCCTCAAAAGAGTGAAGTCTAACAAGATTAGCCTACAGACACCAAACATAAAGGAAGCTGAGAATTCTGGTTTGTTTATTGCTTTCAAGAGTGTTCAGATATCTGTAATGCCTCCTTCATCTTTTCTATCCACACACTAAAAAGCTTAGTGTTTAATCTCAAAAAGAAAGAAAGAAAAGAAAACCCACCTAAAATGTACAGTATCTACAGGCTTCTCAATTAAAAGGCTAAGGATTATGTGGTACTCTACTACATATGAAATATGGGGCAAATTATTTAGCTCTGATAATACAGCACACTGTGCAGAGGGAAATCTATGCAAGATATCACATACTCCAATAAAGGTGTTTAATCTCAGCTGAGAAACATTTCTGTGTTTCTGTCCTTAATATGCTCCACCTTAGCCATTGCTTCTATCAGTAACTTGTCAACAATAATCTACCCATCAATTCAGTTACATGTAATGCTCACGTCCTACAAAAACAAATGCGTCATATTTACTCAAGTTTAAGGATGCATTCCTGACAACCACCTTCTAATAGACAAATCCACCAAAAGAAGTCCATTAAAAATGACCCATGGCAGGAGGAGTCCCTGCACTGAAGACAACGCCATCCCAACCCCTTGCCCTGAGCATCCTGTACCACATGGCCCCGAGGTTCTCCCAGCCAACTCAGAAGGGGTCAGTTATGTGAACTCTCATCAAAGCCAGCTGGTACTGCTCCCTACCTGAGCTACACAAATCCAAAACAAGGAAAGTGTTGTTCTGGCTCAGAGGCACAGTAAAACCTAAGCAACATTCCAATTACAAATCCTCCACGGCTCAGGATGACGCGAGCCAAAGAAAGCGGAAATTCCTCGGAGGTTTACAGAGCCGGCAATTAGCGTGTGTGAACGGGGCACCTTTCTCTCCATCTGCCCCACAGGCACACTTCATGCTGCAGCAGCTAGGAAGCCACGTGCGTGAGCCTCCACCTATCCTGGTCCTGCAGTTCTTTTCCAAATTTCAAGCCAGTTTTAGCAGAATAGAAACAGCAGGGAACCAAAATGCATGCTGTAACTCAGCAGGCACATGCATTTCCACCCCCCCTCACAAATCTGAAATATTAATATAAACAAAAGCTTCTTAAAGCCTATAAAAACGTACTCTTTACGTAAGTTTTGAAGTTTGAGACTGAAACCAGTAATCTGCAAGCCTGGGGAGCAAACAGAGCACTCTGAGAAGTGCCTTCCACACAGAGGGCAGAAATGGGCCAGTGGGAGCTGTGCATTCCCTGGGCACAGCCCCAGGAAGCCAGCAGCTGCTGCAGGGAGTGCAGTGCCAGCCCCCACATGCAAACTGCTCACTCACAGCACATGCAAAAACTCACCCAACTAGATCAGGTCATGCCAGACCACTTCTGCTCTAGTTGTGAGCTCCTCCAAGGATGGAGATGCCACAGCCTCCCTGGGCAAGCAGAGTTCAGTTACCTCACTGATATCCAGCAAGCAATCAGACTGCTGCTCCTCATTTCATATACTGCCAGATAACACATTTCACATAGTTATAACCACTTGTCACCACGTCACTTCCTGCTTCAACTACTTCTCTGGTGTAAAACTGGATGCATTTTTAACATAGGCGTGTTTACAACAATGAAGCAAGACCAGCTTAGGTGCCAGCTGCTGCATGCAAGCCCTGGGGACCAGTGCTAAGCGTGCCCAGCACTAACACCTGCCATGTACTGTTGCTACCAGGGAACCACAGTGCCCTTCGGTAGACCCAGCCCAGAGACATAAGAGTTGCTTTTCTCAAGGGCTGCCATTTCTTTTCTCATCTAAAAAAGCCAACCACGAAGCACAAAGATAATCCCATATACAGCAAAGCAGTGAGCAGAAAGAGCTGCTAAGAATTTACAGAGATACAAATACTTAAAGATCTAGTTGGATCATCTTTCATTCTCGTGCTATGGGCCTCCACACATACTGACTAGAACACTCCTGTGCTGACCCTATTTGGCCATGACATTCCTTCTATTTTTTATAACAATTATTTCACTTCTATTCTTCTGCTTTGCAATTTGTTACATCACTGCTTTCCAAGTCCTGCACAGCAAGGCTACAGCAATTTGAGAGACCAAAGCTAGACTGAAATAGTGAAGAACTTTCTTACATAAAACATTCTTTCTCCAGAAAGGTTCCTGGATGTGGGAATCTAAGCCAGCAGGTCTGTTGAAAACGTCAGCAAAGTTACAGACACTTAAAAATCCTGACTTCAAAAGTGTCCCAATGAATTATCAGATTATTCTGTGCCAGTCATGAACTTGAACTCATTCGTTGCTACAGAAAAGAAATAAAATGCAAAACAAGCAATCATAGTTCTTTCACGTAGACTTTTCTTTTAAGTCTACACTTGAGTCTTCATATGGTACTTGGTGTAATTGTTTTTGCATTACATATAAGCCACCACATTCTCCTGGTTACAAAACTGAACTGTGCAGGAAGTGGGGTTACTCAGAAGAAATGATTGCCCATCCCCTGTATTAGCCTGTTATTTCAGCTCATTAATACAACTTCAAAAAATTAACAGGAAGCAATCCAAGAAATTACTGGGCATTTCTGGCTTCCTATCCTGCTAACTACAAGTAAAAAATAAACAGCATTTAAAGACTCAGAAGTGGTGCAATTAGCAATTCATTGTTCTGTAATCTATGGATAGAGCTCCAAAGGGCACAGTCACAGACACTGCACAGAAAACAAACCAACACCAAGGTAAGAACAGCGTGTCTTTTGGACACAGAAGATTCATGTTTTCTTTCAGTATCCTTCAGATGCCTATCTCAAGGATATTTCTCCACAGCAATCCTGTCATTCCCTTCTCCTCCCTCTCCTCTGTTCTTTCCATCTTTGCCTCCAAAATAATTAGCATCAGCCATTCACATAACTCTGCATTCCACAATTATAAATGTTTTAGGCTGAAATCTACTGGGATCCACCCACAGCTTGAGCACAGGCAGTCTGTCTTCCCTGGACACACATCCTCTCATACCAAGAACTGATGCTGGGTTTTTTGCTAGCTGTATCTGCCAAGACTGCACAAATCCATAACACAAAGTGATAATGCAAAACACAGTAGAAAAGTTATTAAAACCACTCTTGTGACAGTGCATCAGTTAAGGGATAAATACGGAATGAAGTCAAAGGGCCCCAAGATGCACCCACGCATTACTCCAGTCAATGAGTCCCAACAACACACTAACAAATAAGACTGCTGTCGAAGTTCAAGAACACCTCCCAGTATCCTGTTTTGAGCAAAGCAATCATTTGCACTACCTCCAAAGAAATCGCACCATATTTTCATGTCCATTCTTATTTGTTCACTTCTTTCCTGAAGGATATTATGGCATTTAAACAGTATCCAGCAGGTGACACTGTCAGACACTGCCATAAACAGAGCCCCCACCCTCATACAGCAGACATGCACAGTTTGCAGTAACAGATACTTCCATCAGCTACAGTTTCTCCTTCCTGCTCTTTGCCCTCAGCACCTCACTCTGCAATAGGGAAGGGCTAGCCACAGTCTTCTTATTGGTTCACCACAGGTAAGAGCAAAATTACAAGTTCCATAAACACAGCTGATTACTCCAAGCAGACCATGTTCTGACCGCTGAGAATTTAGTGTCTTTGGGCCCCATTTCCACTACATGGAGCTATCTCATCACACTGCTTCTTCAACTAAAGGGGCCTTCACATAGCTGGGCATAACTAGACTTACATTTCAACCTGACAGACAGACCAAATAAGATCATATTGTTTCCAGAATGCAGTTATTCATTCCAATACCATCCTCCTACGTCTAGCTCCAGGACTCAACACAGAAATAGATCCTGAGTGTGAATGGTTGGCTGTTTCTAGCACAAACTGAAGCTTAAAACATGGAGCTTGCCTCCTGCAGGTTTACTGTAAGGATGGATTGCAACAGAAGGAAAGGGTGAACAAAAATAGTATAACCATGCACACCATGTATGGTGCTTATATCTAAGACACTCACTGCATTTTGAAGACACGAATGAGATCATTTGCGATCTGATCCCAGCATCTATTTAGTATTGCTATCAGACAACTCTCCTAGTCCAAATTAACTGTACAATAGCTGTTAAAGTAGTTGTGGAGAGCCATCTGATGTTGTCACCACACCAAATTCCTTCTTTGCAGGCGCTGACATACAATGTTAGGAATCTTTTGCAAAGCTTTACAAAGTTATCCTTTCCTAGCAAGTAATACACTACAAAATAAAAAAGGAGTCATCCTGGCAGCCTCTAAGAAGCAGACATTTTGGATTTTTCAGTGGTTTACTTTTCTGTCATACACTGACAGGAGGCAGGTCAAACAGACCTCAAAGTCAGGAGCTTCTGTCACTTTGGGCTAGGATGCCTTTCTATGGAGAAAAAGAATGATTCTTCCTTAAAGAGGAACAAGTGTCCTCTTGCAACACATCCATCTGATACCTACTGTGTTACTTCATCTGAAGAGTGTCCCGTTGTACATTAAACATGAATAAAACTGTCAAGAAAACAGATGAAAGCTTAATTCAATAGGAGCACACTCATGTCTACTGCTCGAATTGATAGCAGCTCTGTAACTTTAGAAACCACACAAACTCCAGGAGAAGAACCATATATTTTTTCCGAACAAAGAAAAAAGCAGTAATAAGAGCATAATCACTAATTTATAGCATGAAGGCGATGACTTGGGATGAGCCAATAGACTTTGCAGGGAAACAAAGTAAGCCATCTATTGTTTACCAAAAGTTAGCCAGGAGGGAGCAGTGTTCGCCATGAGTACAGTGACCAACACTCCCACGGAGGCATGTTTCACTACAAACAGGAGGATTTTTGGAGAACTAACCCAGACTTGCACCTTATCAAGTGAGAGCAAGGCCTGACACCCTGACTCAACCACAAGAAAGTGCAGCCTGCTCTTCTGTAGGATATCCAAAGGTCTGCTCATACCCACATCGTCATGCTATGGGCAGGGCAGAACCCTTAGCCACATTTATAATATTGCTCCATTTCATTTCCTTACTCATTAGTTAGTAGCAATTATAAGACTATTTCTGCCTCCCCAAACATAAAGGTAAAGACGACATATGTAACTTCATTAATAAAATGTCTTTTTACCAAGTAGTAAAATGACATTTTATCGAGTTAAACACCAATGTAAAGCCTGAGATAGGGACTAAGTGGGAGAACACAGCTTCAAGTAGAGCCTCAAGTAACAGCACAGGAAGCAGATTAGTTGCATAGACAGGAAAGAAAGCAGCAGCAAGTCTCACTGAGGCTCTCTTACTATAAGAAGTCTTTTCAAGTAAAAACTATGTGCACCATTAAACGGTGAGCATATAAACGTTGTAGTGCACTCTAGTAATTGTTCGACCCACCTCAAAAGCCTGATGTGACTCATGGCTTATTCTGTTTACACTGTGTTTCTCAGGTAACTAGAACAGCCCGTTCCTGCTCCCCATTACAGCCATGAGGGTGTAGCTTATCTCAATTGATTTCATGGGTTTCACTACCAGTTTGTCCTGCATCAATCAAGGCTTGGACAGATGCTTAGGTTTGCGCTTTGCGTGGAAAACGTCATGCTGAACACAAGAATCACTTGGAACTTCACTTATTAATTGCTCAAAACTTCAGAATCATGTCACTTATGTCTCAGGACTCTCAGTAAACTATGTTGGAAGACCATCCTCATTAATTGTCAGAAAACAGGACACCTATCCCTTTATTGTTCTCTTTAACTAAAAACCCTAGATTGTTACAGTCTAACTGGTACAACAGGTTTTCAACAACTTGTACATAATGCGTGACTGGAGCTTGCGACCAGCAACACAGTTCTCATGGGTAAGCAGACCCAACTGTCCCTCCTTAATCAACCAAGGGATGAAAATCCAGATACACTTATTTCATTACAAAGATGATTTTGACCACAAGCAATATTCAAGTGGAAGTATGCTTACGACTTCTTTATACTCTCACAGTAGCACCATTCAACTCACGCAAGACCTGAGGATACTTCTCCCTCAAGTATTTAAGGCAGAGAGTTACATATATCAAGAGGAAGGAAAGCAGACCAAAAACTCTGGAAGGAATAAGGCATGTGCCAGGATTAGTACAAGGTCACTGAAATTGAATGGCTTACCCAAGTTATCTCTGAGCACTCTTGTCAAAATTTAAGTTCACCTTTCTGATCCTCTACCAGAATCTATGCAGAGGCTAACCCTGGCATAGTAGTGGGATGCTGTCTGACTGCTCTTGATATTGAAATAAAGAACAGCACCATTAAAGTAACAACTCAAGCACAGACCTCTGCTGTCCCTGTTCAGCCTAACCACACTTACGTCTGACTTGCAGAAGTACAGCTGAAATGCAAATTCCTCTACATCATTTGGAAGTGGTGTCCGCTGAAAGATGTATAAAGCCAGACAACACTGCTTAAGCATCAGTGCACACCACCTCAGTGTTAGTCCAAGCCATACATCTCACATGACTGCAGATACAAGCTACTTGCTTTCCAAAATAATTTTCATGTCCATGTGCTAGTTCTCTGTTTCCTAATGAAAGATCAGCATAAGAGAAAGTGTTAAAACTGCTAAAATTAACTGAGCCCATTGAAGACAACTTCAGCGGCTTCAGTAAACAATACCTTATAAAGAGATAAAAGTGAAACCTAGAAGCTGCTCTTATAATGCAGACTTGTTTTATCACACAAATACTTACACCCTCAGAATTGGGCATTAAATCATTTTACATTCTGATCCTGAGGCATCACTGAAAACAACTAGAAAACAAGTTTCTCATCCAGGTGCAGATCAGATTTGGTGGTGTAAGAGCACTTCAGCACTCGATGGCTCAAGTTTTACTGACTTAGGCAAAACCATTCATAAAAGGGAACAGAAGAACATCGTAGTCACAGAATGATAGAACTGACTGGGTTGGTAGGGACCTAGAAGATAACTGAGCTCCAACCCCCTGCCATGGGCTGGCTGGCACCCAACAGCTCCAGCTGCCCAGGCCCCACCCAAGCTGGACTTGAAGACCTCCATGAATGGGGCATCCACAGCTTCTCTGGGCAGCCTGTGCCAGGGCTTCACCGCCTCAGGGTAAAGAACCTTTTTCCTAATATCTAACCTAGAACTCCCATCTTTTGGTTTTAAGCCATCACAGTCACTGTAGAACCTGCAGAACAAAGTGAGAGCTGTGTCTGTTCAGTGGTAGGAAGATTACCGCTATACTCAGGTGCTTTCACATGCAGGAGCTGTGACACCAGCTGCCACTGCATGCCGACGGAGAGCTGGGCTCAGCCGCTTGTTCTGACACCGCTGCCAGCTGCCACACGGCTGAAACGGAGGCTTACCCCCCCACTTACTCTGACCTGGACCGTGCAGTGACAGACACCGCAGCCGTGAGCAGCGTCCTTCCCCACGCTGGGGCAGGAGCACCATCGCACAGCGTGCAACACGGGCCAAGGAAGCGCAGAAGCGATGCGCGATGACTAAGCCGAGCCAAGCCCGTCTGGCAGCGGAATCACCGGCTGCCGCGCTCTTAATAGCGCTCGCACTCGAGTTACCTCGTCTACAACCGCACGGCACGGCTCCCGGAGCAGGCCCGAAGCCGGCCGCACACGGCTGCGGCTCGAGCAGCCCCGGCTCCGGGCAGCCCCCAGGGCAGCGCCGCGGTGCCGCCTCTCAGCGCCCCTGGGGACGAGGCGCGGGCCGCGGGAGGGACCGCCTCGAGAAGGGCCGCGCCGCGCTCCTACCTCCTCCGCCTCCTTGCCCAGCGGGATGCCCATGGCCCGGAGGCCTGTCTGGAGCTCGGCGATGTCCACCCTCCCATCCTCGTTGAGGTCCAGCTTCTTGAAGAGGTTGGCGTAGCGCGAGTCGCCATCCCGGCTCCCGTCGCAGGCGGCGGGCAGCGCGAGGCGGCGCAGGAGCGGCAGCATGGCGCGGGGCGCAGCGGACGGCCGCAGCGAACGGCCGCACACACCCGCTCGGCTCCCCGGGCAGGGCGCGGGCGGGAGGGGCCGCAGGAGGAGCGGGGCCGGCCCCGCCCGCGGCGAGACGGAGAGCGGCAGCACCGCCCCGCCCCAGGCGGCAGCGAGAGGCGGGACGCGGCAGCGCGCGGCGCCGTGAAATGGCCGCTCGTGCCGCCCCGCCCCGCGGCAGCAGTAGATCCCTCGTGCGGGCACGGCGCGCATCGCGCCGCCCCTCCGCGCTTCCTGGAGGCGCGCGGCGAGGCTCTGAGAAGCGCTCCGGCAGCGCTGATGTGCCAGCCTACAGTGCATCAGCATCACCAGCGCTGAATGGAAGCTGGCCGCCCTGCGCGAGGCGCCCGCGGGTCTCATACAACTCAAATGCGTCTATTCTATCACGCATCGGCTGTGGTGCGCTGCTGCTGACACACCCGACGTAGGTGGCATGCACTTAGAGAGCACTACCACCTTAAATAGTTCCCATACCAGCGATACTCTGAATCTTAACAGGGCTATATTGGGATCACCGCAGTCACCACACAGCGCTGAGACCACGCGAGCAGCCGCTGGGATAAACCACAAGGGATGTCCTCCAAACAGCTCACCTGGGTCAGCCGAGTAGAACAAAGACAAGGGGAAACAATTGGTTCATACATAAATCACGGTGCAAATGCCAGGAGGCAAAGCACCCACTCGCAAGGCACAGCTGGTGTAGGAACCAAAGGACAGCTAACACAAGCAGGCTGTTCACCTGAGCACCCGCTGTCCATCTGGGAGCTGCAGTGAGGCCAAGCACAGCCACACCAAACACTGCCCTCCTGCTGCATTCACAGTCAGTCTGCAGCCACAGCGAGTGTCCCAGCCTCTGAGCAGGAGCTTGGTGGCCTTGTTCAAGGATTAATCAATAAAGCTCATCTGGTACATTGTCATTCAATAGATTTACCTATTGAGTTAGACAGGATTGAATGAATTACCTTGTATTTTTAAAGGCAATATGATTTCACTTAAAGTTTATCAAAACACAGAATAAATCAGGTGGGAAGGGACCTTGCAGGGCTCCAGTCCATCCTCCTGACCAAAGCTCAGCTGTGAATTCAGCTCAGCATTTGTCCAGCCTCATAATCTCAACAGATGGGGACTGTGCAACCTCCCAGGCAGCATGCCCTACCTGACCTCACCAGGAAGAGAGCTTCTCCTTCAATACCATCTAAGCCTTTCTTGTTTCAGTTTCTGCTTGGTGTCTTATATACTCCCACCCTGCTCCACCACAAGGACCCTGACCTCATTTCCTTAAAAACTTCCATTAACCAATGGGGGCAGGGAGGGAGGTGAAGGCTTCTTTCTATGCCTCACAAAGGCTTTTCTTGTACCAGTTAGAAAAGCTCACTTTCCTCAGCCTCTCATGGAGACAGTCCTCCAGGCTCCCCCATGCCTGGTGACCCTATGCTGAGCTTTCCATTTTCTGCCATTCAGGTACTAGGGAGCCCAGAACTGGCCTGGACTCTCTAACCACAGCCTAACTCACACTAAGCAGAGAGGAACAACCACTTCCCTCCTTCCGCTGGCTGCAAGCCATTTCATACAGCCTAGGGAGCAGCAGGTCTTGTTTACTGCCAGGGCCCCATGCTCTGTGGCAAGACCACAGAGTTGCTCCCTGGTCAGTTCTCCAGCCTGCATCACTGAGAGGTTATTCCATCCTACATGCAGTACTTCTAATTTGTTCTTGCTCAAACTCATAGGGTTCCTCTCAACCCATTCCTTCATTATCTCTGAATGGCAGTCCTGCACCCAAAGACAAGTGACTCCCCCCACACTCTTGTCCTCCCCCCCCTCCAGGTAACTGATAAATGAGACAGGTCCAAATTACCCACTACTTTGGTCATACAGCTAACCTAAGTGTTGCAACAGACACAGCCTGAACATTCTTCACTTCTTTCTGGAAGAATGGAAATGAATGTTGCTAAGGCCACTGCAGCTCAGCATCATAACACTTTATTATAGTCTTCAATTCTGTATCTGTTATTTTTAACTCCTGCCATCACCTGCCATCTTTAAGAAAAAAAACAGGGAGTGCAACATTACCCTTTATCATAAATCAGATAATGCAATTAAAAACTACCTATACTAGTGACTGAATGCAATCCACAGAAATAAGCAGAAGTGGGAGTGAAGCAGTGCTGCACACGTTGACTTGCATATCATATATCTGACATCCAGCAGGACCATTATCAGAGGTTTTAAACAGTTTCTTGTATAAGTATCATACCAAACACTGTACTTAAATATTAACACAATGCATACACTAGAAACATCCAAAAATTAACACCAAATACCTAGAACACATTTTACTTGGCCTCAGTTTTACTCAATGTTGTCAGCTCATGCCATTCATATGTTCAGCATCAGATAATTACTTCCACAAAATCACTAAGACAATATACAGCCACCCTCAGGAATTTGCAGGCAGTGAGTGGCAGCTTTTTCCTAGCAGCATAATAACAAACACTGCATTTTGGTCATTACTTTTTAAATCATATACAGCTAGATGCATGTGTACACAAACAAAATATTTACCATCTAATAAAAACAAAAGAGGAAAAGAAAAGATGCACTTACTCTTCCTGAGGGAAAAAGGAAGAAAAGCTAGTTGTAGCAGTTTGACTATGATACATGTATCAGGACAATTATAATCTCTACCATGCATTATGCTATTGAAAGTTGTGTGGGAAAATCAGCCACAACACAGAGCTACAACTCTGCTTATAGTACTCTCATTTACAGACTGAAAATGCAGGTTATATTCAATTCATCCACCTGCTTATTTAAGGTGTGAGCAACAAGGAATTCATTTTTCACTTGCCCTTGTTTCCCCAAAAATGAAGTAGTGCAGGTGCGTGCAGAAAGTTTAAACAGTATGACTTCAGTATGAGTAGCTGATAGGAAGAAGAAAAGTAGGTCAATGTCTCAGACATTTTTTCATACACTGACAGATAATCTGTTAGCTATGCCTGAGAGGAAGCCATTGTCCTTGTTGAAAGATGCAAACTAGTCAGGCCTAAGCAACATGCTGCATGACATCCAAAAGCACAACCATAAAGGCATTTCCAGACCTCTGCTTAATTTATGTATCTGGGAACCAGAGATTATGTTTCTGCTATTACAAAAATAGCACTACCAACATTATTTTTTCTACAGATTGTCTTACATGACAGGGTTAGGAGCTGCATTATTTACAAAGTTCTTTGTTAAAAAGGAGTTCGGAAATGCTTACCTTCCTGCACAGCCACAAAGGGCATCTGTGAGTCAAGAAGCATCCTCACCTAAAATACGCATCTAGAACAGGATTGAAATAGAACTCTTATATCTGTATTTATTTTTCCCCCACTGATATCAACACTGAATAGTATCAGAACATCAAAAATACATCTGTTTAACTCAGTAAAAGAGCTTTTAATTAGTATGCATTAATACACAGTAATTCATACTAATACATCAATGTTTAAATCACATCAATATTACCCATCTAGAGGAAGTACTATAAATATCATAAAGCCTAAGAGGCTAGAAACAGACTTCATATATTTTATTGATAGACTAAAAGATAGCTCAGCTGAATTGCATGATTCAAGGTTTGCTTGAGATACCATAGGTCTAACTGTGGAAAAAAGAAAAAACAACACATTTGATAATACCTTTGAATTGTGCATATTACCTACTGCAGGAGCCAAAAGCCATTTCTGGCTTAGTACTGCGGACTACTGTGAAGATAAGTATTTTTTAATGAGATCATATCCATTCTGCAACACAGTTTGAAAAAAGGCCATTAAGAACAACCAACCAGTTCACGTCTCCTGAACGAGTGATCTTCAGGATACACACAGGATAAATTAGAATATGTCAAAACAATAAAAAAAGAAGTCACAGCTGAAGGATTGTTTGGTTTGGGATAAAATGAATACTGGCTGTGCTATAATTTAAAGTCAAGTTAATTAAATCTCACCAGCACAAAGTTTTTCAAGGCCAACACTTTGGACCCTTACTTGTCTCTACAAAAATGCAATGATAAATTCAGACCCTGTGATTCCTCCACACCGTCTTTCCTAGCACACAGTTCCAAATTATTTCATCCTGACAAGAGGTACTACGCCTTTATTAAGACTGGTACCAGAATACAGGAGTGTTGTGCGATTCAGGACACTGTGATTTGTTAGCAGAGACTAATCTGGGTATGCTTCAGCTGTATTAAGACTCCAAAGACAGCTTTCCTTCACAGATAAAGCTCTTGAAGGACACAGAACACCTTGTAGAACAGGGGCTGTTACCTGAGCTTTATTTACCACACAGCTTCAAACACACACACAACATAAAGGAGTGACCATCCAGCAGATTAACCAGAGGCTGTCTATGTAGGTTAATACTAAATACATTCAAGCATATTTGGAAGACTGAGACTTCACAAGCAATATTTTAGGAGAACTGAGACTTTATTTTAAGCAGTACAAGTAATACAACAGTAGAGCTTACTTAACCACATCACACTCGCTCCCACTGAGGTCACTTTTTAGCTTAAATTAGTTTCAAACATCCAATTTCATCTCTCTGATGACAGAGTTACAGTGCCTACAACTGCCACTGTTGAAAGCACTGATCTGGGTGCAGGTTATAGCCCAAACATTGTACCAGTTCAAGACCAGAAAACATGCTAAAGCCAAAACAAAGAAAAAATAATTCCACCAGTTCCAAATACTGTTATTCTCAGGGAAAAAAGCTGCAAGTCAAGAATAAGAGTACCCAGCAGGGAAGTGGCACTACAGAAAGGACACTGGAGAAACACTGGTTATTTAAGTACCATCCAACCTCCAAAGACACATACAAATGCTTTAGAGTATTTTAAAAGCCCCAACATATTGACTTTGCTTACAAACAGCTGCCTGTCCATAGATGGCATTTCTTTTTTATTCCTGTTATTTCATGACTCAAGTTATGCATTCTTCAGAAAAAAAGATACTTCTGAGTTACTTGTTGTATCTAAATTTAAACTATGGTGTTTAAAGATACTGCTTTCCTTGAACCTTTGTTTTGTATCTATTTCATAAGAAATCCTTCTTATTTGAAGTGTATTAGGTTCTCCTACAACAAAGTTCTGCACTTTAAATTTCCAGAAACCTTACAAAAATGATAACATGGGATTCTGACTTGGTGAGTGATAATGCAAGTGTTTACTTTTTTTCAAGGAAGTCTCTTTTTCAAGAAAATCCTCTATTATTTTAAGTACGTTTCAGTTAACAACTCTATAAAATAGAAAAACCCATGCCTTTGATTTTCATCATAGAGGTTACTCACTAAAGACTTTAATTCTTTAGTTAAAGAAGATGAACATATAATCCTTGAATGCAAGAAGTACAGCTTAAAAGTAAAGGCTATACCTGAACCAAAGTCTGTGAGGTAATTGCATAAGTATTTCCTCATTTTAATACTAAACAGCTCAGGATAAAAGAGAACAATAAGAGCAAGAACTTCCCTTATAAGTAAAGAACTGAATAGAGGAACACAGTTAATAAGGTAAGTATCCATACTACAGTACTTAAGTAAGGAAAACAAGGCCTACAACAAAAAGTCAAAACTTAAATCACACAAAGACAGCCCCATAACAAAAATAATATGTAAATATAACTTAGCAATTATATTTATAACAAAACAATTCTATAAGAGAGCTATATCATCAAATCTAGCTGACACCCAACATCAGAAAGAAATTAAACTACACAACAGAACTCCTTCCCTCTGCCTTGGGACTATGCTTATATAGATCCCTAATGGGGTGTAGATGAGGCCCCCAGGTGGGGCTGCTTAGGGCCCTCACCCCACATATAAACTCACACAGCTTTCTGGGAGTTTTCAACTATATAAGAGTCTGTATGTTAGTTTTGGACCTTGAAGTGGCTTGTGGAGGTTGTTAGTTGCTTTTTGTTTAAGTCTTAGAAAGGAAATTTAGCTTTTTTTTTGTTTGTTTTTAAGGTATGGTATGTTAGTTCTGTTTGTAATTCTTGTAATCAGTCTGTAGGTTACCTGCCTGGTGCTTAGCTTTGTGCTTTTTAGTTTTTTGTTAATATTTTTTTCTGAATAACTGTTTTTTTTATGAACCTAAAGTATTTTTTCAAAACTAAGAAATGCTGGTGTGTTTAAGAAAAGGCTGCTTTAGCTTAGCTTGATGTTAGGTAGATCCAGTAGAGGGTATTATCTGCTCTTTCTAGGTGCTGGAAGTATTGAATTCATCTAAGAATGCTGAGGAATGTAGAATATAAAGAACTGCCTTAATGTTTTACAGGTTGTATGTTCCTACTAATCAAACAGTGATGAATTATAATGTGTGGTGTAAGTGTTGTTCAGAAGCAGAGTTCCCATAGTAGGGTCACATGAGTTGGGGTCTTCTATAAGAGGTCTTCATAGCAATTACAGACATATGAGTGTTTATTAAGAATAGAAACTAATGGAATCAGATAGAACTGCCCTTAATTTTGAATTGGAAGAATGTGTTTACTAATTATGTCCTGAGTACTGTAAAACAGTAAAAGCAAGAGTACTTTTCTCACTTCCTTTTTTAGTCCTTGCTTATTTCCTTCTTGGATTGTACTATGCTTCAGTTTGCTTAGCTGTGCACGTCATTTGTGATGTTTGCAGTCATTTGGGGTGTATTCCTTTAGAAACGTTTCCACAGTATTTTTTCTGTATGAGCAGCAGATATATTAAATAATTTTCTGTAGGCTTTATGTACTCACACCATACAGCACAGTCCTGCACGTTCCTTCTTTGTGAGAACAATTGCATGGCTGTAGGAAGATACACGTGTTGGGGTGTTAAGTGATGTTCCGTGAAGAGGAAGTGGAGGTGCCGGTCGGTGCTGCTCACGGCTTGCTCTGAAAACTCCAGGGATGATTGTGTGGCTGCTCCCTGGAGGCCAGGTGCTGCGCTGAACTGTTCTTTATGTAGGATTCGTTGTAGGGGTGCCGCTGGGATCGTATCACAGCACCGTTACTGCGTGTAGGCACAGACGTACGATTTCTGCTTCACTGCAAGTTTATGGGTATCTGTTCCTCGTATCGGAACCGGAGATGATGTGTAAGGAGCTAAGTACTTAGATCTGAACTGCTGAAAAGACCCTGCCACTGTTTAAATTCCAACAGGAAGAAACAGAATTCAGAGTTTAAACGTCAACGTTTGCAGGCTGTTTTTGAAAACCCCGCATTCGCACGTTGAACTCAGCAGAAAGCCGTGCCCTAGCGGGGCCGCACCCCGCAGGGACCCTGGTGCGCGGCGCAGCTGCCCCGGCCGGGCTGCACCAGCTCGTCTCCGCCGGGCGGCGCCCGCGGCTCCAGCCCGCTCACCTCGCGCCGTGCCGGGCAGCGCTCCGACAGCTTTCCGTCAAGCGGCGCCCGAGCCGCAACCGCCGGGCCCGAGGAGAGGGCGTGGAGAGAGCCGCGCCCCGGCCGTTGCCAGCGCGGCGCCCGCGGAGCGGGGAGCGGCTCCCGGCGGGCGGGGCCGGCGGGGAGGCGCCGGCTGCCATGTACGCGCTGCGGGGCGGGGCCGGGGGCTGAACGGCACCCCTAGCCGGGACCGGAGCGGAGCCGCGCTCCGTCCTCTCGGTGCCGCCGTCGCTCCGGGTATGGGTGCGGAGCGGGGCGGCGGAGCGGCGCTGCCCCGCGGCTCTGAGCGCGCGTGGGGGCGGCCCCCGGGGGGCTCCCGGCCCATGGCCTTCATGATGATAAAGAAGAAGAAGTTCAAGTTCCGCGTGGAGCTGGAGCTGGACGAGCTCTCCTCCGTGCCGTTCGTTAACGGCATCCTCTTCTGCAAGGTGCGGCTGCTGGACGGCGGCAGCTTCAGCGGGGAGTCCTCCCGGTAGGTGCCGTCCCGGGGCGGCTCGGCAGCCCTTTCTTTGGCTGTCGGAGCCCCGCAGGGGGCGCGGGCGCTGGGTTCCGGGCGGTGCGGTGCCAGCCGGGGGTGCGCTGCTAGCGGCAGCGGCTGTGGGATAAGGTACGGCACTCCTAGACTCGTCGTCGACTCGCTGCTTGAAGTCGTAATGTTTCAAAACAAACGTTAAGGCTCTTAAACGCCGGTAAAAAGATGGAATGAGTCCTCGAGCGGCTGAGGCCACTTGTGCTTGAGCCGTGATGTCTTGAGCTGACGGGACGGGCAAAAGGAGAAGGAATTCATGCTGCCGGCTCTCAAGTCGGAGCAGTTGGGTGCAGGCTTCTGTCTGTCGTTATATAGATACATAGATACTTGCAAGGAGAATAAACATTAACAGGTTCGTGGAGAAGTGCCGTCGTCTTTCCTGCATATGTTCGAATCGCGTGCTTTACCGGCTGCTCCTGCTTGATGCTGCAGTGAAACTGAGGCAGTAGACAGCTGTCCTTTCTCCTTCTGCGCTGTGCCCCAGCGGTAGAGCTGTCACCTGCCCGGGTGCTGCCCCGGACAAACAGCCTCGCTTCGGCAGTGCCGGGTAGGGGTGGACCGCGGGCAAAGCAAGGTGAGCTGTGAGCTGCAGGTTCACCCCAGGTCTCCCATAGGGACAGGGGATGGCCCTCCCGTTACAGTTATTCCTTTTGTGTGGCTAATTATATTACTCTAATGTTATTACAAAGAAGATTAACTGAAAATGTCTCCTGGACTTCTGTGAGGAGACAGAAATTATTAACAAATCTATGACTACTCAGTTATTCTCTTATTAAAATGTATACTGCTGTTGTAGAGCTTCCAGAAGTATCGGCTTCTAATTCTCTAAATGAAACTAATAAAAGAAAATAAAGAGCACCAGGATAGGACTTTGGCTGAATAACGTGTTCTTCAACCATTCTAATATACTAGCATGTGCAGCCAGACATTGCTTCCTTCCGTGTGGTTGACAGGTAATCAGTTCATTACTGTTCTGTTCTTGTTTTGTCTTTTTTTTCTGCTCAGTATTCTTCTTGCAAGCAACTTCATTGTAAGTAATAGATGGATAACCATCGTAAGTTTAGGCCCTGATGTACTTCTACTGTTCTAATGCAGTCCTTATGGCCTTGAAGTCACTTTCACAGGCTGATGTATTTCCTGATAGTTTATTTGAATGCAGCTGATTCCAGGTGGGCCAGTGTGAGTGATGTAAAGGAGACAAGGCAGAATGTGCCTCCAGAAAGTGCTAGTGGAAGCATGATGAAGCTGGGAGCTGTGCTGAAATAGTGCATTGGATTCAAGCTTTGCAATTCTTCTACCTCCTCCTATCCTGGGGTACAGTTTAAAAATAACAACAACAATGAAGCATCAGTGCATCAAAATCCCAGTGAGTGTGTTTATGCTGGCCTGAAAAGCTCAACGTACGCTCAAAGGAAGGTATAGAATTCCTCTGCAGTGATCCCTCAATGCCAATTTAGGGAGTGCCTTTGCTCTCAGCTTAAGAATAAACTAATGGATTTTCATAGTGGTGATTCAGCAAAGGTCCAAATAAATAAGGAAGAAATTAAATTAACAAGAATGGCAGCATTTCAAGACTTGTCAGTTAGATGTTTCTTCTTAAAATAGCAGTCATCTTCTATTTGCATGTGTTTCAGTGTAAGGTGGTGGTCATTTTCTGGAAGTAGTCACCTTTGAAGTGTTAGGAAAAGCTTGAAGGACTTGATTGCATTTCAGAACACAGTATACAGGCTTCTCTGAAATGCCGTATTATACGTGGAAAAACTGACAATGTCTCCTTAATGGTTTTCAGCAATTTTTGTTATTGAGGTCTAGTATTTTTCAGGGAGAAGATGCTGAGAATGAAGTTCATTACTGATACAAACCAAAGACCCACTGCCCTTGACTCAAAAGCAAACAAAAAACCTACTACGGAATCAAAGAACAGCAATATCAACAGGCTATAAACTAGGGTAACCTTAGTAGGAAGAAATGCCCTAAGAAGGCTAGCAGCAGTGCAATCAAGGCCTGTGTGTAGTGAGTTGTCATGTGAGCAGATTCAGGCAGTCTGACTGAGCTCTGGATGTTGCTGTATGAATGATTAAAGCCCCGATCCTGCATGCAGTATCAACTTCCTGGATGCTGAAGTGGGACACAAATAAGACGTAAGTTTGAGCTACTGAAAAATATTTTCCAAGCCTTAAATCTCTACCATCATGTAAGAAATGTTACGAAGTCCTAGTTCGTATTAATGAGATTCTTTTCTCAGTACAAAGGCTCTTCTGGTTGGTACAGATGTGTGCTTGAAGCGCATTAAAAATCTATGACCAGACAAAACCAGCAGATATAGCCCAGGACACAAACTGATTTTCAAAACATCTGAGTTGTTCACGGATGTAATTTTGTACATAAACTTTTAAAACTAGTTTGAAAACATTTATTTGAAAGCAGCCTATGTCTATCTGTGAATATTTTCTGTAGGTGAAGAAAAGCTGTATAACAGTATCAAATGTTTTCAAATAATCCAGTAATTTAAAGTATTCTGATGAGAAAAAAAAAACATTGAATAGGCAATAGTAGCGGTGTTTAAACTTGAGGGAAATGATGTAGGGGACTAAGACCCTAGAAATATAAGGCAGATGAATGCATTACAAGTTTTCACTCTACAATGTGGAAAACCTTCAAATAAGTTGTAAAGTGGAATTAGGTTTTATTTGTTCTAAGCTGCCAGTCAGCCATCCAGTACAATTTCTCTACTGAACTTTTTGGTACGACTTCGGGATCTTTACAGTAGTTTTCAAGATTTTTTACAACAAAGGTTGTGTTCTCAGCAAATATACGGGGTATATGCCATGTTATGCTAACAGCCCCCGGTTTTACTAAGAAAACATTCTTAGACCTGGCTTCATATGCAGAAAGGTATCTATGCATTTTTATTTTTCCCTTGGTCGGTGGTAATAGATATCTATCTCTGAAACTGGATACTTCTGCAGATTCCTAAATACCATCTACTTGAACACTGTTTACAAAATCCTGTGTACACAGTGTGTACCATGGAAGAACAATAGATCGTCCCAGGGCAGAAATTACACCTATGAATATTTTAAACAGGAAACACTAGTATTCTAGGGTACAGGTTTCAATGAATATTATGTGTGGTTTTTTTACAGCTAGTACAATGCAGACAAATACAGTGGAAGCACAGACTGTCTGCAACTGACCTCGCTGTAAATAGATAGAAGAAATAATTGATAGGCCCCAAGGGTAGATCACTACTTACAGATCACTGCTTATAGGCTGAGTTGTTCAACCAACAGCAAAAGAGAAAACCGCATATGAAGGAACTAATTGAATTTACTAAACCAAAGGATCTTATTTCTTAAGAGGGTGCTTTCAACATTCTGCTGTTCAGGCTGAGGCTACAGTAGTTGTAAACCTGGTAGTTAAATTTTCAGTTGGAATTCCTCCCCCCCTTTTGTTATACAAAAGCCTTGTTATACAAAAGAAGTGAAGGATTTGTGTGTTCTTAGGCTCATAGTTTGGTCAAATTCCCCTACTTCAGAGTTTTGATTGCTGTTATTTTAAGCTGCTTATGGTTCATTTGTTCTTTTATGATCCATTCAAAACAATCAGAACTAAGTTGATTATTATATCTGTGTGTGACAAGAATATTGGTAGAGATGGGGGAGGGAGGTACTGAAAATTAATTTTTCAATCCAAATGTTTTCTCCTGAGGATTCCAGAGAAGTTTGTATATGATAAGCTTTTGAATTCTGAGAGGTAGTTGCAGAGCTCCTGGGTTACGTGTAATTATACTCTTATTTCTGAGGTACTAGGTAGAAAAGTAATTTTCTGCTGTAGATTTCAATATCTTCGGGACAAGAGGTATTTCTTGTTTCTACTGATGCTTGACTGCCTCTTTGCCAGCCAACTGTAACTACATTTGCTTTGTGTGGCTGTGGCAAGCACATTTTCTGCCCCACTAGGCTCTTTAAATTGCTTTCTAATCATTGTTTCTCTTCCTGTCACTATTGCTTTTGAAAGGGAGAATTTCTCTGGATAGTAACACAGCTTAAACAGCTTCCTAAACAAAATACTTGTTAAAATGACATACCTGTCACGTGGGCTGCTGTCCCTCTCACTCTCATCTTCCTGCACAACATATGAATTCTGTGCGCAGTCTTCAGACTTAGTAATGAGTTGTGCTATTTTTAATGGTTTTTCAACTGCAATCTGAATTGCTGATGGAGAAACTGGAATGAAATAAATTTTCAAAAGCTGTGAGACAGGTTAGTGGTAGGAAAAAATAATCCTAAGGCCTCAGTAGCAGCTAAGAAAATGTTTGTCTAGATGGCATTTTGCATGAAAAGTAATGGGTTAAAATACAGGTGAAAATGGCTCATTATTGTGAGACTTCTTACTGTAAGTACTGTAAGAGATGCAGCAACAGCTAACTTGTCAAGAAAAAGTTCCTGGAAAAAGACGTGACAAGCATCTGTTAAAGGATGGAGTTACAGGTTTTTGTAAGCAACATGCCCCTGTGCTTCACCAATGTTATTGTCTCTTGTACCTTTCTCTGCTCTCTGTTGAGGAAGGTCTGTCTCTGCCTTCTTTCTAATTTAACAGAAATAGCTGAAGATGGGAATTAAATTATTTTCCATCTCTTCTTTAGGTTGTAAAAATGAAGCTCTTCCAACTTCTCCTCCTGGTTCATCCCTATTGTTTGCAACTCCTTACCCTCATCTCCCACTCTCTGGTCTCGCTACTGTTTTTCAGTGTCTTTTGCTGGGGAGACCCAAAACAGGAGTCAGTGCTATAGACAGAGCCTCACAAGTGTTCAGTGGAGGGAACAGTAACTTCTTCTAAACTGCTGGCTAGTCTTATTAATACAGTTTGCCCTCCACTGAACTAATTCCAGTTTAGGTCTCTACATTTGCTTTTAACCAGCAATTTTTTGTGAGTAAAAAATAGCCTAAAGCAGCTCTATTTTCATATTACAATCAGTTTGTACATATTTTATCAGGAATACCTGACATGAGTATTATTAGTTAGATTTAACCTAATTATTATGTGTAAAAATATGAAATGGAAAATGATTCCTGTCTTAACATTGCATATACTAACTGCTACATATTGTACTGTAAACAAGGGGACTCTTCCTGCAGAGCTGTTCACTGTTTTGCATAGTGCTGAAATTTGTGAAAAACTGAAGGAAACATTGAAGCGCTGCTTGTAAATGACTGGTTTTGTTTGTGTTTTTGCAATGCTTAGGAAAAATGTTTTTGTTGGAGGGAATGCATCTTACATGACTAAGGCATGGATGAAACGATGTTGAAGTCAACTGTCTTCAAAAACAAGAAATAGATGAAGTTCTGTGTAAGCTTAATTATTACTGTGTATTCTTCAGACATGCTGCTCTCAGCTCTAACTTAAAGAGAAGACTAAATTTAGTATTCTGTTTATTTAGTAATTTACAATTAAGTATAGATGTTTTTTTGAGACATTATATTCAGCTACAAATGAGCAAAAATGTTCTATGTTTTTCAAAGATAATGAGGTTAGAACTGGTGCATATACAATTGGGTATAAGTTATTAGGTGATGTTTGAGGGAAGAGTCAAAGGTGGGAGAAGGGGTGAATTTAGGTTATTTGAGGAGGAACCAGAGTGAGAAAAAAAGTAGTAAAACAGGTAATGGGATAGAAAGGGCCACTCACTAGTGCTCTTCAGTGCTTATCTGGTTGTGCCATATTTTTATCACTGCATTCTACTATCTTCACATGAAACTTTTTTCTAATTCATTTTCTTGGGTGATATGCTCTGTTTGGGGTGTGTGTATGGTGGGAGGCCAGGAACCTCAGCAACTGAAGTCAGACTGTTCACATAGAAGGGAGTGAAATCATGGACTGGTTTAAGTTGGAAGGGACCTCAAAGATCATCTAGTTCCAACCCCCTGCCGTAAGCAGGGTTGCCAGCTGCCAGATCAGGCTGCCCAGAGCCTCGTCCAGCCTCACCTTGAACACCTCCAAGGACAGGGCATCCAGTTTGTCAGAGCAGCCTGTAAATGAGGCCAATGGTGCCATCTGTAGCTCTGTCTGATCTGTGTGGCTGTCTATGTGTGTGGTGTGCTGGTGTGATTACCTGGGAAGTATCTTCAACATCATTACTGGTTGGACCGGAGGCAAGGGGAGCTGCAGCAGCCCTGACTCAGCATTATGGATTTTCCCCTGAAAGAGGCAAACAAAACTTAGATAATGCTGGAAAAGCTGCTCCCACTCCAAGTTAACTCATCTAGAGGCATTTTATTGTGTTTCAGACTGCTGATGCCCAGTCTCTAAAGTTCTTGAAAATCCTCAGAAAACTCTTGTATAAAATCACCAGCTTTAAAAACAGCAATAATAATCCCGTTTCCCTTGTGGAGTGAAAAAAGCTTTTTTTTTTTTTGAAGTACTTATAGGAGCTTTTAGATAACTCACGTTTGTCACTAAAGCTGTAGAATGTTTAAACAAGCACTGTTTTCCTTGATGTAAAGAAAACTACTTACCTGATTGATTATTTTTTAAAATATTGATGTAAATTTTGTCTAATATAAAGCTTAAATGGCAACTTAAAGTTGTAAACAAATGCTTCCAATTTTGTTTCCTTCTTCCTAATTGCAAAGCAACTCTGCTAGACAAACCATTTTTTAACATGATGGTCTGCATATGGCTAAATGTTCTAATCAGCTGTCCAGAATAATTACAACAAAAACCTGAATAAACAAGTTTCTAATTAACTAAACACAGTATTTTTGCCTGTAAGGAGTTCTGACTTCATTTCTAAGCTTCTCCTGATTCATTTTGTCCATTTAGGAAGAAGTAATTTTTCACAGGATGCTTAAGGTCTTTACAAGTAATTTATGTTTGCATTAGTGGCCATTAGATGAAACAAGCCATTATTAACATGTCATATCCATAAGGGAATAAATTAGGACAATAAGCCAATTGGGTTAGGGTTTGTTGCTTCCTGTATGTTTTTCATATTGATTTTTTCCTCATCTGTGAATCTGAAGAGAAAAGCAAGACTTTTATTCTGTTGTTTTAAAATGCAGTTGTGTACAGCACATAAAGTACATACAGGAAGGGACTTGTCGGCAGCAAGTCTAATAGGAATTTAGTCAGTGTGAAGTTGTACCTTTAAAGAAAACTCACAATTTGTTCAACTGACGGTTAACTTAAATTGATTCCAAAGCATGGTCTGTCTTAAATATCTGCCTATATTGCATTATCCTTGGCTAGATCTTACTAATAGTGTTTGCTCTTGCATTGCATGGAAGTGCTATGGTTAGTACATATTTGACTGTATCTTAGTAACCAAGATGCATTTTGATTCATAAAACAACTGTTTCTGCTTTGCATGTGGTAAAGTGACTATGAGGCTCATAGGAAACTGACTCATAACGGAAAGCTTTCTCCAGTGTGCCCCATAACATAGGCACAGTCACCAAGAAGTTATCTGAGTTCACTTCCATAGTAACCAATCAATGTAACTTGAGTTTCTGAAGATCCTGCATGTGAACTAAGAATCTCAGAAGCTTAAATAGTAAAACTGTCAATATTTAACTTGTTTCTTTTCAGTCTAAGGGGAATTAACTGCTACTATTTTCTCTTAGGCCAAAATTACCTTCCTTAAAATGTTACATATTTTTTTTCTATATCACAAAATTGAAGGGACAGTTCAGTGGTTGTGTGTTGTTTTTTTTTCCCTTGTTTCTGCAGATTGTATATAAATCTTCCAACTATCATGCTCTTTAAAACCATGTGCCTGTGAAAGTAACTGATTACGCTTTTGGGGGGGGGGTTCTTGATTTTGATTGTTTACAGGAGCTTTAACATCAATATCTTTATATTGAGACATTTTCATAGTAGCTTTTACTTGTTTGTAAAATCTAATTATCCTGTTCCATGTTTGTAATGTTATTTGCCTGAAGAAACCCTAACCTGTGACGTGACTAGATGGAGAAACACTTCAGATACAGTTGCCTGTATCCCAAAGTATAGTGCTTTTGTGCTATTTTTCTTACTTGACCAATGGGACGTGCATATATAAGTATTGGTAGTATGCTGAAATAAATTTAAGATCCTTCTAAGGTTTTAAGGACACTGTTACATTTATCAAGCAGTTACTACTTGTTTATCTTACAGCATATGCAACATGTAAATATGTGGACACCAGATACCCATGCACTTGCAGTGTTGTGCTTGACAGTGGACATTTAGCTGGCAATTTTTTTTATCTCAGAGATGGCAATGTCACCTAAATGCTACAATAACTATTAAAGCCTTCTCTGTGTAACAGAACTTAAGTTATCCAGTGTCCCTTGAATCATTTTACTGTACTTGGCTCCTTGGCTTAAGCCTGTTTCCAGTGCAGAGCGCAGATATGTATAATTTTTCTGATTTTTGATTCTGTTCAGGGTCTAACTAACTGTCATTCTGGCAGATTTTTTTTTTTTAATTTAAAGCACAGAAAGGTTTACAGTAGAAAACGCAAAGGATAAAAGGTAGACTGTGGTGTACAGAGCCTTTTCCTCTTAGGTCACATGCTTGAATGTGACTCAGTGTTGTATCATCAGAATCCATTAGTCTGTTGCAGTAATTAAACTGACTCATTTCAGGCAGGCTAGTTTATTCCAACCTTAATAAGTCATTGTGCACATAAGCACTGTAGCTGGCAGTCTCACCAGCACAGCAAGTTTGAGCCTTGTGATTCATCCTTTCTCCAGAGGTGATAAACTCTGACTCCAGCTTAGGTAGAACCACAGAGTCCTACCTGCACTAAAGATGTCAGGCTAGATCTTCCAATAATAAGGTGTTGTAGGAAGTTCATACAAAATAACATTATCTGCATTAGAAAAATGGAAGAGAAGGAAAAGGGGCAAGTAGTGCTTTTATACGTGAAGATTTGAGTAACTGGAGTGATGGAAGGTACCGTAGATGCTCTGCAGTTCCAAGTTCTGAGTTCAGAAATGTGAGACTAGAAAAGAGATCACTGAGTCTGTACAACTGTCTTTATCTCCTGCTGCTGACAAACAAGCCAACCATGTCTTCAAATACCTTAAGATTCCTTTGCTTCTATGTCAGTTATTTGAAGGCTGTTCTACAAAACTGTGTTACAGTTTCAGACCTTGTAATTTTCAGCTTTAAATGTGTGGTTATGCTTTATTTTGTTCCCAAGCACTTCTCATTTGGCTTAAGAGGTCCTTTGGTGTCTGCACCAGCTTGAATTACTTAGCAAGTTTTTTATTATAATTTTTTTCCTTATAAAATACAGGGCTTTTCTATCCTCTCGTATTCATTTTAGAGTCTGTTCAACTTCAGCTTAAGTTTCCCTTGCAGTTAACATAGCTGAAAGCATCCTACACTTCATCTTTTGCAAACCTACATCATTTTGCTGAGCTGTAATCCTGCAAAGAACAAATCCATTCAGATTAGATACATTTCCAGTACATAGCTGAAGTTTTTTTATGCTCCAAGTGCATGACTTTGTATAAGGTTATTTTACATTATCTCCTTTGAACTGGTCCAGGCCTCAAATTTAACTAGTTCTGCTTGTATGATGCTTCTTTTCTCTGTATTGAAAAACTACTGCCAGTCTTGCTACACAGAGAAGCATGAAGGATGGTTACTTCAGGCTTTGGAACACACTTCAGTGTCCACTTCACAAACAGCAGAAGCAGTACTTGTTCTTAAGCTGTCCTGTTGTGTGCTATGGTCTTGAATGCATATACAACTGTTATTAAACATATCTTTCCTATATGCAGGGAAGTGGTGCAGGCAAACTGTGTCCGCTGGAAGAAGAAATTCATATTTATGTGTAAAATTAGTGCCAGTGCCACAACAGGGATTCTGGATACTTGTATCTGCAGAGTGTCTGTGCGGAAGGTAAGCAGTGTTTTGTCTTTTCTTCCCCCATTTTTTCTTCACTTCTTTTGTATTTTCAAGAAGCTGATAAATGTAATGAAGTTAATTTTAGCTGCAACTATGCCAAGCATTTTTCTAATTAAGACTTGCATGGCAATTTATTGCTTTATCTTGATTAAGTTATGGAAATTAGTAATTAAACATATACTGAAAAGAACAGTCTGCAGCAGGGCAGCAGAGTAATTGCTCATCAGCCTCTATAAAGGTAGTCCTTGATGGATACTTGTAGCAAGCACCAGATAACTTAGAAGCCTGGAGCTAGACTTCACAGAAGGCAAATGCTGGTCTGTCATCAGGCACTCTGTTCACCAATATGCTGGCAAGCACTGAGGACATAATAAATGACCACAGCATAGTCTAGCAAATGTGTGGTGAGATATATTAAGACTAAGACTAATATTTGCTTTTCTTAAGTCAGTATTTCTAGTGGTTGGTTTGCGTAATTACTAGAGTCTCTTGTTTCTTTTTTTGTTCCTAGGAGTTAAAAGGAGGAAAGGCATATGCAAAGGTAAATTGAGATATTTAATTTAGCCTATGGATTGTCTTTTATTTCTTCTAATTTGAAGTAATTCTTGAATAGTACTGTAATACCTGTGATTTCCTTAAGTGTGCTATGGTGACAGTTGTCTGAACTCTTGATGACTATGTTTCATACTTATTTTATCATCAGAATTTTGTCTTTCAATTATTTTGAAAGAGTTGAAGTAAACCCTTTTGCATATATTTCTTTCAAAAGAATGCATCAAGTTCTCCTTTTTCTTATCTTGACACTCTAATAGGTAAATGAAGATAGATCTACTTAAAATTCAATGCTCAGCTTTTCAACGTTTTGTCTTGTGCCTCTCCCTTTAATAATCATCATTTTAACTGCAGTAGACTATTGTTGAAACTACTGTGCATGTAGAAAGTGCCTTATTTAGTAATGTGCATGCTACTAACTTTCATTTTTCTCTTTAACAGTTGGGCTTTGCAGATCTAAATCTAGCAGAGTTTGCTGGATCAGGAAATACCACTCGTCGCTGTTTATTAGAAGGTTATGATACCAAAAATACAAGACAAGATAACTCCATTCTCAAAGTAATTTGTTTCTTTTTTCACAATTAAACTAATAAAGCAGAAAAGATGTGTTTTGTTTAAACATGAAATGAAGTTTCAATAAGTATACCTGCTGAACCTCTTCTTAGAGGGAAAACTAGTTGAAGTGAAAATATAAGCTTCATTTAGACAGTATCATTAAAATCCGTATAGTCAGTAATAGAATTGGTTCTACTCTTGGATATAGAGCTAGATAGCTGTAAAACAAAAGCTTTCAAATGGTATTCCTACTCTAACAGCAGTGGAAAATTGGAATAGTGAAGTACAATGGAAAAAATAAATACATATATGAGTGTGGGAATTACATCTCTAAGACTGGACAACTTCCTGTGCAGGTCTCCAGGTGAATTTTAATTGTCTTATGTGTAAGCCAGCTTTAACACCTCCATGAATCCTGTAACCTAACCTTTTCTTTTGGGTAGTAGGAAATATAACAGTTGCCAAGAATTGTTGAAACTCAACCTGCTTTTCTCTCCTGTTAGTTTATGGAGAATGAGAAATGGAGTCAATTGCATAGGACGCATTACAGAAGGTTGCAAGTAAATTTAAAAATAAAAAAAAGCTTGTCCTACCAAGACACTAAAATTTATTTCTATTATTAGTATACCATTCATGCATGCACTTCCTGGTGTCTTAAATATACTCTTTTAATTGATGGCTTTGAGCCAGCCAACAAGCCTTCTCAGTGTATTGCTGTTCTATGGTATTATTTACCTTTTGTGGTTTTACTTTATCTGTGATGTTTGAACAGATAGTTCTAGTGTGCTGGCAGTTTGCTAAACACTGTTAGCAAACAACATACTTTAGCATCCACTGTTTTAAACAAAAATCTGTTTGCTCATGAATCTTCTAGTTTCAAGGGAAAAATAGAGACACAAATTCTCGCTTAACTAGTAACTGTTTTAAGATGATTATCGGTCTTTGACAGAATGTAAGTGTAATTCTGTTTTTTTTTTTTCAAATGCTGCTTTGTTGTGTGTATTCACAGTACATATGTAAACATGCACTTTTTTTGCAGAAGCATTCAGTTGCATATGTGATGCTATTTTCCTGAAATGTAAGACTTGTGGCAAATACAACTTAGTGGTATGACAATATACCGCAGATGATTGTTTCTTATATTTTTTTCTCTTCTTCACGCGTAGGTGTTGATCAACATGCAGCTAATGTCTGGAGACCCATGTTTTAAAATGTAAGTTTTTAATAATTTGTGTTGGATAATGTTTTAGTCAAGCTTAAGTGGCTCAGTTCACGTTTGAAATTATACTTCTGCTTTGCGTATATGAATTTCTTCAGTTAAATAAAAACAAAATTGTGATGGTAGCTGAATAACAGTTAACATAGTAAAAAAACAGCAGTGGAAGTATCACAGTTCTCCTTGCTGTTAAATACTTGGTACATTTTCAAGCAAAGACACTAGCCTGTACACCTGCAATGATTATATAAAAAAAAAAGGCACGAAAAGGAAGCTGTTCATACAGCAGCCATATATAAAAATAGATCTAACTCATGCTTGCTTGAATGTGCTGCTACAGGTTTTGCTTGCTAATCTAACAAGGCTTAAATAAAACTTTTTAAGTGTGTGAAGGGTTCAAGACTAAGCACATCAAGATCTTTAGTTAGCAAAGATATTTCTTATATATGACAGGAGATAGCAGTTTTGTCTGTATCACTGTATCACTTATAAAAGAAGTTGTATTTGACTTGTCACAAGTTATTTGAGGGAGGGGGTTGATAAAAATCCATTCATTCACAGTAAGTTAAATTCCTTAATTCCTATTCTAACTCCATTCTTTTTAATTCTGTACACTTCATTGATTACATCATTACTATACTGAAATTAGTGGGGGATGGAATCAAAAAAAGAGGACATGTTTCTTCCAACACTGTGCAGTCAAGTGGAACTCCTTCCTACTACATGTTGTGAATAATAAAACTAAACTCCTGAAAGACCTATGAAAAAATCCTGAATGAAATAATTTTGTGGGCTCTTGGGTATAAATACATGAAGCTCAATGTTTGTAAGCTAGAGCTGAGCTGTTGGAGTAATAATCAGGAGTTAACATTATTCTGTGTGCCCCTGTTATTTCAGCATCTGCTATTTGCTGCTGACAGCAACAGTATGCGAAGCTATATAACACTATGTTCTGAACAACATGCTTGGCTTCTTCTGAGCTCTATCAAAAAAAAGTCTCATCTAGTTAGTATTATATAACATGAAAAGAAAAAAACGTCTTAATGAAAAGGAAAACCATTTAGAAGCATTTGCTAGCTTCATACTTGCTATGTCAGTCTCATCTTTCTCGGTAGGTTAACCTTTCAGATTGTTTATGCTTTGAAAGCCTTGATCAAAAATATCTCCCAAAGCTAAAGCTAGTGCTTACTTACATTCTGCATTAAAACAGTTTTACATCAGTAACAATTACTGCTTGCTCAAAATACTGTTATCAACTGAATTCAAACTCATGTTTTATCAAATGAATATAGGTAACAAGTTCCTCTCTATAATCCAAGAAGGGGATAATATCATACAGGTTTATTTTGGAGTAATAAACACATACTGGAGTCTTCCTTAAAAAACACAACAGTATCTTTTAAATAAAGAATTTAGGTGAAGCTGTAGTTCCAGGAAAAGCAGCTCTGAACTCTTAACTCAATCTAAGGTGCTAGAGTGTTGTAACTAGTAGGTTTTAGCTTCTTTGAGGTTCTTGCATACTTACGACAGATAAGACTTATTTTCTGTAACAAGTACAGGCTTTGCATTACTGCCATGGAAGTGTCCTTACCTTTGTTCCTGAGGGGATCTGAGAATTGAGCTTGTAACAGATTAGCCCAGGTTGTTCACTTTAGGAACTCTTCAGTCCAGCTGCACCACTTAGAAGTCCTGTCTTTTCTCCTTGTCCAGCCTTACAAAGAGCAGAGTAGAACAGTGTGAAATCTCATCCTGTGCTTACAGAACAAACAGTAAGATGGTACTTCCTAAATATCTTCTGTCAAGCAAAGCTTTTCTGTTTCCCAGGTTATTGAGGGTTTCTTCATTTCTTTGAGTCAGACCTATTAAAAATATCTCACTGGTACTCATAAACAATTTCTCAGCCAATTAACTATTATCGTCTATACTAATAAAATAATGTCTTTCTGTTTGGGTAGCTAAGTAGCTGAACTTAATAACTAAATAGTTTTCTGGTTCCTTAGTAAAAACTCTGTGGCTGAAATTATTCAGACTTGGCATTTTCTTCCAAACTGATGATATATCATTTCCCAGAACGTGAAACTTCCAACACAAGCAGTACAAACAATTTATCTAATCCTGATGTTCTTTGTAAAAGGAATAAATGACTACCAAAAACAGTTGCACAGTCTGAAATCAGTTACATATTTTAAGAAGTCAAGATGGCTTCACGTCTATTCTGGGGTGATATCCCTGAAAGCATTCAGTTCTTGCTTTGAAAGGTATGTAGATTGCTCTGGAAGTAATGCCTCCTATTTATTTATATGACAACATATTAAGAAAACACACTGACACTATTATAGCAAATACACCACCATTAGCTGTGCATTTCTATGAGCAGTGAACAAGACTCTGCATGGCCATCCAGAACATGGCTTGTCTTTCAGGTTGGCACTGCAGAAGCACACCATCTACCCATGTCATTGTGCTCATGTCCACACTTTGGTCTCTGTGAAGGTTTGGCAAGTGTCAGTGAGTGTCATTTTTTCTGCATAGAGGAATTCAGTGACACACCTTTGCTTCTTACGCACTTCCATGTTAGGTGCCATTCTGTCAAACTGCCTATCTGTTGCCATCTGTCACACAGCAACAAAATGTAATGGAATATTGGTGAAAAGGTTCAACCTCTGCTGCCATACTGCCAACATCTGCCTCTGACATCATGTGCCATCGTAACAGAATAAAAGGCATTCAGATCACTGAATTCAGATCACGCTTTCAGATCAGCTCTTGTATGTTGGACATTCAAGTCACATAGGCATTTTGTGTCCTGAAGTGCTTTTTCTGTCTTTCTGTCTTAATTTCAAACTTAACATGACAGGGGACATTGCTGTACATAAAGACAGTGGCTGATTTATTAAATGTCAAACATAAAAATGTTAACAAATTCCATTTGTATGCAGAGCAAGAGTCTGTTCCCAAGGTCAAAATAACAAAGCATTGCAAAACAGGGAGATGATATCATGAAATGTACTTCAGTTGTGTTTTACTGCTTGCATGAGCAGATTACTTTTAATTGTCGTTTTCTAACGCTAAGAGGTTTATTCTTTTTAATAAAGTATCTCTTTGGGTTTTGGTATACATTGAAATTAGTACTTAAGCTCTATGAAAAGCTTTTTTAGTACTACACCAAATTTAAATAATGTAATGCACAATGTTTCTTTTTTAATTTGCAAGAGATAGAAGTTAGTAGAAAATACAGGAGGATAGGAACAGAAGGTCCTTTGATAGGAGGGCAAGGCCAATCACCCTGGCATCTCCTTATGTACTGCAACAGAACTGAAAGAAAGCCAACAATATACTGCACTGCACGAGCCAAGTAGGCAAACTGTAGATATGTGGTAGGTTTTTTTTTTTCTTTTTTAATTTACCATCTTTCCATGTATTCCATAAAGTACTGACTTACATCCAATCTTAGCACGTATGATTTGTATACTATAACAATGAACAATGAATTTTGAAAACCTTCAAAATAAACACATCGCTCAATGAATCAAGAAAAAAGAAAAGCCTTTCCAAGGATCCTCAGAAGTCTGAAGGACTGAGCAGATGGCTGCTGTAAAAATGTCCTGGAACACAGTAGCTAAAGCATTTTTTTCCTCTTCTTTCTTTTTGTTTTGAACAGAAGCTAGACAGCATGTTCTCAGAAAAAGGTTACAAGACAGCTAGCATGAAGCGCAGTATGAATTATGCCTACTTGAAAAAATATATATATCTGTGCTGATCAGTTTAGAGGAATCACAGCAAAAGTACAGCAAGTTCTAACCAATTTTCTTCTTACAGGCCTCCTTCCACAGCAATGTCTATAGCAATTGCAGGAGAATCAGAATCTTTGCATGAAGACAGAAAAGGCGGAGAAGACTTAAAAGTAGTACATCTGGGTGTAGCAGGTATAAAATTATGTTCTTAGGTTTTTAATTCTTTTATAACTGGCTTTAGAGCTTCAAGAACATACCTATGAATTACTTCTAATCTTAAAGGAATGTTGACAGGTGGCTCACAAAGGGTCCCTTTTGACTTTGTTTGCTGAGACATACTTTCCTAAATAACAGCAGTAGAATCTCTTTTTTTTAATTTATGTACAAGTTTGCTCAATGGAAAGATGGAAAGGAAACAGGCTTGATGGACTGCCTTGTTAACATATAAAATCTTTCATTTTCTATGTCACACGTATCTTGATTTGCCTTGGATTTATATCTCAACAGAGTATTTAATTTGGCCCTTGGCCTTCAATTTATGAATCATGGTTTTAGGGATACGCATATCCCTAAATTCTGAATAGGGAAAGTTCTGAGTATTTTGTAAGATACTGAAGTGGTTGTTCTGAAATAATCCATGTACATAAACAATAAGAAAAAATACTTCATTATGAGTTGTTTCGGTTTTTTTTTAACAAGCTTCAGGTTCATAGTAATGTTCACCTTAAAAATTGTTTAATTTATCTTAACCACAGTTGTTTTATGTAATTTTTACCATAAAACACCTTGCACATGATTCTATTGTGAGAAGCAGGGTAATTTTTTAAAGTGTTTACAGTGTAGATAAATCTAAAACTATTGTATGGTAACTGGTAAGTCACAGCCTAATCTACTGATTGAGCACCTGGGGAAAGGCAATTCACCTGCGTGATCAGAAGGGGTGGAGCCTGGCTGCACCTCTCTTAGACCTCATTTAAGGGCTGACTACCACTGGGGAAAGATTTCTTTCTAGAGATTTCTCTTTTGTGAAGGCTTCCCCTGTGAGCCTGGAATTCTCTGATATGGGTGAGCAATTTTTTTTCCCTTCCTTTATAGCATCTTTCTATTGTGCCTGTCCTTCCATCATGTCATCTCTCTTGTAATACCTTTCCCATCATATTGATTTGTCTGATTGTTACAATTGTACTTAGAAAGCTTATTAACTCAATGCTACTCTCAATTTTTGGGAGGAGAACCACGTTACATTTTATATATATATATATAAACAAACATTATATTATATATATATAATATATAGCATTATATTATGTATATATTATATATATATAATGTTTGGGGTTTTTTTTTTTGAGGGAATGTATATTCTTTAACACACACGGTATTTTTGTAATAGTTAGACCTTTGAAGAGATTCATAAAACATCAAATCCCTAACCTCTCTAGGAAACATGACATTTGAGTGTAGTCAAGATTATAGTCAAAGTAATGATGAAGCTGCCTTTGGCAACATTACCTGACTAGCATGTTTTGCAGATGTTTCATCAAAGAGTGCCTCAGTTCCTGACGAAATTGGTGCATGCGGACATTCCAGAACATCAAGCTATGCAAGTCAGCAGTCAAAACTGTCAGGTAGCTGTTAGCTAATTCTTTATGAATTGTTTACAGATTGTTGTTTTTTATTAACTTCCATAATTGTGTACCATAGAAAGTAAGTATAATTTTATGCTTTAAAAAAAAAATTGTATGAACTTGAAACTTTTTCCTGGGAGTTTCAGGTATGAGGAGTTTAAGGAAGGCAACATTTTCTCTCTTTAAACATGTAATACTTTATCTGTTCAGATGTGAGGTAAATTCTTCCCTGAGCTTTGTCACTCCAATTAACACATCTGTTGACTTTTTGTATTTTGCATGTATAAAAGCAAGTAGTTTATCAGTGGAGACAGGCTTACTTCCAAAAGATTAAGTAGTAATGACCATGTAATTGTTAGGAAATCAGAGTTAATTAAAAGAAAAAGAAAACAGCATGTGCTAGAATACAAAAACTGAAGTGAACTGGTGTATGCAAGTATTTGCAAGACTCTTCAAATTTCTTTTCAGGGGGACAAAACACAAGCTCTGCTTTCAGGATGGTAAAAGATGATTGATGATTATGGCAGCTAACAACATACCTCATCTAGCTCCACTGTGTTTCCCCAGCAGGACACAGCACATGTCACTCTAGATCAGCCAGTCTGTCTGAACTCTGTCACAGGAGAAACATCTCAGTGGATAGTACCTCAACAGGAATTGGAAGTATTCTAGAAGCCTGTAAAGAGACTGAGCCAAAAGTAACTAACATTGATACGTCTATTAAAGATGCATCATCAGAAAAACTGTGCAGGTATGCTCAATTTGAAAGCCTTATCTAGAAGAAACAAAACATAACTTATACATCACATGTAAGATCTCTAAACATAATTATTTTTGCAGACATCCTGTAAAGCAAGACTCTGTGGAATCACAGCTGAAGAGGGTTGATGCTACCAGAGTTGATGCTGACGATATAGTTGAAAAAATACTCCAGAGTCAAGACTTCAGTTTAGACTCAAGTGCAGAAGGTATGGAGATAAATAAGGAAGCTTAAGGAAAGTTGATGCACATTGCAGGCCTGAAGACAACACTTTTAATAGTCCCTGCAGTGTATATAGATCACTGTATCATCAGCTTGATCCTGTCATCCAGTAATTGGAAAGACTCTTTCCAATGTAACCAGAGTTGCGTAATTCTAGTAATTTTCCCAGATAATCACTTTTTAATCTTAAAAAGATAAGAGCAGGTACAAATTCATAGGGAAGTTAGTTCCTCCAACCTCTAATTTGATTCTTTACTTAAAATGCTTTTGTCTGAAAATATCAGTTAGAAAACCAGTAAATCTTAGATGACTTAATTTTAGAAAGGAAGCTAACATACGTTTATACTCTTGCTTTCTAGAAGAAGGTTTAAGATTATTTGTGGGTCCTGGTGGAAGCACTTCTTTTGGAAGTCATCATCTACCTAACAGGTATGTAGCCTCGATGACTAATCCATGGGTCACAGTAAACAGAAATGCATCTTATACGGTAGTCATTCTGTATACATATTATTGATCTTTTCATCTTTCTCTTCTGTATTGTTCAAAGGCATCAAAAGAACTTGCTTGTCATGTTTTAAACCAGAAGACAAAGGTTTCTTCTAAAATCAAACTGATATGCCAAGCAAAAGCATAACTTCTGGAGGTCCTGAAGACTTAGTTCCAAAGTTTTCAGATATGAGCAATGTTTAGGTATAGACACAGGAAACAGGCACCAGGTTGAAATCTTAGTTCTAGAGATTTTCTATAGTACTCTCTGAAACTGGAGTCTTGTAACAGTTTTATGCATCCACCTTCACAGCATCAAACATCTGTCTTCCTAGTAGCAAGCCTAATTTTATTTCCTTCAGTTTTGCTCACAGCTCCTTTTGTTTTCACAAGTTTCACTATTCCTGTTTCAACAGCTTTTCCTCCTTTAAGCTGTCTGTAGCTCTAAACTCCGTCCTTTGATAATCTGTTTGACTTTTTTTTTCCATGTAGTTGTCTTAGAACTAGAGATACTTTCTTCTCTAAAATCTCTTGAAATATTCTGGTATATACCTTTGTATTAGTTAGTCTTCTCAGACTAGAACGCATTAAAAACAGGTAACAAGGTGCTCTAACATAATGATTCTGCAGCTCAATGTTAACACTAGGATTCTTCTATAAACTCATGGAAGTAGTGTAGCATGCATACTTCAGTAATTTCAGTAAGTACTTCCAGAGTGCATTAATGTGCTGAAAGCTATGAAATGAATGTATTTAACACAAGCAAAAAACACTGATGGTTAGAAGACAATTATTTACAACCTGGGCACACTGATTTTTAAATAGGAGAACGTGGTTACACAGCACAGTGCTGTAGTATACAGAATTCTGTCCTAATTCAATTACCAGGCAGTTCGTTATGTAAAACTACCCACTATGCTATCATGTTGATGAGATAGGGAGACAAAGATACATAAATGTCATTTACGTTTCAACAGGAACAAAAGACTAAAGAGTTTTTCTTTTACCTTAACAGACCTAGCACTTAGTTTTTAAGAGTTCTACCTATTTGTGTGTGTGTGTATATACGCAGATAATTATATATGTTTGCAGCGGGTGGAGACAGTATCCAAAAAATAAAATTTAAGGAAGTTAAATCTGGAGGCCTAACAATAATTTTTGGCAGGTCTCTAACATTATTTATCACTCTTTGTTTTCTACAGTATTACACAAAGCTCTTTAATGCATTAAACTGGAAGTTACTGAGTAGCATGGTAAGAAGGGCATGTTTTTTGCCCTTCAGATTTAGCTGTTTTGGTACAAGCTGCTTGGTTTTGTTTGCTTGTTTTCATACAGTACATTGTTATTCATCTGTGATACTGTAAATTCAATTTTAACTGAAATTGATTTAACTTCTTCCAAACATTTTCAGAGTAGGATCTGGAGCATATGAACAGGTGGTGATAAAACGCTAGGCTAGAATGACTTGACCAGAAGAAGAAAACTCTAGCAGCAACATTCTAATTCACGTTTCTTCAATTGCAAGAGCTGTGAAAGCCAAGAGGAACTATGTATCAACTTGTTTTGGGAAAAGTATTGGAATGTCTCTTGCTCAGAGAGCTTTATCTTCTACGATATCAAGGCAATGTCTAGTTGTCTACACGTTGTGCAAGTACTTGGACTGTTTTTATAAGCTGTACCTGATGTTTAAGTGAATTACTTTTAAGTTGTTCCATAAATTTTTAGAAGCATGATTAAGTGGGTCTATTTCAATGTTTTACATAGCAGGTCACATGCAGCTATGTGCCCTGCAACTTCTTTTCTAAAGAAACTTCAAGAAGTCATAAATGAGCCCGTAGAAATGAATTAAGACTCAATTTGATGCTACCTGTTATGAAAGCCTTAGAAAAGCTACCTCCTTCTATCAAGTCAAAGCTACTATCATGTGAAGGTTATGGCTTCCCCAGAGCTCCGTTTTATATAGCCAAAATCTCTTCTGAAAAGTACTGAACATAATCTCATTTTAAGGATGAAGAGTGGAGGTGAAACTCGCATGCGTTAAAAAAGATTCTGTAGATGTATATCAGCCAGTAATAGGTTGTGTTAATTATAATTGATATCTAGATGCTTACATTATGAAATGCACTGTACAAGTGACAAAGCAAGTAGGATATATCAAAATACCAATGCACAGCAGTTACTATCAAGAATGCTGGTTGTTTCCCTTAGGATTGTTAATGACGGAGTTCAGAAGTCCCTTACACAGAAACTTGCTTCTGTGCACAAACCTAGAGATTCAGTGGGATGGTACCATTTACAAACCTCATCAGTAGTTTACTACTACTTTCAACTTTTTATTGTAGTTTAACCCTCCTCAGTTAGTGTTTTTCTTGTGTTGGAAGGTGCCTTGAGGGGATAGGGAAGGTACAGAGATATTAAACTATTTAAGCTTTAAAACTAGGTAAACATCTAAACTACTACCAGTATAACTTATTAAGATAAGCACTTTATTCTAGACGTATTCTACGCTCTTAAAAAGAATTTTTGTGCAACAGATTTGCCTTTTCATGTTGAACACTTATTCCATCACTATCCGTCTACTGTTACATTAAGGACAATGGACTGTACTTACATTTGCACAGATAGTGATTTGCCTGCCAGATGAGAAAGATGAATGAAGAAAGAAAATTATTAAAAGTTTTGTTAAGAATTTTGAAAGAATCCATATTTCTAATAACGTACTTCTGATGACATATTTCCAGTTTGGGCTTGGATCTGCTGTAATCTTAATCGTTATCCGCAGCTGACTTGTATTTTGTTACGACTGATTGTATTATTAATCAATAATTATTAAAAAAATAAGTAATACAAATAGCATGACCATTTTTAGAAAGCTCTGAATGCTTTAAATTCATCTCAAACTCAAGTTTAACATCTTTTTGAAGTATAAGTAGGCCTTATTTAACTGGTTTAATTAGGGAAAATCAGACTTAGTTTTCCATAAATGCATAGTAGTTCCTTAAACTTACTTGGTTTTAAGGAAGTTTCAGAGTTTGAAGCTTGAGTAGTGTTACTGAATAAGATGAATGAGTTATTTCTCTATTCTGGTACTTCAATATATTTCCTGCTGTAAACTATAATCTAAACATTTCTATGGGTAAAAAGAATTAATGCAAATATATTCTAGCTGCTGTAAGAGTGATATTATCTAAAATTTCATTGGGGAAATGGCAGACAATACCTGATTGCTAGTATACTGTCTCTCAGAGCCTGACCATTTCCTAATTTATAAAAAAAAAACAACAACAAAAAAGCCACAACCTATTGCAAACCGGAAGATGCGTGGAAAATGCATTATGTTGCCTTCAGTACTTGTAAACACTGCTATGCTTTTTTGACCAATCTAGTAGAACCATTAATACTTTCCTAGTTTACTAGGAAAACTAGGCACAGCTAGAAGAAATGTAAAAACACTGTACAGCTACATATGTAATTGTGAAAGGGAATTTCCATAGCCCAGATTTGTCTTCTATGTTAAAATCCACAGCTAACTGTCACAGATAAGCTATTTGTGTACTAGAAACCCGTTATTTTCTTGCCTGGGCAGAGTTTTATAAATAGGAGAAAGTTTTACATGGAAATTGAGCTTTAAATAAAGCTGTGTTCTGGCATTTTATTGTTCATCTTCAAGCTACAATTCTTAACCAAGTAATTACTGAATTGCACATATTTTAGATAGAACACAACCTTAGTACTTAATCTATTTTCTTTTTTGTAAACTATGCTGTAAGAACATTGGACACTCATGTTGTGAACTGTTTGGGATATGTTTTCTAGCTGTATTTAATGCCAATGTCTCAGATATACAATAAATGATATCTAAATGATACATATTCTTTGCAACATGGTTCCTAAAAAAAAAACAAAAACAAACACTAGAAGGAAAGGAGCTTAGGAATTAACATAAGGCTGTGCACCACTGTTGCATGTAATATATGAAGAAAAAAAACATAGTGTTAGGATAAATAATTTTCTTTCTAAAGGGGAAAAAAAAAAAGATATGAAACACCAGAACTGTGAATGCTATCAGTGACCACACAGGTATATTTTGTGGACCTTCTGATATGGGCAAACAACAGAGGGAAAGATGAGCACAGGAGATAAATGATTTTCTCCAATTCTTGCTATAAGTAATTTTCTGCCTTCTCCACACCCAACTGCTCATTCTTGCCTGCCTTCTTCTGTTGAACCAGTACAAGTGTCAGCAACGGATTAGTTGACTGAACTCCCTGTATGACCACACAGCACGACCTATCAGCAAGAAGGGGAAAGACAAACATTCTTAATGCATTTCTTAACATTTCTGTTACGATTCCATTGTGTTGTGTTCTTGTTAAAAGAATATCAAGTTACATTACTTTTTCATTTTTAAGTGAATGGAAAGATACAAGCATGTTAGCAAAGAAAGTTTTGTCTAAGTTCAGAGTTGTATAACCAATTTCAATTGTAAACATGGCACTACTTTCAGGGGTTGAGTTTTTTTTTGTAGTGTACTCCTGATCTACTACTGTTCCCCTGCTACCTTTGTTTAAGATGTGCTAGTGGCAGTGCATTTGATTCTGACAGTGTTCCAAGCAGTACTACATAAGATGCGATGATTTTGTATATTAGGAAGCAAATGCAAAGACTTTGCATGAGAGTTTTTGTCATTACAGAATCTCATTCAGAAGCATGTGTTTCTTCTATTCAGTTTAAATAGAAGAAAAAAAACAGGAAAGTACCAATAGCTAGCCCTAACAACACACAATCCAACATAATGATCCAAAGCTCATTAAACAAAATCATGTTAACAAGCCTTATACCTTTCATGCCTGCCTGTGACAAGACTTGAACAGTTAAAAAATTTAGTAGCAATACTATCTGTTTGAAACAAGTCTAGGGAGATGGACAATTAACTCCTTCAGGCTCACTGAACAAGACATTTTGGTTTGGTTTTGTTTCTAGAAGTTCACTATTTTTATAATTTATTTGTAGTACTTGCTCACTTTGCATCTAAAGCAATGATCAAAACCATTTTGTTGAGCTGTTCTAACCAAAATCAATCCCTACTAATTTATTCAACAATTGTCAAATTACTTCCTTTATATTGAGTACTCCATTGTATTTTTTGCCAGCCTTGGCTTTCTTTACTACCTTCTTTTTTCCTGTGTGCTTTCTCCACTTTCTCCTGTTTTTGATGCCAGAACACACTGAACGCTCCTTCTGGGTCTGATCTCATTTAAGCTCTCTCTCAACACTGAATGTGTCATTTTTACACCTAAGTAACACAAAATTGCAGAAGTAACTCAGGTAGCTTTCATGGAGAGTTTTTTTTCCTGTCAAATCAGTAAGATGTTTGTTATTGTACTTGCTAGTTAATTTTTCCTACAATCCTTGTGACACAAATAGTGTTCAAGTGTTTTAATTCAGGCGGTTCCTGCCACGGTTAATCATGGCTCCATATTTTTCCAGAATAAAGCATGTCCAAGGTAATCTATAGCTCCTTACAGGGCAACAGCTACATCTTCCCCATCAGATTTGAGTTAAGCCTGTTGCTTAAGCACATTCTAGCAGATGACTCTGAAGTCAATCAAACCTAATCCCAAGGAGCACCAAGACTAACGTACACCAGCTTCTGGATCTTTTATCAAAATGTCAAGAACATATTTGCTTGAACAACCTGAAGTTGATATGTTTCAAGATGCATGTGCCATCTCCTGGTCGGTAACATTACCACATGCAACTTAGAACGTCTAATTTTCATAAATTTCTTTTCATCATCCTGATTTCAGACAGCAAAATTGACGTTCACCAGTTTCAAATGTCAAGTTTAAATATGACACTGTGAATACACAATCATCAAAAGACCAATGTGATAATGAAAAGTTGTGCACAGTGAGTCCTGTGGGAGGGCTTAACCTCATGGAAAGACCACTAATTCAATACTTCAAAAAAGACTTTAACACTGATTTAAGCAAATGTAAATTCGGAAAGCTAGCACACAAAATTGTGTAACTACTTTTAGTAAAAAATGCAGTTTCAATTTAATTTTATCTGTTCCAAATAGGTTTTCTGTATATGATAAGCAATATATTCTTCAATTTCAGTATTCATGCATGTGCTAGGGAACACCAAACAGATACAACCAAGCATCTGTAGTCTGTCTTGATACTTTCCCCAGAAAAGGCATAAGCACAAATATAAGAATTTGTCAAAACTATCATTAAAAAACCAAAAGTAAACCATTTTACAAAGAATGGGGGTTAGGAGTCATTAACCACTTATACACTGAATTACAGTTGTCTCTTCCCTTTCACGTCTTCCAAACATTTAGAAGATATAATGTAGCCATCCTCTCTAAGAAACAGTACGTAGACCATTTTTGGTTGTTTTTTAATTTTTAGAAAGGTGTGAAACATCTTTCACAAACTTGAAGTTAGTTACATTAATACTTGCTCATTCCAAGCCACCAAAGATACTGTCAAAAAGATACAAACTGCAGACTTGAACAACCTCTGGTGGCACAAAAATACAGGTTTTCAAAACTGGGGCCAGGTTGGCATTCATGGAAAAAATAAAGCTGACAGATATGTTCTGAGCAGCTTAGGAATGATTTTATGGTTCCAGTTAGCATACAGAACACACCAATCTACAGCTACTAAAATCACTGCTTTCATTACTTACATTGAACTTGAAGTAAGAAAACCAATCTAATTCTCTTCGTTTTCATTTTCGGTATCGAGCATCACAGCAGAACAATCACTGTTCAGTGTGACTTTGCCAGTAATAAGCCTGCAAAACTTCTCAAAAGTGCCACAGAGCTGATTTACTTTGGGAAAAGAAAAAATTTTTCTCAGAGGTACATAAACCACATTTCCACTGATGAATGGCTCCATGCTTTTTTCAACAGTCATTGTTTCAAAATCTTCTGAAGAACAGTTCACTGAACATTGCAGTTTCAATTTTCTCTCTGTAGGATCATCATATTCTTCATATTCTGACAGTAAATGGGCCAGCAGACTTCGCTTAATGATTTGTGCTCTGAACATAACTTCACTGACCACTGCATTCTGCAGATACTTCTCATCTTTAAGGCTCGGATACACTGCTTTGAAGACCTTTACAGCATGCAGGAACACACAGAATACTTATTATTATTTTAGATTCAGATTGTAAACACTTGTCAAATAACTTCCAGAATGCAAACATATTTTGATTCAATCCTGTTTCATTTTTGACATATTTTCAAATACAGAAAAACTACACAGTATGACTTGATTTCAAGCGTTGCCACTGCAACAGCTGTTAGAAAAGTTAACAGAACCTAATAATAATAATAATAATAAAAGTAATAATAACAGAGCTTGTATCTGCAAGTTGTACTCATAGGTACAGCCAGGTAAAGCCCAGCAATTCCTTAATGCTTTTAATCCTTCTCTTACTTCTCACATTACTGATCATGAGGCACTGGTGACAGTTTCCCAGCTAGGAAGGTCCTAAACTCTTCTCAAATCTGAAGTTGCAAATATGCCTTTTGTTCTATTTTAAGAATCAATTGTAAGCATTTTATCCTCAGATGCAGCAAACATTAAAAAAACCAACACTGTGACATCAAAATCAGTGAACTTGTTTTATACAGAGGTATTCTGTACTGTGAGGGTGGTGAGACGCTGGAACAGGTTGCCCAGCGAGGTCCTGAATGCCCTCTCCCTGGAAGCACTCAAGGCCAGGCTGGATGGGGCTTCGAGCAACCTGGTCTAGAGGGAGTTGTCCTGCCTATAGCAAGAGGTTGGAACTAGATGATCTTAAAAAGTTCCCTCCCAACCCAAACCATTCTATGATGCTATGAGTCTATATCCCAAGAGGTTAAAGAAATCAGGTAGACAATTTCATTCCCACTAGCTTACTCTTAGGTGCTTTATGCCAAAACGCTACCAACGCTTCTGCTGAAGCGTTCCCTGGAGGTGTTCAAGGCCAGATTGGATGGGGCCCTGGGCAGCCTGGTCTAGTATTAAATGGGGAGGTTGGTAGCCCTGCATGTGGCAGGGGGGTTGGAGATTCACGATCCTTGGGGTCCCTTCCAACCCTGGCCATTCTGTGATTCTGTGAAGTTTGAGTCTGTAAGTATTTATTACCTTCTGATTAGATCTTTAACTGCTGATATATTTGCACAGAATGATAACAAAAGTTTGACAGTCATATTTCTGATAAGAAACAAGATATAACACTCCCCTTGTTTAAACTCAAAGGGTATTGATGTCAAAACCCACTACATAAGATTCTGTGACAAATCATAATGAAAGCAATTTCCACTATATGGCAATCGCTTGAATTTATTTCCAGATTTGTCTGTAGAGCATTAAAGAGCACTTTACAATTCTCTTAAGGACAGTAACTGAGAGGTAAAAATTCAAGTGCTTAGAACACCTTTATGGCTTAGAAACTACAAAAGACATTCCTATAAAATTGAAATATATTTCACTTTACAGGACACTTGAAGATACATATACTTAAGCGAGGAAGTGAAATGTTCAAATATGTTCAGTGAAATAATTCAAGGCCTTGTAAATTTGGGAAAACAAAACATCGAAGTATTTCTGCATTGTTACTTAATGCTAACTCTGAAAGAAAGTATCCTTTTGATTATACTACAAGGCATTTAGACACATTAGGTTTTGTGCAAAACAGCACAACAAAGCATTAGATAATATTTTTAGAAGGTACCCTGCTATCTCATTTTGGATTCTCTTTTCCCCCTCACCAACATAAGAGCACAGAAGTAAGTTGCTGAGACCAACGTCCCTCAGCCACAGAGAACTACATATACCTAAAACAATCAATCCAAGAAACACTGCAAAACAAAAACCAACCAGATACACACAAACCTTTCAAACAAAACATACAGTCATTTTGTCCTGAAAAAAACAATTAAAAAGATAAAAAATCCCTACAACAACAAACCAAAACTGCCCATGAGCTACAGGATAAGAATCTGTGCCTTTGTAAAAACCCAGCATGGGTTACCTAAAAACACTGAGGTTAGGGTGTAACAAACGCTAGAGATCATGACCAACAGCAAACAGGTCCTGACAATCCCACTTCAGGAAAAGGCTTGTTAAGGCAATATATTTGACAAGGCTGTGCAGTTCTCTAAAATACATTCTTTCATACACACTCAATGCTTTTTGTTTTGCATGTATCTGAAACAGCCTAAATCGGCATCAGCAATCTTTACAGCCTTGATAAAAGCGGTAACAAAAGATTAGAGAAACAATTATAGTGTCAGAGTTACTGTAGCAAAGGAGAACTTTTATTATAGGGGTAATAGTCTGGTAAAAATAAGAATTGTTATCCATGTTGCTAATTAGTAAATTATCAGGAAGGTAAGGGCCTTCATACAATTAAATACAAAAATCATGGACTCGGACACTTCTGAGCTGATTGGTGTGTGTTAACCAGAGCTAAGACCAGATAGCGACAGCACAGCACAGAAAGAACCACTTCAATGGCAGTTTGTATAAAGTCTTACACTATATTTGCCCTCCTAAATGAATAAAAGGATACTTACGGTTTTGTAAGCTGCTTCAGTGGGTTTCTCACACAGCACAGGTTCTCTAGTTTGAGGGTATTTTTTAACAAACACACCTATTTGGGTACAGAACCCGACATCTTCCATTCCTGTTGGGGGGTTCCCTACACCTGTGAATTCCACTGAGTAATCATAGCGTTGAGCAGTATCTTGAGCCCTAAGATAGATAACATATTCTGATCTTACCACATATTCAGTCTTTTAATATGATAAAGAGGCACTTACAGATGAGAGAATGTGCCTGAAGATAAGCACTGTAAAAGCTTTTGCTGGATCACGGTGATGATTATATTCCTACCACAGTCTGAATCATTTAGAGTCATAAATTTAGGCAACCAGGAATTACCTCACACAATAGGCAACAGAAATTGTATCTCACACAATACTCTCATGTTTATGTGTTTTGCTAAAATTCTTCCACTGTGCCATGATTCAGTAAACCATACTTAATGTTTGTCAAGACACTCTGCTACTGGACTTCCTATTTCACAAACCTGCCTGCATACTCTTATAGAATAAGATCCAGAGTAATCAAGCACTTTGGTTACACGCCATACGTTACTGAGCACACTTTTAGGTTTACATGAAACTTTTCCACAGCAGGGAATTATTATGAGAAAAATGCTTATTTTTAATACTTCACACCTCAAATGCATTAACTGTAATAATGATGTATAAAAAACAAAAGTTATAAGTATTTTTCCAAAAGCAGTTAAAGAAAAAGCAAACCAACTTATCACAAAACCGAGAGAACGTGCTTAACTACTTAAAACAGCAAAGCAACAATTCACCAAATAGGTTAGCGTGAAACCCTTGATAGCAAACCATATGCACAATCCTCCATGAACGTGTTTAGCCATTCTACTTCCCCCGTACTTAGTACTCAAAACTGTCTGCATATGATATTTAGTAAACTCACCAACTTTGAAACTGTGCTCGGTCCCATTCAAATTTGTGGTCTGGATGCCTGAAAACAGTCACTCCCGGAAGCAATGTGTTAAATTCTGAATTTGGAGTACTGATCACAACCATGCTTGGAGCCATGAAACCGAACACCACTTCAGGAAACTTCTCTAGTTCTGAATCTTGCAGGTGCTCTATTCTGTAAAGGTAAGTTTACACATGTCTGTTAAAAGACATAACTGCATTTTAACTTTCCTAACTTTTTGTTTGTTAAAAACAAACAAGGAATGCACATCTGTACTTTTTACTTTTAAGCCTAGGTCTGAAACTTAAGCACTGGTAGCATAGCTGACTGGCAACTTCAACATGTTAACTCTTTCATGCGTCCCCTTTTGCTATAGCACCACTTAAGTACTAAACTTAGAAAATGCTATGTTTTGCTTCTCTGTTTGAGAGCCTTGATCAAGTATCTTTGGAGTACAGATAAAATTCTAAAGTAAATCCTGATGAGCTCAGAAAAAATCTAGTGTTGATCTAATACTCACAATTCAATGCATGTTACCAAGTCAAAACCAAGCATGCAGGGATCTTTATGAGCAACTGAGCCTTGATGCAAAGTCACAGTTAGGGATCTTTCAGATGGCTCCAAATAATCAGCAGGAAGAGGAGTTAACCTATGCCTTAAGAAAAAAACAAAACCAAAAGATTTAAAAACATAATACCACAAAAAGGACCTTAGGACAAGATAAATTTTGCATGCAACTATACTAGCAAATGTCCTACTTAGATACTTAACACCAAAAGTTTAATCATTTTACAGTGGAAAAAAAATTCTAATACACATCCTTTTTATAATCATTTCAATAGGATGCAAAGTGCAGAGTTGATCTAACAGTTGTCCTTTTCCTTTACAAAAATATACACTATTTTTAAGACACTTACCCAGAGAAGATACTGTAAATTCTGACAGTTGCTTAACTCTAGAAATACATTACTTCTGTTCTAGACATGCTTTACAGAGTTTGGGGAGAAGTTATGAAGTATAAACTTTTTTTCAAATAAATGAGATTGAAAACTAAAATACATATGCAAAATTTGATCTGAAAAACTACATCAGACAAAACACAAATCAACGCTACACTAAAAAGGCTAGATTTCTTCATTCTTGAGAAAGAGCAAATGACAATATCAGGATCTATAAACTACATATTTGCTGAAGCCATATTAAGCTTTCTATTGAAATTAGCTTTGAAGAGAGACTTTGGTGTTCCTCCAAATCTGCCCTGTGCTTCAGAGGGGTCACACGAGCTTGAAGTCGTAGAGCTTTCTCAGACACAAAACACTGACTCAGCCTCCCATTTCAATAAGGGGATCAAAAATGAAGACCCATAAAAGAAAGAGTAACACACTCATTTCAAAAAGGATCAGACTTGCATACGAAGTAATGTCATGTATAAGCATAAAGAGAATAACACAAGCTATAGACAATGCATCTGTACCTTTACAAACAGTGTATTTCTTCAGGGCCATGACCCAGACATATGCTGCATTAGGTGATGTTACAGCCTAACAATTCCCCCAGGAAACCTGATTCAGCTGGCATTGTAACCAATTAATAATGGACTGCTCTACATTTGCCAACTAGTATTTACCCTCATTTTGAAATTGTTGTTAATAAATCATGCCACTAGGTCAAATCAAACAAAAACCTTAAATTAAGACAATTCAAAAGCTTACATTTTCTCTTTCATCACAGCTGCACAGATATCTAGCCCAGCTAACACTTCAATGCAACTACAGAATTTCAGCATCCAGAGAAGTGTACAGTCAGCACATCCTAAATCTGCCACCTGTAAAATAGATATTAGTAATACAGACATTTGCACATTAAATGATTTGAGACTCCCATGAATATATTCTGTACTTATAACAAAAACATTTTAATGATAAAATAATTAATAATCACAACTATTCAAGTGAACTAGACAAAGTTACAATGTTTTTCAAAACAAGAGAATTCTACAAAATGTTTTAAATTGGGCAACCTTTTGATATTACAGCTATAATAAGCAAATGTACAGCATCCCAGTAACTCTAGAGAACGTCTCCCACATGAAGGCATACGCCCTCAAATAGCAAAAGAACAGGAGTGGTTGATGACCAGACCTTTAGGACGGAGAAAAGTCTAACATAACTCCACACTCTGAACTTCACTTCTCAACTAAGAGCATCCATGTGAGCAATGATGTAAACCTAATACTGTACATGGACCTAAAAGCTCTAGAAGTTTTAAAAACAAAGCAAAAAACACTACAATGAAAGACAACTGATCCAAAATCCTTAATGTCAAATCAAGACCAGAATACTACCTGCTCTCCAAGAGAGGCTATGACGTATTTTCTTGTTTGTATTTTCCTGCTTCACATACATTTACAATATATTATATTCATACCTAAGAAACATCATCAAATGTCTCTTAAAGCAATTAGCTTTTAACAATAGCTTCTCAGCAGCACTGATATCTAATTAGGTCACCAGATTATCTAGTCGTTTCCTGCCTTCCAGAGGTACCTAACATTAGCTATTTTTTACATTTTTACATTAATAATACAAGAAGACAAAATATACCAACCTTTTTCGGTTTGTATTTCCTCACTAAATCCTTAACAAACTCATAACGTTGTTTGTATAATGGTGGTGTGAATTTAATCATGCCAGTAAACTGTCTTCCTTCAAAGTTCTTACCCATAGTATTTTGGTAAGCCTAAAAATACAAAAGTTACTCATTATTTTAAGTACTCTACATCATATCAAAATTTAGAATTGGCTTTTGTCAGCAGTGCTCAAGTCTCAGTTAAGGAGAGAAAGATCTGATCTCTAGCATTAGCAAAAAAAGGCATTAGCAAAATTAGGCCATAATTACTCCCTGTACACGTAACATAAGGTGTAGTAACTGTTGAATCACAGCCTGAACCACTAATTGAGCACGTGGGGAAAGGACCCAGTCAGCCCTGGGAGCACAGGTGAAGGTAATTCAGCTGTGTGACCAGAAGGGGTGGAGCCTGGCTGCATCTCTCTTAGACCTCATTTAAGGGCTGACTGCCATTTCTGGAGATCCCTTCTTGGTGAAGCTTTTCTTTACAAACCTTTAATCTTCTGATATGGGTGAGTAATCTTCCTTTATCATACTTTTCTATCTTGCCATTTTTCCATCATCACATCTTTATTGTAATACCTTTCCTATTATACTTATCTGTCCAATTGCAATAGTATGCAACCTTTTTAATAAGACTGTTTCTACTTAAATACAACTCTCTCCTAAACAACTACACTTATGTTATATTGACACAACATTATCTTGCATTGTTTTTCCAGCAAGTACAGAAAGATAGTTTCTCATTCATGTAGCTGTTTTCTTTTTACTCATCTATGGTTTGATTTCTCTTACTGTGCATGGTTCCCCATTAATTCTGTGAGCAGCAACACTGTTAACATAGTGAGCAGCAAGAGATATCTGAAAAAGCACTATGTCACACAAAGCAAGAAAACTGGTTTTGCTGGGCTTAAGCTTTACAATAGTCTAAATAAGACAACATAGCACTAGAGTCATAACTATCCAACTCTCGTGCCTTGTGAAAACAACATTTTAGCACATGAGAACACTTAACAAGCAGTAATTCCCGCTAGACCTAAGAACAAGGCCTTATTGAATGAGGAATACAATGCAGGGTATCTACTGGTTGGGGAACCTGTGCAGGAACTGGCTGTGGTCACACTCCTTAGCTGCCTTCTCAGCCCTCATGCAGCTGGCCTGTCTTTGCTGGCTTAAGGACATTTTGTGTTTTTTAGGGTGCGTTCCAGACATAGCATAAATAGTTAGCAGCAAGCAACTGTGTTGTTTATTGAATAGCTAGGAAATGTATACAAGGATGCTTGCAAACTGACTGTCCTGATGGTTTCCTAGGCATCTCAAGTTATTGGAATGACTGCCTTCGACTACGTTTGAGCTTCTTTGCTTTTTGGGTATTTGGCACTTATCTGTTGTCCACATTCATTTCAGGTTTGAGTAGCAGATATGGGGAGCTGTCTATAATTTCACAACTCTTTCCAACAGTATACTTAAGGCAGCTTAACAGTTCATAATCCAGAGTTGGAATTGCAAAGAGACTCTAAAAAGCGTTGCAGTGTAACCAAACTGTACTTGTGACAGCAACTCATATACAAATGACATGACGGGTATCTTATTTCTTTTCCATTTTTTGGTTGTAAGGTTTGGGTGGAAGACTGGGTCTTTCAAAGACTGGCAGTGTGGAAGAGATGGAGGACACCATTAACTATTTCAAGCTGTGTGTGTTTGATCTTTTTCTTGCTAAGAAAAATATTTGAAGTTGTTGTAATTATTCCCTACTGCATCAATGATATTTGTGTTATTCTGACAAAGCAACAGGTTAAATTTCTCTTATTTATCAGTTCAAAGTTGTTCCCTGCCCTTATCCAGTGATACATCTACTTAACAGTCTCAAGGAACCATAGGATAATTTATACTGGAAGGGACATAGAGAGGTTACCTAATGCAGTCCCCTGCTCAAAGCAGATCCAAGTTGATCTGACCTGATTTAGTGGGTGGCAACCCTTTCCAAGGCAAGGGGTTGGAACCAGATGACTTGTAAGGTGCTTTCCAATCCAAGACATTCTAGGAGTCTATGATTGCTCTAGGAACTTCTGCTCAGAGGTATTTTCCTCATTTCAGTTTAAAATTGCAGATTGCATATGCAAGGTTTATTCAGTTCAATAAGCTCACAAATTAAATGCATTGTTCTTAAATTAATACCGTTGTACCATAAAGAAAACAACTACATAGCTAGTAAAACAAGTGAAAGCTGCTTAGAGTAGAAAATAATGAATCAAGAAATCCTAAACTGCTGAAACTTATTTAATGCTTCAGCAATTGGGATGAGAAAAACAACTGTATGCAGAACTTCATTTTAAAGTTTAAATACATATAATTAAACATCATAGCACAAGAAAGATAATACAGCACCACTGCCAGAAAACACTGCAGTCTTACAGGAAAGTTGAATCCCACTGTAATTCAAGAGCTAAGAATCAAACCGTACTCAGAGGATGTTTTATGACTAAACACTGTCACTTCTCTCCTCAGCTTCAACTAATAAATTAGGCCTGTTCCAGAAATCTGAAATAATCTGTGTGAATGAGAAGTGGGCTCTTACCCATCACCAACGTCTTCCTTTTCTACATTACTTATATTTCCTTACTTTTTGTGAGTCAAAAGCACTTCCTCCTTGCTGTTTTTTGCTCTGATTCTGTCTGAAGACAAGCTTGGGTGCCTGGGAAAAGAAAAGCTAGCTTGAGGTGAATGGATCAACAGGTTCTAGATAAGTGTACTAAAGTTTGTAGCATCACCAGTAAAGAGGGACTGTTTCACGAAAATGTGAACTCGCAGAGGAAGAACATGGGGTTTTTGGAACATAACAACTAAATGTTCCAACAGGAAAAGAGGAATATGTGAATAAACAACTTGGGTTACATGAGTGATAACAGGCACAGGCTGTCTTCAAGTGATTATGCCAGAGAAATGTATGCTAAACAAGAGAAAAAACCTCTCAAAATAAAGTTGTGACTCTAACTCGCTGTGTGCAGAGCACGATTATTCATTGCTGTTACTGTACTACTCATTTTGCATTTAGCTTCTTTAATTTCTTGTAAGATTAAGTGGGCAGTTACTGCTGAGAAACGACGATAAGGGCAGCAGGACGCTGCGGTAACGGCGGTGCTGCACGCTGCGGGAAAGCGGGCCGATGGGAGCTGGCGGCGTTACGGCAGAGGAGTGCAGCCGGCACCTGGGAGAACCCGCCCGGTGTCACGGTGCGACGGCAACGGGCTTTAAGCTAGCAGTGCAGGCACCGCGCGAAGGCAGACTACGAGTCCAGAGAGACGAGCTGCTTTTCCTACGGTCTGGCCGTCCGGCCGTTCTCCCGCAGCTCGGCCGGCGGGTAACGGCTCCCGCTTAGCGCCGGGCCCGCCCTCACAAACGGGCCGCGCACGCGGCGGCGGCAGCAGGGCGGGCTTTCGGCCACCGGCAGGCGCATCCGCGCCGAGTTCGGCGCTCGCAGAGCGCGGACGATAACCCGGTGCCGTCTCGCTGCCGGACGAGACCCGCGAAGCCTTTCTTCCGCGCGGCGCGGCGGCGGCGCGGGCCGGGCCGGGCCGTTTCTCACGCAGCCCAGCGCACGCGCGCGGCCGCGGTCCCCCGCGGGGATTGGCCGGCTCGGCCCCGGAAAGCGCGGCCGTCACTTCCGCTGGGGCCGCCATCTTGTCAGCAGTTGGCGGAGGCAGCGCCCGACCCGGCAGCCCGCGCTCTGTTGTGGCGCGGCCGTTCGTCCGCCTCGTAGGCCGCGTGCCGCCGCCCCGCCGCGGGCCCCGCCGCCATGGCCAACAACAGCCCCGCCGTCGGCGCCGGTAACTGCCAGGGGCAGCAGGCGGTGCAGCACCAGCCCGGCGCGGTGCCGCCGGCCCAGCAGCAGCTGCAGAGCGGAGCCCCCAAGCCGGCGGCCTCGGGCAAGCAGGGCAATGTGCTGCCGCTGTGGGGGAACGAGAAGACCATGAACCTCAACCCCATGATCCTCACCAACATCCTCTCGTCGCCCTACTTCAAGGTGCAGCTCTACGAGCTCAAAACGTACCACGAAGTGGTGGACGAGATCTACTTCAAGGTGAGGCTGCGGGCCGCGGCCTGGGCTCCGCGGGGCGCTGCTGGCGCTTGCCCCGAACCGCCCGGCGCCGACGGCTCGGAGCGGGGGGGGCGGGGACTGCGGCCTTTGCCGGCTGCCTTCCTGCGGGGTCCCCCGCCTCTATCCGGTAGGCGGGATGGGAACACGTCTCTTACTGCCTAGTTCGAGGGTTCGAGATCTCTGTCTTTCAGAAGAAGCGTGTTTCCCGTTCGTTTAGCGTTAGGGAGTTGCGAGTTTGCTTTGAGATGGGCAGTTGGAGTCGGGGCAGAGGGCGTGAAATGGCCGTCCGAGTGCTGCGCTTTGAGTCGGAGGGTGGGGAGGGGACCCGCGCTGCGTGCCGCCACTGAAGACAAACGAGCAGCCTCTGACCCAGGAGCCGCCGGCCCCGTATGGTTGCGCCAAAGGAACGGCCCTGGGAATAGGTGGCTGCAAGAGGAGCTAGCCTGTGGCTCTTTCCCGATTAGAGCTTAGTATTTCCTCACCAGTCTTCCAGTCAAAAAACGAGCTAGTTATGGCACTGCTCGTGGCCCTGGATGTGCTGGGAGGAGAGCTTATCAGTGTGCCCACGGGTCAATTCTTGTTTTGTTAGCGGTTGATTAGGGGTTGACCATTCTCCCAGGTAGGGGTGTGCATAATTAATGCTCATCAGCACAGCTTCGGGTTTTGTTCTGATAGATCACAACTTAGATGATTTGGGCTGCAGTTATCAGCCAGCTGTACTGTGGAGATTATGGGGATATTTTTCTGAGGTACATTGGGACTGCTTGGAAAGGTTACTATGTCACTAAACTGATTTTAGTACATCTTCAGAGGAAAAAATAAGCCATTTAACCCTGGAGTAAGTCAAGTCAAGTAACTGGAAATAATTCCACAGAAATATTTTGAAATATTTGGCATTGTTTGCCCATACTTACAATGGTAGTGTGTTTTTTCCTCTTTGTGGTGATGTTTTTCTGCTTGATCTGTGGTGTTGTGAGCAGACTTCTGATTTCTTCTAGTACGTGGAGTAAGAGTCTGTTTACCATTTGCTGCATGTGAAAGAAAAATCATGTTTATCAGAATAGAAAGCAGCGAAGTTTAGTTTTGCAAATTAAGTCAGGAACTGAAAAACTGATAGATATTTGGAGTAAATTGGAGAACATGCATCTATTACATGGATCTTTTCCATGCATCCAAGATGCAGTCCAAAAACAACAGTTCATGTGATTAGTCTTTGTATTGGTAGAGTTCAGCTGCAGTGGTTCAGCTAGTTCTGTGTTAGTGTTTCATTAAGTGGCTTCATCTTAAATTAGAGAGGAGTGTTGACGTATAATTAAAAGCCAACTTATTAATCCAGTATAAATAAAGTTTGTCTACTGAGCTTCACAGTTATTTTTACTTAAAAATAAATGCTAAAGGGGAAACTCAGATCCTTACTTACTCGTGTAAGAGATTTGAAGAAGATGATCTGATGGTGAAGGTACTTCAATGATATTTAGAAGATCTTAATTCTGTTCATATTTTAAGGTTCCTGAGTAATGTTGAGTAATTGCTGACCTTTTTTTCTCTTTTTGGGTGAATGCAACGTCTGCCATACACTTTCATGTGTATTTGTTTTGGGAATATGAGTAAGTAGCTCATTTCAAAAATTCAAGAATTCGGGATCTTGGAGTCTCAGGATGAATGTTCTGACTTAACGCAGGCAGCTAAGGATAGGGCTGTTCTTGAACATTCAGATTCTTCGTGGATATTTAAATTAATTCACAAATAGCCTAAGTCCTGTTTGTTTTGGTTCTGGATCTGTGAAGAAGGTGACTTCCTCTTTCTTCCTTTTTGAGTTTACGTCCTTATGTGTGTCTCAACTTCACATACTCTGTGTGCTTCCAGACAAGAGAAGCACATGTAGTAGTTTTTGTCAGGTTAAAACTTTATGTATTCTTTTCCGAAATAAGTATTATTTCTAGGGCTTTTTTATTCGTGTCTGGGAAAAAACAGTGTGTTTACATGGAAAAATTAAAAGCTACTGTTGAGATAACGTCATACTTGATCCCTTAACTAAAGTACTTCTATCTCCTGTAAGAGGCAAAAACAAATAGTGGGAAGAATATATACTCTTATTTATGAAATACTTCTGCAATTTATTGACAATGCTAATAATATGGAAACCTGTGGTGGATTTTCTCCAGTATTGTTCTCTTATGTTTACCATTTGGCAAAGACAGTAACAGTCAAAAACAGTTGAGCATCTTCTTTCATCCCTTGTTAGATCTCTGATTTCAAGTAATTGTTTACGTAGCTAGTTTCATTTCATACTCTGGTAGAGTTTTAATACCTGAATGGCAGTACAATTTAGCCACTAGCCCACAGTCCCATGTAGCACTGCTGAATTTTTGTCTTACTTTAAGTTGATGTATTTAGGAAATGTCATTCATTAACCCAGATGTTATTCCTCTGAATTTCAAACGCAGCGTGGGCAGTTTGTGACTCTTACTGTCATCTGTAGGGAATGACGTTAATAATGTTTGTACACTCATCTCAAAGTGCATCTCCAAAGATTTGAATTGGGCAAGTTTTACTCTTTATTACCTACGAACCATTTTAAGAACATCATTGCAGTTTACAGGGAAAATAACACTGGCTTTTAAAGTATTTGTAGAATCAAGTATAAGATGCTTTCTTTGGTTTGTTCGTTTTTAACTCTGTTCGTGATTTTGGGTGTAATTTCTTAATGTAATTTAAAAAGCCAAATGCTTTGTTTTAGTGACTAAGCAGTCTTGACCTTGAGTTTAAGATAAGACAAGCTGTTCAAGACTGATTTAGGCAATCCATTGTTTAAATCAAATTTGTATTCATGGCTAAACATTATGGATGTTTATAATTGTTCTTTTTTTCTTTGATTCTCCCTTCCCTGCCCTTTCAGGTTACGCATGTTGAACCATGGGAAAAGGGGAGCAGAAAAACAGCAGGCCAGACAGGAATGTGTGGAGGGGTAAGTAGAAGTACGTGCTGCCTTAAGTTTTTCTGTTTCTGATAGAACAAAGTTTCCAAGCATAGCTCAGATTTGCTTGCGTGTTGGCTCAGTTACTACATGTAAAAGTATTTATTACGAAGAGTTGATATATTCCCCTTGCTTCCAAAGGAGATGAAACTGTGGAGGCAAGTAGCATTACTTTTTTCACATAGTCCTGTTAACAGATTTAGAGTTAGCCTGTATTAGCTATGGTATTTGTTTGTTTTCGTTAACTTCCTGGTTGTCACTAACATTTTGTTCTTTTAAAGGTACGTGGTGTCGGAACTGGAGGAATTGTGTCTACTGCCTTCTGTCTGCTCTATAAATTATTTACTCTGAAGCTCACCCGAAAGCAAGTGATGGGCCTTATTACACATACGGACTCTCCATATATTAGAGCTCTTGGATTTATGTATATTAGGTAAGTGTTAATACAACCAGCTAATGGCTAATGTGATACGCAGAATGCTGTATTAAAGTTTTTCTGTTCTTTTTATACTTAAAGGTACACACAGCCACCTACAGATCTGTGGGACTGGTTTGAATCCTTCCTTGATGATGAAGAGGTATGTCGGCGAGGGTAATAATTTATTTTCTTTTGTTTCTTTCCATGTTACTACTTTAGAATTTAAGACTGTTTAGTAAGATTTTCTGTAGTATGATGCTACAGGTTTTTATTCTTGTAATTTCATTTATTAGTGCAGGAAGCAGATCTGAGCTGGGACCTGGATCATTTTTCTTAGATTTCAAAGATATAATGAAATTTTCAATTGATTACTGTGTTATTTTTTTTTTTAAATTATAACATCGTGCAAAACAAGTTGATTAAATCAGAATGTGGACAGTAGGTTTTATGAGTGTAGGTTTGTGCATTTTTTTTTTAAGAAAAAAATATATTTAGGCTGTAGTACATGCTGAGAGAGCTGATTTTGCCTTTTGCAAATGTTGCTGGGATGGGAGAGTTGGTACTCGCGTAGAAAGCAATGTTAACCTAAAAAGAAATACCTAAAATCTTTCTGTAAATTTTGGAATATAAAGAGAATATTTCTTGGGAAGAGAAACAGCTGGATTTCTGCATTAAGTGGAGTTATTAACATTTTTGCTCGTTAGACAATGAAACGCATCATGAGGTGCTGACATGGGAATTTCACTGAAGCGGATGCGGTACTGAGCAGTAAGATAGGAGGATGTCTTTGTTTCTACTTACTGTCGGGAGAAATGGAGTAGAACAACTTGATATAAGTTGAATGTTGAGTCTGTTACATAGTGTTGCAATTTGTATTCCTGGAGCAGATTGTAAATTGTATCCTGGGTTTCAGAGTTGCACAGGAGAGATACCTTGCACTCTTCAGTGCGACAGTTGTCAAGTACTTCAAGAAAATTCAATTGATGTCCAAATACCCGTATTAAGAAGTGTTAATTATACCTATAACTGCAATACAGTGCATTTTTAAACAGTTTTCTTTCATGCCAAGTATCAAAAGCACTATGCAAAGGAAAGTTATTTCAGGTAAACTTAAGCTATTGTAGTTTTTTTTAAACAGAAAACAAATTTAAATTTTGATTGTATAGCTGTTGATATCCTCATATTCTCCCCTAGATGGTGCTACTAGCTAATATAAGCTCTGTGTTATAACTTAAGAGGAAAATTGGGGCAGCATTGTTTTCAGGGTCCCATGAGTAGCTTGATTCCCAGGACAATAAACAAATCACAGATGTGATTCATTGTGCATATCTTAACTGGTTTATTATTCAGAGTACTTATTTTAGTTCATACATTTTAGTCCTTATAGTTCTTGGCTATCAGAGTGTATTTGTTTATTGTTGTTTAAAATGATCCAGAGTATTTTTTGAATTAGTGTTTGATTCCCAGCTCCTTTCAGTAGCATTGTGTTACGTAGGAAAATTGCTTGGGGCTGTTTTAAGTTGCTTGGCCCTGGTCAGACTCATTGGATGAAGCAAATTTATGTATAAATTTAAACCTACAGGATTTTTTCCTCCAGTTCTAAAATATGTGGAAGCAGTTCATCTTTTGACATGCTGCTGTGAAAATGAAAGACTTCTCAGGATACACAGCTACTTTTTAAAATGTTTCTTACGTTTATTTTGTTTAACTGTACGTACTCTCCAGGTGCTACGTTTAACTCATTTTTTTCTTCTTTAGATCTCTGCAGCGATTATATTTGGAAATACTGTATATCTGAACACTTAAATGTGTGTGAGTGCAAGCAGTTTTACATTTAGATTTTCTCTTCCTGTTTAGATAACAAATCTCACTTTCCTTGTGTGCTTGCACTATAGGTTTGGGACTGACAATAGCTGACTAACATGTCCTGAGCTGTGAGAGGGCATAGCAAGAAGGCCTTCATGCGGTAATGACCCTTTTCAGAGACAATGGTCATCATGGATTATGCGTTTCCAATTATTTGTTCATTTATTTATTTTTTTACATATTTCTAAATTAGAAACCTCACTGCTTCATGGCAGTTGGTTTGCTATTGCTTCCAATATTATTAGGATGCCATTTTGTACTACAGATTTTTCTATGATCATTTTTAGATAGGCAATGATATAGTTCTTAAATGATTTAGGCCACAGGGTTGGGCATGATGTTATGCAGTTTTGCATCCACAAAATGAAGTATTAAATGTTGTTTCAGAGAACTTCTCAACTTTGTGGCATTTATATAAAATACAAGATCATACTGTATAACCGGACTGTGTAAGGGGATTTTGTGTTAATCTCTGCATTGACAGTCCCTTAGCATCCAGATGGTGCAGGATTAGTATGTTCCTGCATGCACATGTACTAAGTCCCACTCCCTGTCTGTAACATACTGCCAAATCCAAAGGGTGCGGAGTTAAGAGTTTTTCTAAGGAAATATATTAGAATAAAAGACAAGTAAACTTACATAATCGTGAGACTTCAAGAGGGCAGTAATGTAGCAGCATTTTTTCTTAAATAATTAAAGAGTATTTTTGACCATCAGGATATTTTCTGTTTGTATTTTATAGGACTTGGATGTGAAGGCAGGTGGAGGCTGCGTCATGACCATTGGGGAGATGCTTCGTTCCTTCCTCACTAAGCTGGAATGGTTTTCCACGTTGTTTCCGAGAATTCCTGTGCCAGTCCAGAAGACTATTGATCAGCAAATTAAAAGCAGACCCAGAAAAATTAAGAAAGATGGCAAGGAGGGAATGGAAGAAATAGACCGGCATACAGAACGTAGACGTTCAAGGTTGTATATATATTATTTTGTAAATAAAGGTTGAAAGTTCAATATTGAATGACTTCCTATGAAGAACTAAGTAATCTTCTAGTAAGATGGCTTTTAGGGCAATCAGTTCATGGATGTTCGTGGATAAAATCTGACAGTACTGCTCTCTTGTAGGCTACCTGGTATTTAAGATGAAATATTGGCTGTGTATGTAAAGCACACATTGTAGAGTAGATAGGTTCCCTTTACTTGGAAAACTGTTGTTTCATACTGAATACCCTTTATTTTAAAAGGTCTCCAAGACGATCCATCAGTCCCAGGAGGTCTCCCAGAAGATCCAGAAGCAGAAGTCATCATCGGGAAGCCCATGGGTCATCAAGTTTTGATAGAGAACTCGAAAGAGAAAGAGAACGTCAGAGATTGGAACGTGAAGCTAAAGAGAGAGAAAAAGAGAGACGGAGGTCTCGAAGTACCGATCGTGCACTAGAAAGGAGACGAAGCAGAAGCAGGGAACGATATAGAAGCCGTAGTCGAAGTCGTGACAGGAAAGGAGACAGAAGAGATAGGGATAGAGAGCGAGAGAAAGAAAATGAACGCAGCCGGAAAAAAGAGAGAGATTATGATAAGGATAGAGGTAGTGAGAGAGAAAAAGATAGTGATCGATCTAGAGAAAGATCGAAAGAAAGGAAAAGTAAGGGTGATACAGAAGAGAGAAGACACAAGGATGACAAAGATGACAAGAAACATCGGGATGATAAGAGGGATTCCAAAAAAGAGAGAAAGCATAGCAGAAGTCGAAGTCGGGAAAGAAAGCATAGGAGTAGAAGCCGAAGTAAGAATACAGGTAAGCGCAGCAGAAGCAGGAGCAAAGAGAAATCAAGTAAGCATAAAAGTGAAAGCAAAGAGAAATCAAATAAACGAAGTAGAAGCAGAAGCAGAGGAAGAACAGATAGTGTTGAGAAGTCAAGAAAACGAGACCACAGTCCCAGTAAAGAAAGATCTAGAAAGCGTAGTAGAAGCAAAGAACGTTCCCACAAACATGATCACAGTGATAGCAAGGACCATTTGGACAAACATGATCGTCGAAGGAGCCAAAGTACAGAGCGAGAGAGCCAGGAAAAGCAACAGAAAAACAAAGATGAGACTGTGTGAACTCTTTAAGAAGTGGATCACATTGAATCCTATAAATGTTTGATTAAATCCTGCTTATTTTTTCTTAAAGTTGAGATTGTGCAGTAGTTGATGAGCATTCTTCTCCAACCTCCCTCTAGGCTGCAGATTGTCATTTCCTATTCTGGGTAGGGAAGTGCCTTTGTAAACCCATTCAATACATTGACGGTTTCAAAACCATTTGTTTAGTTTAATTTGTAATCCAGAGATTGTTGCATTTTTATTGTTCAGATGTTTCTGAAATGTACAGTCTGTACATATGTCCTGAAAATGTTTTAATTCCTTTGGCGTGGTTGCCATGTTGGTTAAATTTGTATGAGGCAATAAACTGCCACTAATTCTACTTTCATTTTGTAGATGTGGAATTATGGTTTGTATTATCCTGAAGTTAGCATGGCTATGCTTTACATAATAGCATGGCTTTCTAGGGATGGACCTTGAGTGTGTATAATAGCTGAGATATTTATGTGCATACGATGTACATGGAGGGCTGCAGATTTAGAATAACACTTATGTCCACTATACCTGCTGTTTCCAAAAACAAGTAAAATGTTTTTTGTTGATTACCACTGGTGTCAGGTTGGGAGTGGAATTCTGAGGAGACAGTAGTTTAGATGCAAATTTTTAGTTTATAATGGGCTTTTTTAGTACAAAATTCTTTAGAAAGGCTACCTCAGGCAAACACTGTAAAGGTTGGTGGGTGAGTACTGTAGCCATCTATGCATTTTGTCTGGGAGAAAAAATACGTAAGGTTCTGATTTTGTTGAACACCATTTATCAGTTTATGGTAATTTAATGTTGTTAATCAGCAGCTGCACTCTAATTTATGATAATCCTAAGCTAATGAAGGCATTTCACATGGGAAGAGGGAGGTAGGAAGAAGAAAATCATTTCAAAAGGTTTCAGTTTCAAGCTTCCAAAGCATTTTTATAAGTGTAAACATTTAAAATAACAATTACCTGATAGTGTCCTTTTTTTAAGTCATATTTTCTACAATAGTAAGATTGCAGTTTGTGCTGAACATTTCATCTGGCAGATTTTTCTTTTTAAACAGGTTATTAGGAGCAAAAACCAAAATGCGTTAAAGGAGAAAAAGATCATGTCATTAAAGTCCAGGTCTATTTGATAGATTATTCTGACTTGTATTCTAAGTGAGAAGAACCATCTGGAATAAACTCTCAATTAATTCCTTTGTATTGGGTCTCAGCTTTTCCCTGCATGTTTATTCCTACTTGAAGAATGTTTGTGTTCTGTGATTTTTTCTTTTGAAAACAAAGCGACACGTTGAACAAATTAGGGTTTCTGTGTAATACTGTATAATATTTGATGTGAATTTTGCAGAAAAACAGGTCTGTGTTGGCAGAAAACCTAACCACAGTGGAGTATAAGGAAATGTTATGCCTTTTCCAAAAACCAAGAAGTCAACACTGTCAATAACTGTTAGCTCAGCAGCAAAGTAAAAAAAAAAAAAAAAAAAAAAAGGATGTTGAGTTCATGAATTAGCTCTCCAAGTTATAAATTAGGATACGTGCATGTTTTTATCAAATAGGCATAATGTGGAAGTCTCAAACTAGTTTTGAGTGCACCTAAACTGCTCTTTGTTGTTAAATTTAATTTTTTATTTCAGCCTTTACTATTTTGGTATGCATTAAGTCTGGAACACTGCTACTAATTACTAAACGTTCTGAAGCAGTTTTCAGAACTGATTGCTTTACACTGAAAATTACAGTTAGAGATTACCAGGATCTCTTATGTTCAGCTGTATTTTAAAAGCAGTCTCCTCATCAGTTGAGGCTGAAATTCAGTGTTCTAGATTAAATCTCCAGCTTCCCTCTTCCCAATCCTCAAGCAACTATGACTGTTGCAATTAGGTGTAGGTCATCTTTCCAGCTTCAGGGAAAGGGTTTAGGGACAATGATGTTAAACAGTGTCAGTAAAATCCAGGATAACTGAAGGAAAGCAGTGAGAGGAAATTATCAAACTTTGGGGAAGTGGGGGGAGAAGAAATAAAAAGGCCAGCAGTGACATCTTACCATCCTTCTGAGACAAGGACAGTGACCTGCCCAGAAAGTTAGTACTTTGAGTAATCTTAGATGAGAAAATGAAGTAAACGAGCAATGGAGGCTATCTTGATCTGTTTGCTCTGCTTCTGGCAGTAAGTAATAAAATTTTATAAGGAATACACAAGGGAGTGAAAGATGGGATACTGAATGAGGGAATCAATCAGTGTTGATAAAAGGAGTAGACAACACGAGGTAAATATAGTGGGCTTTAACAGATCAGTTATTTGGTAGAATTGATTAAGCCTATTGCTCTAATTCCAAAAAATTTAGCAGAAGAAAAAGTCTGATTAGTGCATTGCAATTCTGACTTGATAACTTACCTCCCTATCTGATCCAGAATTTCCATCTAGACATGTTCTGCACTGCTCTTTCCTCTGTATATCACTGTAACAATTCAGAAATTAAGATAATTCCAGTTATGGAAAAGCAACTATCTAGTGAAATGCATTCAATGTTGTTTCAAGTATTTTATATAGAGAAATGAAGCACAAGACTATCCTGTTGAAACCCTTGTGAAATTAAGTAGAATGGATTCAGGTAAGTCACGTTTAGAGTAGTGACCTTGTTTAATTTATAACTGAATATGGCTGGGCTATAAAAGATAAGCCTGCCTTTTATTATGTACTATGAGATAAACAATAAACATCATGTGACAGTGTAGAATGGTATGATGGTACACAGGCAACAATGTAGGTAACAATGGTTTTTAATTATGCATTGTAAGATGAGGTGTGAGATGAACCTGCATAACACTAAGGTTTGACTGTCAAATATATACTATTTGCAGCTTGGTTTTACGCTTGGGTTAGTTGGGTTAGCACATGTTAGTGCTAACTAACATGCTTCTATGAACATGATTAATTGAATGAATGTACTGTCTTCTTACCCATTCCAACAGAGCTTCCAGAACAGGTTACTGAAATGACATGAAACAATAGTATGAACATTAAGTTTTAGGTTATAGGCTGTTGAACGTAGTCTGTTAAACAACTGCAATTGCATCACAATACAATTTGATAGTGGATTAAATTTATGCTCTCAAAAAGGAATCACAAAGAAATTACCACTACATCAAAATATCCACTGCTCACGTGGAATTGGTCTATAGAAGTTCGTGATTTTTTTTAACTAACTTACTGATTTTAAGACCATTTATTTACCTATGTATTATAACCTCTGCTCTCCCAACTGAAAATTAACTTCTCTGTATTCACTAGATCCACCTGTTAAGTGTTAGTGATCCTTATGCAAGATCTGCACTAAGAAAAAGCAACTTTTCTGTGCTTAATCTCAAAGTGTTTCTGAAGCTCATCACAGATACTGCACAATAGCATCCGCAAAATTATTTTGGAGTGAGCACAATAGAAAAGTTCTGCTGCATGCTACCTTTACTCAAATAACTTCATTACATTTTAACTATCTAGTGTGTGTGGCGGGGAGGGGAGAGGGGAAGTGTTCAAAGAAATTTTAAGACTTACCTGAATATATTTTCTTAGGACAAAAGGTGAGCTTCAGCCTCTTATCCGTAGCTGGAGATACTACTGCCGTGTAGACATCACCACAAGGTATCTCAGTAATATCACAGTAACTTAGACCTGAGCTAGGTGAACAAGTGAAATTGCCTTTTGAGCCACGTAGATCAGTAATGTAGCTTATTGTTTCTTCAGAAGCTCGCCAGTATACCCGGATACCATTATTGCCAAGTCTATATAGCTTCACTCCAGAAGGACAGCAAGCACCTAGCAGAATAAGAAATGCATCACTAAGGATGTCTGTAAACTACAGTATGTTCTAAATTCCTGTAATGCCTTTTCACAGATGACATGATTACCATCACGTTAAATACCAGCATTTCCTTGAGAAATTACTTAACAGAAAACCAGAATAATTACTGAACTGCTAGGAAAGAAAATGCTCTCTCAAATTACGGAGCTGGAATTTAACTATTGTTTTATAGTACTAGAATACTGTTCCTTTCCACTTATTATGGAGATAGTAATCTAGAAAGCATCAGAACCTTCTATAGATTCTAGAATTTCATTATGCCACGGCATAATTAAATATTTGTTTCAGGAGTATTATTATTAAAGCTTCTTTTGAAGTTGTAAGAACAGGGTTTAAATAATACGTGAAGTTAATTCTATGTGCTTTTATTTAAAAGAGGGTACTTGCAACTTTATTAACTATTGAGTTTCAATTACTTGCATTGGAGGAATGCTATTCAATTAAGCTGTAATTAAGTCATTTTCTTCTCAATTGCATTTATTGTTTACATACTGGAAGAATATCCTTGATACGTGCAATGGGATGTCAAACCAGTTTCACTGATGGCTTTCAGAGATACCGTGTAGTTGGTGCCACATGTGATGCATCCCAGGAGACAGAAATTTTGAAGAGTGTGACATTTTGCCTGTCCCTTTGGAGACTCCAATGTTGTTGCATATGTGTGTGCACCCATTCCAACAGACCAGCTAACATTTGTTACAGACTGTGTCACTTGAGTTAGTGCCAGGTCGTTAGGGCAACAAGGAGCTTAAAAATAAAATAGAAGTAGAGAGTTCATTTTTTTTCACCTGGAAAACAAAGCATTTTGAAGGATTGCAACTAGAGCAGTGCATGATGCTGAGCAATGACAACTAGCACACTTTTCAGGCGGACCTTAGCAAGGGTCCGATTAAGCAGGGTCCATCTCTACCTGTTAAGTCATGCGACGGTCAAGATCTGCCTATATTCAAAGGTTTTTTTTCCTCTACAAAACAAAGTAACTGTTAAAAACTGATCTGCCTGTTTAAAATTGATCCTGGCCTACATTAATCCCAGAACTGTGCTTTGGAATTGTCTGGGTGAAAAATATAGGATAAAGTTCTGCTAACAAGTTAATAGCAGGAGTCACGGTAGGAAGTGCTTTAATCTTCTCTTGAGACTGTTTAGTTTGGTGATATGGGTGTAACCTCATTGCTTCTCCTGGTGGTATTAAAAGTCAAAACACTGACAAGGGAATTAATATATTTGTCAGCTGTGACATATCATAACTGATTGCACTATGGCTGCTTAGATTGAGGCAAATGCCAAGTGATCCTTTTCTCACATGCACACACACACAGATATGTATGTATTTTAAGCAGAGTACAGAAAGATTAACTATAATTTGCACAAATGGTAACTTTTGTATACATACACACATTTATAAACACATGTAGTTATATTATAGTGCCATGATACTAAGTATTTCACATAAAATACAATTCTCACATACCGGTCTCTAAAGGGACACTGTAGCTTGGCAAGCTCTGTCCAGCTGGTGATCTTGCTATGACACTAACAGAGAAAGCAGATCCACAGGGAAGATTAATTAGGGTACAAGAATTTCCAGAGCTTGTACAATGCTGAAGTCCAGCCTCTCCTCGGGCAGTTACAATATATGTAGCTTCCTCGTTGTTAGATTGCCAGTGCACACTGACCACAGAAAGAGCCTTCTTTGAGATATTTTTAATTTCAGGACTGCAGGGAGCTGAAAGTTGTTTAACAGATTGTTTATATATACCATAACAGTTACACAAAAATTAACTTGCAATTAAAACTAACGAGCTCCTTTGGAAAAGTGTGTAATCCTGACACGGTTACACTTAGTGTGAATTTAGAACTCATGACAGAAATTATAGCATAGATTTTTGCATACAATAACAGCAATGAACTGTAAGTGATTTTCAAAAGCTTGGCGCATTCAGTAACTTTCAGTCCAAATCTTTTTTTTAGGTCCCTGATCACAGTACATTTTTAAATACTTCCAGTAGCCTTCTATTTTCACTTAAGTCAGTTACAGTAACTTAGCCCTCTGTTAATGCTTTTCATGCATTAATCACTGCAGTCTACCTAATTATTTCTTCCACTAAAGGAAGGTAGGAATGCACGTACCTGTTGCCACATACTTAGATGCGCACGATGTGTTGCTACCCCTAGCCTCGCTGAAGGAGTAAACGGTGACGTTGTAGCGGGTGTCGCAGCGCAGAGCAGACAGGGTGCAGGCTGTGGCCGTGTCGTTGCACAGCACCGTCCCCCTCCAGGAGGCAGCCTTGGTCTCGTACATTTCAGCACCGCGGACAGGAGCCCAGCTCACCTCCACCGTGTCTCCCGACACCAGCGTTGCGCGGAAGTCACTGGGGCAGCACGGTGCTGAAACAGGCAAGGCACAGATGGAGGTTCAGCCTGAGTAGAAAGCTGTGGTTTGCCTCCGTGCTTCATAGCTTAAATCACCAAAGGTGACTTATATTGTGCAAACTGAGCGTCATTAATCGCAGACTTACTGCCTGAGTGATTCCACAGCCTTCTTTTAACAAAGGGCCTCCTAATGGATATGTAATCATAGTATTTATGTGTACTTATACATACATAGAATTATGAATATCCTTGTTTTAAAACTGCAAAACAACTAGAGATTATCTAAGTAATTCTTAAGGATGTTCGTCACAGTTTCCCACTGAACTGATTATTTTGCCCCCACATTAAGGAAAAATTGAAGTTTAAGTCATTATCTTAAAAATAAAATTAAAAAAAAGTACATTCAGCTCTATCATAAATACAGGTAACAAATTCCAAAAGGAATTTGCAAGAATACTGTACTACTTACCAGTTGTGTAATTGAATACATCACCTAAAGGACTCTGCCCTGCCTTATTATATGCAAAGACACTAACGAAATAAGTGAAACCGCAGTCTGACTGGAAATGGCATTGTGTATGTGATGTGTTGCAATATACTTCCAAGCCATCGTCACTCTTCAGAAAAACCACATAATAATGTCCAAAATTTACTCTAGACCATGATACCAACAAGTTTCCATGTTCATCGTCTTCAATTGATATATTTCCCGGTGCACAAGGAACTGAAAAAAAAAATCAGAAAAAACAATTGTCATCGGAATATTTGTATATGCAAGTTGTGCTTTAGGGAAAAAAAAAAAAAAAGAAAATCTGATATATGTGGAATTATTCTATAGTGTTCGAATATTTAGAATTTTCTTGCTCAAGAAAACAGGAACTAATATAGCTTTACAGATGATGTTACTTACATTTAGATGAGAAGTGACTGTGATTTTTACAGAACAAAACATGCTACCTTCATCACTTACCTAAGAGAGATCTGCTAAAGGAGATCCCATAATCAAAAGCAGAGGCACCAGACAGTATTGGTGAAGAAATTGGCACATTCTGTTCTCACAGATAATAGTTCTGGGTGATGATCAGAATACTAGTTTAAATAGCATTTAGCATCTAAAAACTTTTGTGAAAACCTTTGATATGGTGGTACAAAACTCACTGACTGTGTCTCAATAAATAAAGAAAGTAATTTGTTTAGGTTTCTTTTCTGGTGGCATCCTAAAATTTTGCAATAGGCTGAAAACTCCATAGGTTTTGCTTAAATAACATCTTTCCTTTCTTTCTGGTTCAAACAGTTTAGCTTGCTGCTAATTAGATTATACATGGTCAAACAGAAGCAATATTGGCTGAGAAGATTACAGACCACAGCTTAAACTTTCTCTTACCAAAGGCTTTCATTCTATTAGAACTATTCCTGAGTTCCTCTCGAGTGATCTCTAACTCACAACGAGAGGTCAAAATGAGGTAAGTAACATTAAATAAATCAGTAATTAAGTTATGTCTGTAAGGTAGCACGTAGCTTACGTGGTTTAGGTTTTGCTTACATGGGCCATACATCTAACAGATCAGAAAGCATTAATCTCTGACATGGTAGTGGTGCTAAGTAGCAGAGATTAGCAGCCTTTTGTGCTGACGAAGCTGCTACCTGAAATGGTCAATGACCGCATCTTCATTCAGTCCAGTGCTACCATTTTAGTTGTTATTTAGTGGTTATTTGTTAATCTGCATTCTAAGTTACAACTAAATCTAGCCTAGAACAGTTCTCAGTCTATGGCCAGTCCTCAGTGCTATTTCCTCACAGATTTCTCCCAGTCTATTTGTGACAGATCTACCACAGTAGGATATACCTGCTACTCCTTAGATTAGTTTTACACTCCGAAAATGGACTTTAGAATATGTACTACTGGTAAGAGGAAAAGGCAGACTTCTTGTTTCAGCTAACAATATATACACCATTGCCAGTTTCTCACAGAAATATTAAGAAAATTTAGGCTATTATCCCCTAAGTACAAGGGTATATGGCATAGTTCATGCACACAGTTCAGAAGCAAAAACAGTTTTGAGAACCAAGAATTTTAATGGCCTAGCATTTGAAATTAAATAAATGTATGCCCAAATGCCATAAGCTACGTAATAATCAATTATTCACATACTAGTTTTTAAGCTCACTGCATCAGTAGGATTACTGGATCCAGCATCATTATATGCCGTGACAGAAACAGAATATTCAGACCCACACTGGAGTGATGGTACTATGCAGGAGGAAGAAGATGTGTTACACTTCAGTTTCGAGAGTCCACTGGAGGCTGTCACACTGTAAGTCAGAGCTCCTTCTGCTGGCATCCAAGAAACAGTAGCTCTTAAAGCTCCGCTACTGAAAGCTACTTGAACATCTCCTGGTGCCTTAGGACCTACGGGTATCAGTTTGGATCATTTGTAAATACAACTGCACGTGGTCTACAGACATGATCATTTTCAGAACTTGCAAATGAAGTAATTTTTAACCCTCACTGATTTTAAAGCTGTAGCATAATTTTCTAAATAAATTATTTTAGTTGTACTTTGACAAGAAGCATTCTTTTAAAATTGCTTGCCTTATTTGAATATTTGTTTACAGTAAGAAAAATCCTCAAATTAATCTAAGCATGTGTAATCTTTACCCAGGCCTGTAAAACTTTGCTAGTAGTTAATGGTATCTTTGCCTCAGTAACATTCATTAAACATACACACACCATCTGAATTTACATGGAATAAAACTTATATGATGTGAAAACCTATCCAGTGTATTTTAGAAAACCATAATGTAATCCTATGCGCATAAATACTTCTCGGTATATCTCCTTATAAAATGCTTACAAAGTTTCAGAAAAGAAAATTTCTTACTTGTTCTTTGGTTATATGTGAAATCATCTCCAGGAAGACCATTGGCATTCCAGGCATATGCTTTTATAGTATAGAGAGTTCCTGGATCTAAGTTTGAAAATATGAAAGAGGTATTGGTGGTGTTCTGCTTCAGCATTCTGCCCAAACCATCTGATCTCATCAGGGACACAGAGAACCCAACTGCCATATACACAGCTTTCCAGCTCACTGCAATGGAATCACAGCTTGGGGAACTGGCAGACAGAATTGGAGCAGACAAGACTGTTGAGAAACAATATCAGTTAGGCTTTCAGTTTTTCAGTAATACTGTTCTGTTTGGTGGTTCAAATATCAGAAAAATACCCAGAATTTAAAAATCAACACATCAAAAAAAGAAAGAAAAAGAAAAAAACAACCCAGCAACCCCAGGAAAACAAACTAATGCAAGACTGGCAGAAAAAAATTAGGAAACTGATTTGGTACTTCTATTATATAACAGGTTTTGTAAAATGAATATAATTCATGCAACTTATAAACAAATTACAAAAGGTTGAGTGTGTAAAAGAATGTAAATCACTAAGACACTGCATTTCCCATCATCTAAGTTTTATGTTATCCTATTATTTTGTACTTTTGGCTTTTGGTTGTATTTTTTTTCATTTATTCCATTCTGTCAAGTTATGTCTTTTGTTAAAATAAAATCCATACATTCATAGAAACTCTATCAAAACTTCTCTATTAAACATTAACTTTCAGTACAGTCACAAAGCAAAACCACTAATTCAGACTCATGTCCTTGTCACTAAGTCAAACAGTGGAATTCTAGTCCTCAAAAACTGCAAGGAGAATGTGCTCAATACAATTTAAAATGCAAGATCATAACTATTGGTACCGCTACACTTCTTGACTGTACTGCTCATTTTAAGCTCCAAAACTTTTTTTTTTTTTAAGTTAAGATACTTGCATAATTTCTTTCGATTACAATAATACAGAACAGAAATAAAAATAAAATCCACCTGTTGTTGTTTTTCTGGAAGCTGAAGGGCGGCTCTTTCCTCCTGCGTTTACAGACCTGATAGTGATTCTGTAGCAGGTGGCTGGTTCCAATCCCATCACGGTACCTGGTGATTTTGTGACTACAGTTTCAATGCAGGAATCTCCATCCTGTGCAGCCAGCAGATAACTAGTAGCTCCAGGTACTGCTCTCCATTCTACTGTGATACTATTGCTAAGTTTTGAGTAAGCTTGATCAATAACAGGTACGTCTGGAGCTAAAACATGAAAAACAACAAAAGATGCACTCAAACTGGGGAACTCTAAGTTGAGCGCTGTGCATTTAACAAAGAGATCAGGACAAATACCTTTTATTAATGATTTCAATGTATTCTTCAATTACTAATGATTTATTCTTCAATTTTAAAAAGTTACATAGTATAATGTAATTATCTTTATTTCAGGAAGAAAAAAAAAGCAGACGTTTTTCAGCACATAAAGCGTAATGGCTACTGAGAAACTCTAATATTTGAAAAGACTTGCTACTAGTATGACAACACATTTTCAAAAATGAAAGACTGTAACAATTAGCTTGATAGGTATAGTTTGAGAGGATATCTTCTTGCTCAAAGCAGGTATATTCAGACATACAATAACATCACATCAAATATTGCAATTAAAAGCTTTTCTGATACCTCATGCTGAAGGTCATTCAGAAGGAGCCTGCTCTTATGTACTGCAGTCACAAAGTGGCTACAGAGAGTGTGTTTCTTAACATGAGCAATTTATGCTCAGTAATCAGGATTTTCAGACTGGAATTGGCATATATAAAGCAAATCCATCTGTTACAGGACTTCAAAAGACTCATCAGAGACAAAATTACAGTGTCTAAATTACAAAAAAAGAACAAAAAAGTATTTGGGATGTCAGTATGTGCCTCGAGGCAAATGTATTTATAGGGAGGAAGCTCTCTTAGACCCAAGCATTTTCTCATTTGTTCATACTAGACACCCTCTTTTGTCCCCTTTTAAAAATGGCAATGTATATTCTATATGACCATGCCTCCGGAACATTTGCACTTGTGTCTTTCTGTGTATTTGAGCAAGTTGCTATCTATTGCACTTGTGATTATTTTTCTCCTTTGAATATACTGTCATTAGTAGCAATTCATAACAAAAGAGAATATATAGCATCATTTGTATCAGAAATAAATTAGAAAACATGGATCATTAATGTCTGTTCTCAGATAACTGATCTAGCAGGCGGCTTTTATACCTATCAGGATAAACACTGCTACTTTTAATTTTTATTGCATTGATTCTTTATATCTTAAACAAACAAACAAACCACTGGGAAGGTAATGACTATTTCTAAAAATTATTACACAGAATCACAGAGTGCCAGGGATTGGAAGGGACCTCAAAAGTTCATCTAGTCCAATCCCCCTGCTGGAGCAGGAACACCTCTGTCAGGTCACACAGGAACACAACCAGGTGGGTTTTGAACGTCTCCAGATAAGGAGACCCCACAACCTCCCTGACAGCCTGTTCCAGTGTTCAATTACGATTAAAAGTATTTTCAAAACAGAATTTCAATAAAATATTTTCTCAATTGTACTTCAGCATGAGTTAAAAAGTACTTTGTTTATGTAGATTCTTCATCAATGATTTATATGCTAGCAGTCCTTTAAAGCAAAAATACCGCTTATCAGCACCAGTACTGACCAATGTATACAGCTTCACATCTGCACTTGTAATGCAAGGACAAATAATTTGGAAAGCTGAATACTGAGCAAGCTGTGTGTGGTAGCTCAGGGAAACATATAAGAAAAAAGAAGAGGAGAAATTGAGCTAATCATACTGCTACCAAATTCAGTGTGAGCGTCAGAGAAAGGTTTCAACAGGAATGGCAGCTATTCCCTACAAATACAACAAACATCAGGGATCAGGGATCCCAACCCTTCAGAGGCCAACTGGAATTACACTTCAAGAAGGTTCTCTCACTAACCTGTTGATTGCATAGTCTTTGTTTCTGCCAGAGTAATTCCATTCTTGTCAATGGCTTCTGCTTGTATAGCGTAGACAGTATTGGGAATTAATGAAGTTAGAGTGCTCTTAAGTGTACCATCGCTAAAATGAGCCAGTAAAGAATGGCCTACAGTATTCACAGCTGTAGCTGTGACTCTGTAAGAAGAGGCTCCTGAAAACTTGGACCATCTGAGATAAATGCTTCTTGAGGTCACGTCATATATAGACATAGAGAAACCTAAAAAACAAACAAACAAACACACACACACACACACACACACACACACACACAAAAAACACACAAAAAAACAAACACACAAACACAAAACCAAAACAAACCATAATCAGAAAAACATTTCAGTCGTTCTTGAATGTAGTGAAGTCTTGACAAGACAATTGTTCAGACCCTTAGCAAGCATATAGGTGAACTGATTTTTAGCAGATCGACATTCCATGATTCTGCAGTGCTACTTCTCTTGTTCACTTTTGTAATCTCTTAATTACTTCAATAACTGCTATTTGCTCTCATAATATCATTTGTGGTGACAACCATTTTACTGGAAACCCTTAGATACTTCAGTCTACTTATTTTCCAAACATACTGGATATAATCTACATATAAATATACAACCTGTTGAACAGCACTCCACATGAATAGGATCAAACGTGTTCTGCAGCTTGTGGAAAGAATGTGCTGCAGTAAGAATCCAGGTACTAAAACAGCATGGCTATGGTTAAATGTTTAAGACTTTGACAGGTCAGTATATTCAGGAATATCCTGTTTATAGGCTGAGCATGTTTTGAAAGCACTCCTTGCAGTCTTGCATTCCTCATATTACACACACATAAGGCGATAGGAGCTCTTGGCAAAAACGTGAGACTGAAGGAAGTCTAAAATGCACAGAACACTAAAAGATACTTAGTGTTAGCTCAGGAGATTTTAATTGTTATTAATATTTATTTGTTTGTATAGACGAGAGAATCTATCTGTGAGTGTCAGAATCGAGGCTCCTAAAAGTGAGATTTACAGTTTATAAAGGTATCAGCAATATCATCACAAGTTTTTAAAAACTCAATCAATCCTGGAATTTTTTTTTTTTTTTTCCCCTAAAACACTGAGAACTTTGTGTTCTCATTGCATTTATTAGAAATCATAATTGTGTATTGTTCTCTTTGGACCCGTTCAGAAATGAGCAGCCAAAACCAAAACACCACGTTGAAGATGTACCTGTGTTAGCTGAAAAGACCTGAAAAGGAAGATATAAAAAATTAGAAATACAAAGCAAAATATTCTATTTGGGAAACTAAAAAAACTCCTAATAATGCGAGTAATAATAATATCAACTTTTTAACACTTTTTAACACATTTCACTGATGTGATGTGTCTGCTCAGACTCGTTAAGCACAGACACTGCGCAACCAGTGAGGCAGATCGGCGGATTATATTCCTCATTCTCCTCTACGGATCTGCCTATCGACCCGGTGTTCAGCTGCTGGCAGGCTCCGAAAGATCCCGGTCTCTTCAAAGCCTTGCCAGTCACCCGTAAACGCTCGCATTCTGGACAACAGTTGCGAAGTACCAGTCGCACTCACCACCTGCAGGCTGTGGAGATGCAGTCCGACGAGCAGCAGCGATGCTCGCTCCGAACCGCGCATCTCGGTCCTACACGGACTGCAACTCGTAGGTAAGCAACTTTTGTTTCGCTTTGTTACGGTTCCCGGATCGAATATACGAAACTAATAAAACAACCAAGCCAAATTCAGATCTGAAACGCGCCGTTTAGCTTGCGGTGGCTCTTTCCGTGCACTGACGGGCACGCTGCTTTCCGCCCGTGATTTCCTTGGAACGGAAAGACGCTCCCCGCAGCGGCGCGGAGCTCCGTCCTCGGGCTTCGTGCCGCTTGAGGAAGGACGGAGTTTGGCTCAGGCCGCGCCCTCCCGCGGACGCGGGACCTCGCGGTGAACCGATCGCTCGCTGCACCGCGCACGGAGGCTTCACGGCGGCACGGAGCGCGATTTTGCTCTCAGGGAGCCGGGCTGCTCACCTGCCCCGCCAGCAGCCTCCTACCGAGAAACCTTCCTCAAGGAGCGGGCTGCGATCGCCGCCCTCCTACCCGTCGCCACCTGCAGGGCGGAGCCGCGGCCGGGCGGCTCCTGAGGGGAGGCTCGCACGGGCCGGCACCGCCTCTGAAGAGGGCGCGGCCTGGAGCCTCCCGCTGCTGTGCGAGCAAGATGGCGCCGGCGGTGCAGGGGCTGAAGAGTTTGGTGTGGCACAGTGAGTCAGCGAGGGTCTCGCCGCGCTGCTCTTTCGCGCCCGTCCGGGGGTCGGCGTTACGGCGGCCTCGCCGTTCTGACGCAGCTGAGGCGGGGGGAGCCGAGCCGAACGGAAGCTGGGCGGCGGCGGGAGAGCGCTGCCGGGACCGGGTGCCTCTGTGCGGAGCCCGGCAGGGCCGCCGTGCGCTCGTCCTCCGCCGCCTCGGGTCGGGGCGGCTCGGGCGGGAAGGGCTCTGACGCCGCCGAGGCGAGGCGGACCCGGCCGGGTTCCGCCGCCTAGGTGAGGTGCGGCGGAAGTCACCTTCCCACGCGCTTCCCTTCCTTCGGAGCCGGCGGCTCGGGAGCGGCTCTTGTGTTCCTGGCGGAGCTGCGGGAGCTCCGGCTGTGTGTCGGGAGGCGGCCGCGCCTTCCTGTCCCGGCAGCCGGCGGGCCCTGCGAGAGCCGCTCTGTGCCCTGGGCCGGTGCTGCTTAGCGCTGCTGTTCCGAGGTAGTGCGGGTTTGTACGAGGGGCGGTTCTAGACTGAGTCTGAGCAGAGAAAACAAGTGGAAAAGGTTATTGCGTCCAAGTTGATCGTCAGTTATGCTGCTCACACGTATTTTGAGGGGAGAGTAATTAAAAAAAGAAAAAAAAGGAGGGAGCAAAGAAGAAAAAACTGCTTGTGGACTTCTTAAAAAAACCATCGATATTCCTGATGGCTCAGTATTTTTGCAACTTCGTTTCCCAGAACAGTTGCTTATGGAGAAGTTGCAGTCCAGGTACTTCCTTAGGGTAGTATGGTCTGCTCTTTTATTTCTTATTTTTTGTCATTTGTTATGTTTCAGGCCTTTTTTTTAACCACCAAGATATAGCAGTCTGTTATTCTGTCCAATTGTGTCTACTTATTTTTCTTTCTGTTTCTCTTACATAGAGGGAAAATGCCTTAACTGACTTGGATGGGATAGGTGGTTGGTGTGAAGGATGAAGGAAATGACCCCATAGACAGGAATGGAGCAGTGCTTATGTATGGGCTTATGATTGCTTGTTAGAAACAAACGAGATGGTTTTGAGAGCCTGTAAGCCGGAGTGAATTCTTCAGATAAGCAGCTGCAGGTGGGGATAAAACAAATGGCAGTTTGAATGCTGCAGGGACAAGTATGCTGTATCTGCTACACTGGTAGCTTGGTATGATTACTTTCTCATGATGGGATGAAACTGACTTGTTTTGAATTACAGAAGTGAAGTTGTAGGCAACTGAACTGTTCATTTGTTAGGGTTTTTTTTTTTTTTTTTCTAGGCAAGTGAAAGTACTGTATGGGAAAATATTTGAGATTTTAGATTATGTTCTCAGGCTCTCCGTTTACTGAAAAAGGATCTTTGTGTAATGCCAAATACTGAACTGCTGGTGAGAGTTCTCGGAAAACAGAAAACATAATGTTCTTTCACGAAGTTTAAATAAAAAAAAAATATATATATATATCCAGATGAGTTCAAACACCTTGTGTAGAGACCTGGAAAAAAATGTAAGGATCATAGAGTGTATAAACATGAAGGGGGGAAAAGGGCCTGTATTACACACTGGGCTTGGGTATGGGTTTTGGTATAGTGGGTTTGGTCTCGTGCCAGAGAGCTTTTAACATAAGCAAGGATGTTAATGTTTACAAACACTGAAAAAACAGATGTACTTTTTGTTGTATGTACGTGTGCTATTCTGGACCCTTTGACAGCTCTTTCACTTGGCAGGAGGCACAAAATGCACGCTGAACCTGCTAGCTTCTGTATTAGACCTCTGTTAGTACTAGATTTATATTTGACTGTGAAGGATGGCTGCTGTTGGTTAGACCCAGACAGCAGCAGCATCTGAAGTTCTGTTCTCTGGGGAAGAACACAGTAATTGGACTTTGTTACTTTTTTTGTTCATAAAAGCATAGGCTCACCAGTTCCCCCAATTTTCTGACTTCTCAGTTTATATATATTACCAATATAGCCAAATTTTTGATAAACTGATGTCCCTGCTGTAGGAGAGTGCAACTTGTAGTTCTGGTTATCTCTTAAAGCCAGGATCTAGTTATGCCCTACAGCTATTATTGCTACATGTTTTTTAGTCAAAACTTCTTTCAAAGCTCTGATAGCAAGGAAAAATAACAGCTGCCTGTTACAAGGTAACTTCTATTTTGTGAATTACCTGGGGGTTCCTTAGGTTTCTGCTGGAGTTCTTGAGACAGAATGAGCATGTTTAAAACTTGCATGTGCTGGAAAACAGGTCTGCCTGTTGGTATGTTGGTCTAATGTCTGTTTCTTGAGGACCAACTTAAGTTTTTGCATGTGCACCATCTATTTAGTGGCACAGTTTACTTAAAAGCAAAGAAACAGAATCCCAGCACAAAGTGAAATATTTACAGGACTGTGATTGTTTAGAGAGACTTCAGCAGAAACAAAAAATTCTTTTTCGGAACAACTTGATATCTCTGCTGTTAACCTGTTTATCTCTCTTCTTTTTATAGAGCTGAAGTCTGCAATATTTGATGACTGTAGGAAAGAGGATGAATGGAAGGTATAGTTGTGTATAAGTATCATTTGATGGATTACTTTATTTTTTGCTTAAAACTTTGCTTGCTTTTCAAATAATAAGAACATCAGCTCAGTTACATATTCATTTCTCCAGAACTTCAATTTCAGTGATATCCAGGAGAAAATGACACTGCTGTGTGATATATGAGCAACAGGATTCAACAGTACAAGACAAGCAAGGCTTGAGACTGATGCCACTAACGTGTGTGCTGCTTTCAGTGATGCTTGAACAGTAGTAAAAATAATAGGAAAGTACAGATAAAATGACCACAGGAAGATCATTTGATCCGAGTGTTCATTTTTTTCCTCATTTGCCCACTGTTCATTTTTGTTCCGTGTTGAGTTTGCTGTTGGTTATCTTGTTTTTCTTACTTACCATTCAGTAGATGCCCTCAAACAGCCCAGACATTCCTGAGATTCTGTTAATTGCTTTTGAAAGACACTTGGCCATATTAGTCATCTAATTATTATTTGTGTCATTCTTGCAAGATTTTCTTGAAGGACAGAAGACTAGAGAGAACACCTGATTTTTCAATTTCATTAGTGTGTGTTTTGATGTCCATTTTTTGGTGCTTTTTCTTTAATATTTTCTAATTCATTTTTTTTCTTGTAAGATAATTATTGATTGGGAAGAAAAACAAAGTGACTTCTTCATTTTGTGTGGCTGATTTTGTTTCTGGAATTCATTGTCTTTTTTGAGTGTAAAATGATTGTTAATTAATTCAATTTAGTAAATTTTTGATTCTTTCGTTGGTTCTTGTTGAGTTTCTATGAAATGTATGCATGTTGTCTGAAACGTGAGGAAGTAAGCGGTGGTATAAAATACCAGAGGAATCTTGTGGGTTTTTGTAGATTCTCAGGCTTAAGAAGGTATGCAGAGAAATGCTGAGGGAGCCTTATCACTTCATGAGTCTGAAGGAAGAAGTTTCTGGTAGCTGGAAGTAATTATCACCTGCTAAAACATGCAAGAGCCAGGCAAGTAGCGTGGGAGCGGAAAGAAGCTGCTTGAGCTGTAAAACTGTTCTAGAAAAAGAACAGATGTGCTTCAGAAGGCTGTACGGTAAATTAGGCAGGAATTCGAGACGTGTATTGAAGTGAAAGGTTTGAGGCAGTTTTCTGTAGGAAGACTAGGAATAAGGTACATACTGAAGATGCAGTTAATCATCTGAAATCCTGTATGTAAGGAGATGCCTTCTGACATTATTCAATAATAATTTCCTACTACACAGTTTATGTATGCAGGTGATAGAAGGATACAGTGTAAAGACATTTTGGAATCAAATTTTCAAGCCAAGGTTCTCAAGAAATAATACGGCTGTACTATACCCAGTCAATTTAATTGTTTTTTTTAATTTTTAGGTAATTCTTTTAGATGATTACACTACTAAATTACTGTCACTGTGCTGCAAAATGTCTGATCTACTAGCAGAGGGTATCACAGGTAATTATAATTCTTTGCAATTCATGGATCACCATGTTCTGAGATGAAAGGAAAGAATTGAGTTGACGGTACTCTTACAAGAAATTGTCTTATTTTAAGGGTTGAAGGCAAGTAACTATGGGGTATTAGACTAACAGGTTTGTGGCTTTTAGAATAATTAATTGATTTCAATTAATCTATTTCAATAAAAAATGAAATACTTCTCTGCCTAGAGTCTCAAAACACTTTTTTTAATAATTGAAGATTGATTTAAGGCTCCTGGTTGTTAACGTGGTTTACTTTGTTTGCTTGCTAATGTCAAGAAGATGAGGATGTTATCTGTGAAGTAATGGATTTCTCAAGGATGTTATCTGTCAATTGAAATGAATACAAGATCTCAGTAAGGAATTAAGTGAATTACACAAAAACATAAAAGAATAGGTGAACTGTTTTTTGTAATGTATTCTGCCAGTGAGTGTTATCTGCTGCTTTTAATGCATTTGTGTTCATGGGCAGCAGAATTAGAATACGAAGGTATAGAAACATAAGTGCTTATGAGAATTGTAACAGGAGACTAGACAAATTCATGAGGGATGTTTGCAAGCAAGTGGACTCAGTGCAGAGGTGAGTATTGAAATTTGAGTTATACTTTGCACAGAAATCTTATGGCTTCTCTATGAAGTGAGAGCTTTCCATAATTAAAAATAAGTGCAAAGCTAAATTATATCAATTATTACTTTACCAGTAATAAAACTATCAGCAACATGAGAAGTAACTATCAGTTTTCTCTGTAGCTTGGGAGTAATTTCTAGTAGATATTTTTTCCTTTCATGTGCTGGAGTTACTCAGATGTTCCTTGATGTTGACCACTGTCAAGAGTCAGTTGTGTCAACAAACAGACTATGATAGATCTCAGCTATATAGTATGTCTGCTTAGTTAAGACTTGATTTTTCTACACACACTTAGTAAAAGTGTTTTTCCTGTAGTAAACTTGGTTTCTTTTTCATTCCTTCCCTACAATTAAAAGAAAAAAAACAGAAGGCTTTTTTTTTTTTTTTGCTCTGAAGCACTTTTTCTTTATTGCCCATTATGTAATGCCTTTTAGGATATCATCATGCCAAGCATACCTTTGAAATTGGAACAGTTAGACAAAATGTAAATAATCTAATTTTTAATTAGCTCTGGTTTTAGATTTTTAGGAACGCTTCAGTAAGAACTAGTTATTTTGCACACAAGTAGTGAAGCTGCTTAAAGAAGAGATTGCATGAATAATTGCCTAATTTGTAACCTAAAGGTAGAAAGTTCATTCAGTATTGTTGTTTACAAAAGGCTTTTTTTCTTGTTCCATGTATTCTATATGACAATTCTTGTAGACAAATGATAGTGGAGCTGTTTACACTTCTAAGTGTATTGTAATCATGAGTTTTACCTATCCTTTGTGAGAAGCTTTCAGTAGGCATGTGTTCTGTTTGTCACTATGAAACACATCCTTTTCATTGAATACACTGTTGAAAAGGATCTATCTTTCCACATGTGAGCATCTGATGTTAGTATCTTTTCTTTTACTCAAAATTACTGTGCAACACGAACCTCTGTCTTTTCAGTCCAGTGTACTGCACTGCTGTATACAGTAAGGATTTGTTTAAACAGGAAAAACAAGAGTTGAATGAAAGACTTGATTTGCTGAAAATGTCTAATTTGTGCCTGTAATTACACTGAAACAAAGTACACAGGAAATGGGCAAACAAAGTACAATAGAGGATAGAGTCCAAGATGATGTTTGCATGGTTTCATTTTCCCCCTCCTTTGATGAACTGGAAGAATAATAATCTTGCTGAGGCAGTTCCCTTTAAAATAACTCATACTGTACCCCATAGTTTGAGAGTCCTTTTGTTGTCCTGCTTTTCTGGGGGATGTAAGATCTACCTAGTCCTAAACCTGAGTTGACAGAAGGATAAGTGCTGTAAAAGGCCTATGGTAACTTGTATTTAAAATGATAAATAAATTAAGAAAAATCAAGGCTCTCTAGGCAGAAGATGAATACTTGACAGGAAATTTGTGGATAATTTGTGGGACTTTATTTTTATTACATTATATTAAAATATGTTTTTTTAATGGTTGCATGGAGTTCTTAATATCAAAATGTAGTATTTCTTATGTTGTAGTGGTGGAGAACGTGTATAAAAACCGAGAGCCTGTTCCACACATGAAAGCAATATATTTCATAACTCCAACCAAAAAGGTTAGTATTTAAAACCAAAGAAGCCCAAAAAACAATGTAACTGTTGATGAAGCAATGTTTCATTTTATAGGAATTAGTAACCTCACTGACAGAGACATTGTATCTAGTAATAATGCAATAGGTTAAACAATTTGAAGTAATGACTGTAATAGGAGATAGTTGTTACTTCCCAAAAAAGCATTGTGAGAAAAAATTTCAGCAGTGCTTAAGTAGAAAAATGATCCAAATGTCCTGCTTTGGTTCGTGGGGTGATCTTAGCTGAGGTGTATGCCTGACCTTTTCTCATAGTTTAATAATGTTGGTCTTGAATAAAAAATACTAGTTCACATTTTATGTTGCTTTGCAATATTCTTAAGCTACGCTGGATAATTGAAAGTGTAAGAAGAGAGAGGGGAGTAACTTTGATATGTCAGGAGAAGCAAATCAATGATATTTTTCTCCCTGACTCTTCCCAAGTCTGTAGATGGTCTTATTGATGACTTCATCAGCAAATCATCCAGCAGATACAAAGCAGCATACGTCTATTTCACTGACAGTAAGTAGGCTTTTGTAATGTAATCTGACTCTGTTATAGTAAATAAGTCATCCTCTTATCTTTTCTGTAGCATACTACATGAATATTTAGTCTTGTTTCTTTAGGCAGGATTTGAGACTCAATTAATAACCATACTTTAGTTGTCAGAACTTTAAGGTGCTGTGGCAATACTCAGTTCTTCCTGTTACCAGTGCTGACCATTCCCTATCTCAGTTTTTTACTTCAGTAATCTAGCCTTATTTATAAAATATGTGGTTTCTTCTGTGTCAGAAAGCATGGAGGTAGGCAATTAAAATTATGTATCTTGTATAAATGAAACTACTGAAAAGTATAGATGCATGAGGATTTGCTTTAATGCAGGAACATTTTATCATCAGTTATTGTAGCTGGTTACTTCAGACTTGTGAACTAGCTCTTTTTTTTTTTTTTTACCTGAAAGAAGGGACAGCGTGGTACCTAAACATCCCTTGAATGGATGATGTTAATTGCAGTGTGCAGATATGGTTAATGTGACTGCATTTTATTTTGCAGTTAGTTTCTGTGATTTAAATGATATGGAGAGGAGGAAAATTAAAAGAAGAAAATGTCATGGAATCCTTGCAGTTTCTGTAGATGTTCATGGATAGTGTGCATCTGCTGCTTAGGAGTTGCTCTGCTTGTTTAACTTAGCTGTTAAGTGAAAAATGTACCTCTCAAACCCAAAGTAAAAGGCAATTTTTCTGTTTGGTTTTTATTACTCCCAATCTCAAGTGTATTTTGGTGCTTTGTGTCTTTCTATTCTATCATGTGCAGCAGCTTAGGGTGAAAGGACAAGTTCTGTACTGTTTCTTCAAGGGGTTTGCTAGTTTTGTTCTATAAGTTGCATGTCTAATTTATTCAAGCTTATCAGGTGGGCTCCCCTTCCCTCTCTCTCTCTGGGACAACTGTTCTCTGTGCACCATGAGTCTGCTTCGGTCTGGCTGTCATTGATAGCAGCCTAGTTGATGAAGGCTGGTGATTCTTTGGTTCTAGTTTATACTGAAATTAAATTAAAAACTATTTATTCCACTAATTAGCGTTTTTCAGCAGTTACGTTTTCTATTTCAGAATAGAATCCTTATGTTGATAATTCAAGGAGCTGTGTTTTCTCATAGCAATTATCAAATTACTATCAATGTCTCCTGGTATCTTGTTTTATTTGATGCTGGTGCAGCAGTTTTTGGCATCACTGAAAATATACTCTTTATCTTCTCTTTCTTGTTGTATGTTGGCTAGCTTTCAACATGAGCTTTTGTTAAAACTTCTCTCTGAGAGAGTGAGAGCTTTACTGTCACTTTCAAGTCTGTGTAGTGTTTGTCATCCAAATCCTCTTAAAATACTTTTTTTTTTTTTTTGACTGGGATGCAACATAGCCTGTAAACATAGTAGAATGCATTTCTGAAATCTCTAGTTTTGGCATATTGGTGGTTTGATTCATGGTATTTTTTGCTTTTAACCTTCTTATAGCATGGGATATATATTTTTTTTGTTATCTTTTAACTGCAGAAATTTTTGCTTAGGTACAACTGATATCCTTCACTGTTGTAGATTGCTAGCAAGTGTTCTAACCTCACCTACCAAAAGCTAGTAAAAGATGACAAGCAGTGTTTGTTTAAAAAGAGATCTCAAACATAAAATATAGTTATAAATGTTGTTTTACTCTAGGAGTTTCAACAGCTTGCTTATTTTACTGTAAAATAAGTTTCAGAACTTACTGTTCTGAAAGAAGAAGAGAATTCAATGATGTTCTAAACTGCTAAGTTTAGTGAGAGCTGTGGGGTCAGAACTTGAAGCTACAAAGAAGTTGTAGTGAAAGCACATGAGAAAGATGTCATTTTTGGGAAGCAAATTTTACTTAGGAGGTTTTGAATACTGTAAGTTCATAAATGACTTAAGTTGTAGCTGGAATGTGTACAAAAGATTTTTAGCTTAGTGTCTTCTTCTCTAGCTTGTCCTGACAACCTCTTCAATAAAATTAAGTCTTCCTGCGCCAGATCAATAAGGAGATGCAAGGAAATCAGTGTTTCCTTCTTCCCATATGAATCTCAGGTAAGTCTTATTCTTTAACTCAACCACACTTGATATCTTGTCAGACTATTTTCAAGTGTTGTTGATTATAATAGGTGATTTCCATTTAATTATTATCTGGTTTTTGCTGACAGGTTGTTTGTGAGGCTTGTTACTGTTTTGACATATTTCCTGTGCTTGCTCATGTTTTTCAGTGGAAAAAAAAATGCTCTTATACCCCAAGATTTGCTGTTTGCACACCACCTCTCTTCTATACTTGGAATTAGTTGTGGCAGAAAATCTTACAGAAGTGATAGAGTAGGAATCTGTGCTGAAGAGAAGAAAAGTATTCTGGTTTGTCTTGAAGCAGTGGATCTTGTTACTGCTTATGGTGTGATGTTATTTTGACAGACTTAGGTAGGTTTGTGCACAGAGGTAGGAACAGTTAGAATTCAAAAGCTTGTTACCCAGTGAAAATTAGAAACAGAGAGCAAACAGATTAAGAGAACTGAAGATAAGGAAAAGCAGAACAAAATGTAGACCTCCCTAAGAAAAGAGAAAAACATAAAAATAGCTAAGTTGTTACAGTTGTTTTTTTTTTAATTGCTAGGGAAACAGAGGAACTGCCAGTGATGGAGTGTTTTCAGCACTGAAAGCGTGAGTGCTGTGTTGAGAAATAACTTGTTGCCCATGTGTGCATAATCTGATACAGGAAGCTGAAATGCACTCTAATTCCTAATGCAGTGTAGCCCGAAAACCACATCAGCTCTTGGGAACTGCAAAACTAACTGTAAATAGCTTTTCAACGAGTCTCTCCTGTATTTTTTTTTTTTTTTAAGTCTTAATAAAATGTCAAATGTCAGAACAGCACTTGGTCTCTTGGAATAATTAATCAGACTGAACTCTGGGCCAAGTCCAGGTGACTATCAACTCTAAAGAAGCAGACATCTTTATCTTGGAAGTTTTTTGGCTCTGTAGTTAAGAGTCCCTCTGAAGTTGGAGAAGTGCCTTTTACAGACAGTGGAATTGTTTCTGTGCTTGCATTCCTCTTAATGAACTGTTGAAACAGTAATTCTATGTGGTATTAAATATCTTTCATCAAGGTCTAATACATGTATAGAGTTGGATTTCTTAGAGGTTTCTTTAATGGAATTGCACGGTAAGGAACTTCAAACACAAAATACAAGCAGGTCCTCTTTTAACAGATGTTTTAGAAGTGCACAATTGACGCCTTTTTTCCTTGGTTGTGCTTTACATAGGTATTTACCCTCAATGTCCCAGATGCATTCTATTGCTGTTACAGTCCAACTCTTGAAAATACAAAGGATAAAGATGCTGTGATGGAAGCAATGGCTGAACAAATTGTTACCTTGTGTGCCACTCTAGAAGAAAATCCAGGAGTGCGATGTAAAAGGTGGGGTATTTATTTGTGTAGTTGCTTTAACTTTTGCCACATTATTTGATGAGAGCTTGAGGCTACAGAATGGTTTTATTTACTATGGATTATCTGCTTTTACTCCACAACTCTTAACTATAGAAAGGTAGGAATTTGCAAAGTGTAGGCAAATCAGCGGGTTACTTTTTGTTGTATTCACATAAGTACTTACTTACTGTACACTGTGTTGTTAGCAATTGGCTGTATTTCATGATTGATCTATAGCATGGTGCTCCAGTGTACTGCCTTCTATTACTTTCCTTGCCCAGTTGATTCTGTAACAGAGCTGCTGTTGTTGGAGGTCTTCTGTTGGGATCAATGATTGATAAATTGCTGAGGCAGGTGGACTCAAATACAATATTGCTTTTTCTGTGATGATGGTGGTGGTGTATTTTTTTTTTTTGTGGTAGTAAGGACATTGGGAGGAATACTTCTGAGCTTTATTAGGGGGTATGGAGTAGTAGTTTTGAAGTCAAAATAAGCATCTGAAATGATGCTCAAATGGCTTTCTGGAATGTAATGTTCTTGTAACCTGTTAGTCTTTTCAAAGGTAAGGAAGCAATAATTGCTTCACTATGTTTTTGTTTCTTTTTTTTTGTTTGTCTCTCTTTTCCAAAAGAAGGAGAGAATCAGAAAGTTTTCAAGTATGAGTGTTTTATTTGTGGTTTAACCACAGGTTTATCTTGTGACCTTAATTTTTTGGGGGAAATTTGAAATAGAAATACAGGTGTGTCATGCAACTTTGCTTTAAGCATAATCATTTGGAAAGTAGGCAAAGGTAATTATGGGCTTTTTAACAATACCTTTGGGCTTTTGACCATGTAGTGGCTCAGGTGCATGTCTCCCACACCTCAGAAGTTCTGGTGCTGGGCCATCAGACTAGGACATCTTTTTCAATGAAGCATCTCAATGTTTTGATGACGTGATTTAAGTTGCTTTTGTTTCCTATCTTCCCAGCACACCTTTAGGTAATGCCAGCAGACTTGCACAGCTTGTTGAGAAGAAGCTTGAGAACTACTACAAAACTGATGAGCAAAGCCAAATAAAGGTAAAAAGTGAATTAAAATATTTGTTTCTGAAAAACAACCAGTTTATGGAGTATGTTCTGTTAGTTGCTTTGACAAAAATAGGTTTTATTTGTTAGCTAAGGCAAGTAATTGGCATCAAGCTGTTTGTACATAAGCCTCTTCCAAGAGGTAGCAACTTGTGTGGCATGTCTGTATGTAAGTAAATGCAGTTTGCATGTTATTGAACCAGTTAATTGTCCTTGGAAAGTTGTATGGGATGGTGCAGACCTGAAGAGAAGGTAAAACTTCTGTTCTAATACTATTTTTTTGTGGTTTTATGTAAGAAGGACTTCGCTATGTGTGTGAAGTTGCTCCCTTAGAGGGATTTATTTTTCACAACAATGCACTCTTTCACATAAGTAATGATTCTGATGTATTCCTACATCATGGGCAGCAGCCTCAACACAGAAGTACAGGAAAAACCATTGTGTCTTGATGGCATTGCACACTATTGCAGAAATATGTGTATCTGATGTTATTGCCATTCTACCCCAGGATGAATGTTTGGATGCTTTAGTGCAGAATTTTTCCTGTATTGCAGCTGGAGATTGATAATGGACTCTGAAATACACAAATACAGACATGTTTTGTATTTGTATAGGCAGTGGGAGGCCTTAAGAGCTTGCTTGTGTGTTTTATTTTTATTTACTTAAAAATACTGTTCTGGTTGTTGTGCAAATGTTTTTTCCATTTATGCTGATAAACATTCGGACTGTATTTTTTCAGTTAAGAAAGACTCCTTAGTAATAGGAGGCTTTTAAAAAAAAAAGTGTGTTGTGATGTAATTTACTGTAAATAAATTTAGGTTAAGATGCATTGATTTTTGTATTGTCCATCCTAATGTTTACTTGATGGCTCTCTAGGCTAAAACCCACTCACAATTAATAGTAATCGACCGAGGCTTTGACCCAGTATCAACTGTCCTTCATGAACTCACGTTCCAGGCTATGGCATATGATCTACTGCCAATTGAAAATGATACTTACAAGCAAGTACTACTTTATTCTTGATCATATCTATGGAATTGTTTCGCTGAACTGCAACATGGGTATTTTTAGCTGCTTATGGTATGTAGGGATTGCTTCGATTAGTTAATAGTCTTCCTCTTGGATTTTTTAAGTTGGTTTTATTAGCTTCCTTATTTTGTTAGGTGGGACTTAACACTTTTGCTCAGCTTGATGCTAACAAATAACATTGATTTTTTTAGTTGTCTGCTTAAGTAGATCTGTGTTGTTGGTTGTTTTATTTTTGTATTTAAAAAACACATTTGAACTCAGTAGTAGACTTGAATCAAAGCTCTGATAGAGCACAGTCAGATTCCAGACTGCCTTGCTTGGTGTAGTAAGGCAGACAAGGCTACTAAGTGGACAAAAACCTTGGGGAAAAAGCTTAATTACCTTTTATCAGGAACGCTCACTTTTATAGCTCCAGTCATCTAATTTGTGTAGTCATTGCAGTTTTACATGTTTCTATCTGAAGTGCTCATTTAGGTAAGTTGTCTTGAGTTAAAATGTGTTATTTAGTTACTAATTGGAGTAGTGACACTGTTTCAGTGCTTTGCTGTTGGCTTGTCCTGACACCAAAGACATTTGAGTCTTTGCTTTCTGATCAGCCACTACAGCGAATCAGTTTACATACTCACTGTTCAACTGAACAAACAAGAATGTTTATTTTTTGTTATATGACATTAGTGTTTCTGACACTGAATTATGTGTATTTGGGATGCAGCAAGGGTGTTTCTAGGTAGAGTCACAATCTGATTTGCACAACTAATCCTTTAACTTTTCTCTTATTTTTCTGCATTCTGGCTGCACACGTTATATATGTGAGTTTCTGTAACTGAAAGTGTTGTAATATGATTGTTCATTCATTTCTTCTGTATGTTTGTCTGTAGAAAAGTAACAGTTTTCTAATGTTTTGAAGCATGTTACTTGTATAGCTGAAGTAGTTTGTACTACTTAATTGATTCTGTGGATGAAAGGGACTTTAATTTTCCTTCAGAGTTAGAGTATATTTTATATTTCATACAAAAAGCTGCATGTCTTAATATGTATTATTTCACAACCAAATGTATTTTAGAAGCTGATGAGGAATTGATGTGCATGTAAATGTATCGTTGAAACTGTAGTTGCTGTTGATTTAAAAAGAAATCCAGGAGGTACTGCCCTGAAGAACCATTCTAAAAATCATATATTCTATTCTTCTGTATTCTAAAATACAATCTGTAAAACATAAATTTAGTTCCATTTCAGACCATAGCTTGATTTCTAAGTGAAAACGAGTGTGTTACTGTTATTGCCATGTATGTTGATTAAACTATAATCATTAATACTCCCTAGAAAGTTATTAGAATGAAGAAAAACAATAAATAGTAGAAAACTTAAAAAATCAACCTGAATATTCTTTTTGAAGATACAAAGCAGATGGGAAGGAAAAGGAAGCAATTCTGGAAGAAGATGATGAGCTCTGGGTGAAGATTCGGCACAAGCATATTGCAGATGTAATAGAGTATGTATTTGAATTAATGAGCAGTAGCTAAAAGTACAGGTTACCAAGGTTTCTTTTAGGGGGTGGATGTCTGAGCTGTAAAAAGAAGTGGGAGTAGTGAAAATGGCTTGTAAAATAGTCTTCATACTGTTGAATACTTGATGCCAAGAAGAAAGTGTACTTTGAGAACCAGCATGTATGTAGAAATGCAGGTCTGTTAACGCTCATGACGTTCTTGAGTAAACCTAAAGTAAAATATTTTCCCAAGAAATATTGTAAACGGTTTAAATCCAAAGGGATTTAGCAAAAAGTGCTAATAAGTTATTTGCATAATGTCATTTGTAGCAATATTTAAAAAAAAAAAAAAGCTTGTCTAATTTCCTTTCTCTTTGTGGAAAAAGGCTTTTCTCTCTATGTCAGACTTGAATTTGAAGCTTTTACTTTCAGTTAGAACTTCTTGCTGCTCAATTCCTGTAAGATTTTAAGGAAATAACCAAGAATTATGGTCCTGTTGTATCTGATTATTTTCAATTTTTGCACAGTGAAATATCTCAACTGTTGAAAGAAGTTTCATCAAAGAAGAAAGCAACAGAAGGGAAAGTAAGTTGAGTGTTGTTTTTCCTCTTAATTTGTGTTCAGCTGACTAGATCTATGTAATTCATGTCAATTGCATTGGAGAAAAACCTGAATATACACAAACCTGTAACTATTGCAGTGTTCGAAAAATGCAAAACAGCAACAGGAAGGGAAATAACTGTCTAATATGGGGATGGAAAACTCAATTTATTTGTTTCTTTGCAGTTAACGTTATCCAGTCTGGCCCACTTAATGAAGAAGATGCCACAATATCGTAAAGAGATCACTAGGGTAAGGAGTATTTCATTACTACAGCTTAGTGGTAAGTCTTTTATACTCCATAATTATGTTGTTGATGTCTAGGTTTATTCTGTCACTTTCTTGTTGAGTGCAATATGTAACTTCATATTACGTTAATCTACTAGAAATTTTTTATAAGAACCTGTTTCCAAGTGTTTCATTTTAATACTTCAGCGTGCTTAATTGTATGTACTACTTGTGTGCTCAAAGCATTGAAGATAGCAGAGCAATTAGGGTTTTAAAAGTATTATGGGGGTCAGTCTTTACGTAAAGGGTGTAATATAGAAAATGTGTGGTGACAGTGAATAACAGTTGAAGACTGAGTTTAGTAACTGATAAAAGTGATTACTTGATATGTTTAAAAAAAAAATAAATCAAAGAACAAGCTATGACACTGGATTTTCTGTCTCCTAGCAAGTTGTCCATCTTAACATAGCAGAAGACTGCATGAGCAAGTTCAAAGCTAACACAGAAAGGCTTTGTAAAACTGAACAGGTATGTGTGAAACAAGCTGGAAAAGAAAAAAACAGCAACCTCATAAAACTGGTGCAAATGTAACTTGGTGTATATCAGCACCTAACCTTCCAAAACCAACCAAGTTACATTTGCATCAGTTTTTATATAATATGTAGTGTATATATGTCTGTAACATTTATTATAGTGTATCCATATATACTATATATACTAAGTATGTTACAAATACAATAATTATACATAATGATATAAGTATCTATATGTGTATATGGCTGCACTAGTGTACATCATTTTTTCTTGTTACATTTGGAGTCAGTAATACTGGAATGTAATTAAATGTCCAAGATTCTTAATGATGAAGTGTTGCTGTTAGTCTTCTTTGCATTTGAATCTAGCTGATCTGTATAAAGGTTACTTTCATGTTTTCTTTCTAATCTCCAATGTAGTTGCCCTACTATGTTCTGACAAAGGAAACATTTTCTGACTATCTGAGCAAAGCACGTGTTTGAATTACAGTTGTAATTACAGTTATACTAGCAGTCTTAATTAAAAACTAAGATCGTTTTGATGTGAACTTTGGATTACTGCATCAAAAGAGGGTGGCCGGTGGGGAGAGGGAAGTGATTGTCCCACCTCTGCCCTGATGGGGCTCTATCTGGGCTACTGGGTCCAAACCTGGGGCCCCTGTTACAGGAAGGATGCAGAGCTGTTGGAGCGGCTCCAGAGGAGGGCCAGAAAGATGATTATAGATCTGGAGCACCTCTCCTATGAAGAAAGGTTGAGGGAGCTGGGTTTGTTCCTCTTGGAGAAGAGAAGGTTCAGGGAGACATTGCTGTATCCTTCATGTACTTGAAGGGAGTTTGCAAGCAGGAAGGGAGACTCAAGCTCAAAGAAGGCAGTTTTAGATTTGATGTCAAGAAGAAATTTTTTTCTTGGACAGTGGTGAAGCTCTGGAATGCATTCAAGGCCAGGTTAGATGAGATCCAGTCAGTCATGTTTAGTGGCTGGCAACCCTGCTTGTGGCAGGGGGATTGGAACTAGGTGAACTTTATTGTCCCTCCCACCTAAGCCATTCTGTGATTCTACTGTAACGTGACAGATTAAATTGTTTTCTAATTGATGTTTCGGAAGTGTTTTGAGTAATAGAATATTATAATTTTGGAGGAGGGGAGAGGGATAAAATTGTTTTTTATTGTAGCTTGGAAGGAATCTGTAACAACCTGACATCTTATCTCTAAAATACTGATACATCAATGGCTGTAGCTGCTTGCATTTCAGCTGCTGGCTCATCTCTTTTAAGCAGATGGAATGTCTTCTATAATTTTTAGGAGACTTTAAATCTGTTTTGCCTGACCTATAATCTAGGATCTTTTTCAATGTCCAGTGCAAACTGAGCTGCAATTTTTCAACTGCGTAATACAGTATTATTATAATCGTGTAATTCTTGAAATAATTAAGTCAAAATCTTTTCATAATGAGTTTAAATGGATGTGTCTTGTTTCTCTTTTTTTCCCTGTGGCCTACATTTGATAAAAATGTATTTCAAAACAGGCAAAAACTACACTTTGCTTAGATGACTATTCACTAACGTTATTTGCTTTCTTTTTAATTTAGGATTTGGCTCTTGGAACTGATGCAGAAGGTCAAAAAGTGAAAGACTCCATGAGAGTCCTCTTTCCGGTTCTGCTCAACAAAAGTCATGACAGCTATGACAAAATTAGAGCTATTCTCCTGTATATCTTCAGCACAAATGGTATGTTGAGCTGCCTTGCTTTATGTCTCAGTGTTATGGAATGAATTTCAAATTTTATGGTAGAGCTCAGTATTTTTACTGAACTTAAGCAGCTGGCCAAGTTTGAAAGAAATACTGTCTATCCTCTGTAGCTTCTCTCCCCACATATGACATGAAAGGTAATAAAGATACACTTGATAAAGAAATATGGATTTAAATACAAGCACAGATCATATTCTTTAATATCATTCTTGTGCTTGAATATGTACAACATAATTTTTCTCCTTTTCGTGCAATACTGGAGTGTTAAAGGGGAGGTCTGTGTCCAATGAATGCAACCTGAAAATGGGGAATAATTTGTACTAAAGGAATGGTTAAAATCCAGAATGTAGGTTTAAAGAATCTTTAACAATACTGGATTGTGTTCTCATAAGAAGACCTCTGAACAATGTTTTTATCTAAAATACGGATTATGCTAAAATTATTGTGTACTGGCTAATCAAAAAAGAAAACAAACAAAAAACCCAACCAAACAAAAGTAATAATTAAAAAACAAACCAGCCCAGAATGCTGTAAAATTGGTCTCGCTGACAGTCATACGGTAACTAAGTTATGTTTTTCTTATTTCAAAGGAACTACCCAGGAGAACTTGGACAAGCTGATCCAGAATGTACAAATAGAAAGTGATAGTGATATGATAAGAAACTGGGAATACCTTCATGTTCCTATTATCTCTTCAGTAAGATTTCTTTTTAAATGTCCTACTGTCCAAGCACTTGCCTATACCTTTCAGCAACTCTTATTTCAGCAGTATTGATCAGGACTCTTTTTTGGAAGCAAGCAGTTACTCACTGGTCTTGCTTTCATGATGTGTCTTTGAACAATTTACATGAATGATTTTCAAAGAGAGATACCTATAATGCTTCCTCTGAAACCATCAGATGAGGTGACTTGAGCTATTTGGTTTTGGGAAGCGCTTGTTTACACAATTACTTGTCTCTGAAAGGTGTTTCTCTAGGACATCCTGAGTTTTTGTGGCATGATTACCTGTAGAATGATTTTCAATTATATAATGGTATGATTGTAATAGATGATCACTTTAAAACTCCCTACTGACTCTTCCCCACCTGCTGCAAACTTTTAAAGTTTTGGTGAAACCCAAATGTCCTGTATAATATAACTAACATCTTAAAAATCTCTTCAGTCATCTGTTCAGCAACAAAAGCAACCAAGGAGGGACCGCTCTTCTGAAGAAACTTTTCAACTCTCTAGGTGGACACCTCTTATAAAAGATGTTATGGAGGTAAATTTGACCCATTCATTATTTTGTGAGCACACTGCAGAGAGAAACAAAGTGTGCAGCTGTATTCAATCTTTTGAAATACCACAATATTATATATTACTTCTGTTTAGTAATGACTTCTAATCTCTTGATAACCAGAGTGCTGGCAGTTGAAACTCAATGGGCTTTTGTTTTCCATGGCTTTTCCAAGTGAGTCGTTGTCTTTCAGGATGCTATAGAAAACAAACTGGATTCAAAAGAGTGGCCTTATTGTTCCCAGTGTCCTCCTACCTGGAATGGCTCGGGAATAGTAAGGTAAACTATCTAATTTTTTCAGAAGTAAATTTACCTATTTATTGACATTTTTGTCATATATGTTGCAAGGTATTATGGAAGCTAATTTAAGTGTAAAAATTCATATAAGGTAATATTTGAAGTGTAAAACTCCTTTTTTTTTTTTTGATTCACCTAAAACTTGATTGTTAATTTAGTAACTCTTCTTAGCCTTGGGTAGCTTATTATTTAGACTTATTTTATTTAGCTTTTTTTGCCTCACATTTAGAAATGTATTTTCATGTTCCCAGTAAGAGAAAGCTGAATAACTTTTAGTAGGTTAGTGTGAAGTTTTAATAATGGATGATCATACTATGACTTAAGCATAATGGATTTTTTTCACTACCTCTGACAGTTACTTCTGCGATGGTGTTTCATGGCATCGTTCTTAAAAATAATGGCTTGAGTTTCATATTCAACCTCTGTTGCTTATTTGCATGATTACGTTCTGCAATTGAACCCTGTTATAGGGGTTGTTTGCTTAGCAGCACTGAGAGGGAATTATGGAATTTTTCTAGCTTAGTAAATTGTACTTTTCTGCTTTATCCCAGTAGTTCTTGAATCTCCAGGCTGGTATCTGCCTATTTAACAATGTTACCACTTCTAGTAGTATGAATTAAATGGTGACACAGCTGAGAAGAGGTAATAAGTGTTCCCACTGTTGAAGAGCTGGATTTTTTTTTGCTCATAACACTAATCAGATGCTAGAATTCATAGGGAGTGAAACATCACACATCCTAAGAGTTGAGTACTCACTGGAATTTGTATCTTACATAAGACTAATTTCAAGATACAGTCTTAGGAAAACAGTTCTGTTACTTCCACTGTTTACCACATTGCTGGTGTGTCCTTATGTTCCCAGACTTTTGCTAGAATTATCAGTGCCAGGAAATAATCCAGTCATAGAATGGCTTAGGTTGGAAGGGATTGAAAAAATTATCTAGTTCTAACCTCCAAATAGTCCACCCTACAAATCCATAGCTTTCCAATTCAGAGATAAGGATATGATGCAGGACTATGACTGTAATAAATATAGCCCATAAATCAAATCCCTCTGTATTGTAACCACTTCTTTGTCTTATAAGCTGATGAAATTTGACAATAGTTTATGCAACCAAGCAAAGAGATTGAGTGCTGATGGTTTAATTTGAATCTACTATTAGTGTTTGTATACATACATATATAGATGGCAAAATATTTTTTATGAGCTTTGTTTTTTCTCTTCCTAGATTTCTGAATCTTTCTTGATAGCAGAAAGATTATTAGTTTTATTCTGCTCATGGAGACTGTAAAACTTAAGATTTTAGCTTTTTCAAATGAACTTTGAAAGCTGCCGCTGTAACTGATAGCATGAGAACTAAGTTTCTTAGTAGAGAAGCAATGAGGGTTTTGCTTTGTATTTATTTTCCCTTTTGATAGTAGAATAGCTTCTGTGTAATGTTCAAAATTACTGTTGTAGTTAACAATTGATCTAAATTTTGTTGTATGAGCTGCAGGACAGAAGCTGTTGCTGCTGTTAAGTGTATCATTTTTACAGACAAATAGATCATTACAACTATGTGAATGTTATGAAATGCATTGCAGTGCTCGCCAGAAGCCTAAAGCTAGTTATCAAGATGAGCGAAGGAGTAATGCAAGATTGATTTTATTTGTGATTGGAGGAATTACGTACTCGGAGATGCGCTGCGCTTACGAAGTTTCTCAAGCCTACAAGTCTTGTGAAGTTATCATTGGTAAGTCTAGCTTGGGGAAGGGGAAGGGTGGTATGTAGCAATTTACTTCAAGCACAAGTATGTAGTCTTGAAATGCTTTTCTGTTTTAGGATTTCCTAGTATAGTTGTTAATGCATGGGTCACTAGCTGGAGTAATAATCTGTTACTACTTGTAAGGCAGCAAGTACTTTTTCCATCAGCTGCTGTTCTCCAAGGCAAGTAATCATTTATTGCAATGCTGTTTATATGTAAGTATGAAAACATTGGGCTGTGCTATATATCAGAATTCCCACATACAGAACCTTACAGAGACCTATAACCGTGTGTAGTGGCAGCAGTTTTCTGGATGCAGGATCATCCAAAACATCCTAAATTGCTTGGGATGCTTATATTTGGCAACTAAGTTTAGTTCTAAGTGCCAAGAAGTATTTACTCTATCTACCAAAACACAGATAAAAATACTCTTCCATAAAGCAATGACAGCCTTGATGCTAAGCTATAGAATCTGCTATCAACAATTGTATAGAGCTGGATTTCTATTATCACTGATGGCTGTTGAGGTAGGTTTAACACTGGTCCTACTTTTGACTTGCAATTGGAAATCCAGGATAATGAGCATATAGTTTGACAAGACAGTTTCCTCATCTGAGAGTTGTTTCCAAAACTGTATGTAGTGTATATCTTTTCCAATGTGAGGCGTTAAATTCAGCACCTTTTTTCCTTTTGTAAAGAAGCTCTTCTTGTAGTTTTGCTTATGATCCTGCTGTCTGAGGTAAGGTAATAATTGCCAACTTCCTATGCTGCCTACTTCAAAGTGAAAGCCTTACACTATTCTGAATTATAATTTTAAAGAATACTAGACTGCTTGGATTGACACTACTAAAACTGTTGAAGACAGCCCTAACCTTAAGTAGTGAAGGTTTCCCTTTAGAACTGGAGGGTGATCCTTCAAGGCAGAAGCTAATTCTCCATGAGAACAGAAGGGATTGTTATGAGCTCTTCAGTAGTATGAATTTTGTTCTGAATTTGGAATTTGCTGTAAAAGTTTCAGGAAAATGTTGGTCAATAAAAGCATAATTTCTGTGATTTTTCTATGTGAAACTACTGTTCATGATAATGTGTAGTGCAGGTATTTTTATTGATTTTTAGTATAAAGCCTGTCACACTGACAAAATGGGCAGACTTCCTACAGTCTATTGGATAGAGCTGGGGGGGCCATGTTAAAGCCTGTGATTCAAACCAGTCAGAGTAGGGACTTGAAACCGGTGTCCAAACTAAGAGTTGTAAGTTTGCAGTCTTTGCCACCCCCTCTCTGCTTCTCCAGTCTCTCCTGGTCCTGAAATACTGGCAGGCTTCACTTAACTGAGGGCAAAGGGCAGAGTGTCAAGAGACATGGTGCTTTCTTCTCAATATCTTCGGTGTGGGGAAGAGATGCTACCTAATCATGACAGTTTAATTGTTATGATGCTTTATATAACACACAAAAACGTTTTGAACTGTTGTACTTTTCTGATGACCAGGTACAGAAAAAAAACACGAGTGTATCATCTTTTAGCTGGTACTTTTATGTATATATTTGTGCATATAATATTTAGCTATATATTTATGTTACACAGCTGTGGTTTTTACCATATATAATATATTTTTAAGAGGGAATGATTGTAAATCATACCTGTATCAGACTGAAATTGTTGTTTTGTCAGGTTCTACACATGTTTTGACACCTAGAAGACTACTGGATGAAATCAAGAGCCTTAATAAACCGAAGGATATGGTCTGCATTAAGGATGAGTAGGAATGGCCATGCTTATGATGCTTCAGGCATCAAAAAACCAGTATGGAACACGTACATGTTTTCACACTGCTGACTCTTCCAGTTAGTGTAGTGGGACACAGTATGTTTCTGACTAATTGAATGTCACTTTAAATTATGAAGTTGCTGCTTTTTGGGGGGGAAGTAGAAGGCAGAAGGGAAAAAATAATCAGGGTGTGCTTTTTGAGAAGGTTTTGTTCATTCCTAATAAATTATATGAAAGTTGTTCAGATTATATATGAACTGTAATTGTTTTTGAAAACTGTGAAACATTTTTGTAATAGTTGATTTCTAAAACTGACTGAATTAAAAAGGGTCTAGGCACTTAAAGGCTTCAGATGAAAGTCTGCAAATAGAAGTGCTAAAACATTCCACAGAAGTGCTAAGACATTCCACACAAGTGCAATGTCTCTGACATTGTCTCTGACATTGTCTATGTAAGATAACTCACTGGAAACATCAATTATATGTCATTAAAATACTTTTTTTTTTTTCAAATGGTAGTGGGTAAGGTAGAAATATAATCATGGACATATCGAGCAGTTCTGATTTCAATAAATAGCTTTGGATAAATGCAGTTAATTGTGGACCAAAGTATGCTGTACATTCAAGTATGTACAGAAATTATTACTAAAGCTTCTCAAATACAATTTCTTATAAACTCCTTTTTTGTCTACATAGTCCATCTATTTAAGAAATGAAATTCCCTATGACAGTATTCTACTGGTTCCCAAACAATGTTAAAAAAAAAAAAAAGAAGCTTAAATTTCTGGGGCAGAGGGAGAAGAGATGAGAGGAAAAGAAGGGAAAGCAGATGGTTAATCTTTGTCAGTACTTGATTTTTTTTAATAAAGAAAAGAGCAAGCTATCATCACAACATGATCTATTTAGAGAATTTACTGTTCTCTTCTTTGTGTATATATGTTTGTGTTGAAGTGGATCGAATAAATTGTATTCTATAATACTGCTAATGTTTGTTTGTATTAAAAAGTTATTTAAGTGCAAATTTAATAACGTTTTAAGGGGATAATATTGTACTGAGATGCACTGATATACTAATTTGTTAAATAAGAAGTGTCATAATGTCACCTAACATATGAGTCAGGTTTCAGTATTCATTATCTCCAGGCTGTAAGGGTATTCACTTCTGGTTTTGCAAAAAGATTTGGTTTGTTGTCCTCCAGCTAACTGGTGGGTTAAGAGAATGTATTTGCTAGTTAAGTTCATTCAAAGTTAATTGAAAGGTGCAGATTTTTTTTTTCCTTTCTCCTCCTTTTAAAGCAGTTTTATAATCTAAAAAAAGGGGAATTTAAAAGCAAATGCAGAACAAAATAATATCAGAATGTCCTACTTAAGGACCAAACTGACAAGTTGTAGAAAACCCATTTTATTGACATTGATTTATTGCATAGAGTTAAAGAAATATCAATTGGTAATGCTAAAGTAAGTCTCCCTATTCAGCATTTAGACTTTGTCCAAGTGAGAGGAAATCAGGCTGAGAGTGGAGGCTGTTCAGTCTGGAGAAGAGAGTCCTGGTAGTGGCCTTTCAGTAAAGCAGGGCTGGGAGAAAGAAAGGGATGGGATTCTTTAGCAGAGTCTGCTGTGACAGGATGGGGGAAATGGTTTCAAACTAAAGAAGGGAGGATTTAGATTAGATATACGAAAAAAGTCCTTTACAGTATGGGTAGTGAAGCGTTGGAACAGGTTGCCCTGAGAAGTGGTGGATGCCCTGTCCTTGGGATATTTAAGGTCAGGCTGCACTGGGCTCTGAACAACCTGATGGAACTGTGAACATGCCTTCACTCTCAGGAGAGTTGGACTAGATGATCTTAAAAGGTCCCTTCTAAGTCAAATGATTCTATGATATATTTTGGATACATCTCTGATACATACACAGCTGTTAACTGTCTGCTTGCTTTTAATTGCTATGGTTAAATGGGTATCACTAGAAAAATCACAGAACAGTTTTTAAAAACTCTGTAGCCTACATCATCAGCTAGAAATATCAGTCAGATATATCAGACAAGGTAAGGACATCTGAGTGAAGCAACAGTTTAACTGTTGGGAATAGGCAAACAACCGATGGCATTACCCAGTTTCTGAGACATGCAGGGATCTATCTGAAACAAAACACTCTCAATGTAGGGCACTCCAGAAATAATTACATGCTTTAAATACGACTTGCTATTCTAGCATCCTGCTTACAGGTGCAGATCCTGCTTCTATTTCCTGTGTGTTTGAGCAGCTACTTTGAAAGTGTGAAAAGCAAATGTATGTTGGAGTGAATGGAGCTCATTCTGCTCTTTGGGGGTGGAGGGAAATAGAAATTAAAAAAACTAACTTTGCTTGATAAGCCAGTTTTTATGAAGCTACCTGATATGGATGCTTAACGAATGCTTAGGGAAGGCAGTTGTAAGCAGCCAGCCAAAACATCAAAGACTTCAATAGATAAGCAACTCATTTTCCAGTTCAGACACTGCGTATAAACGTGGAATACTGGTATGTACCAGTTAGTACTGACAATCATAGAACTAAAGCTAGCTGATTTTCTAACCTTTGTCATTTTATATTTGTAGAGATGTTCATAATTTATAACCAGCAGAAAAATGTAGCATCTGATACTAGATGGTTAAAGCTGTTTTCTTCTAGCTTTAGTTAGATCTTCTGAAATTGCTTGCACCATTTTTTCTGTAGCTTTCTTCAAACTGTTTGCTGTCTGTATTGCATGATCCAGAGTAGAATTTAAAATCTGTTGGAAGCAGTAAAATACAGCTTTGCTGAATGCAGTTGTATCCATAGGTATAGAATAGGAAGTGCTGTGTAGTTAAGGTTCTCTGTAGCTTTTTCAACAGACCTACTCTGAATACACATTGAGAAGTAAAACATGTATTTTGAAGGCTATTCAAGGATTTAAGTTGAAGTGTTTGCAGGATTACACAAAGAGAAATAAGTAACAGTGTTGAAATGAAACTACAGGACAAGAAGCTCTTGTAATGGAGGGAGAGTAAGGATGGCTTAGAGCTGTTAAGGCAGTTTTACCTATAGATTCTGCAATTATCATTCACATTTGAGAAACACAATGTGTTATATACGTGTGTGTATTAACACACAATGTGTTAAGTAGTAATATATTTTTGTATATTATAACTATACTGCATAAGTAATACTAAGATGACTTTCTGTATTCACCTAAGGAGCTCTACCTTATACTAAGCTTTATGTGAATGTAGTGAATTTATATGTGATTTTGAAGTGGAACAAAAAATTTCAGGTGTCTAACTTCGTACTTCATCCTGTTCCATAGTGGACTAGATGAACTTAGATTGAGATAATCGTGTGTTAAGAAAGGGGATGTTCAACAGTGCCATGATATGGGGGTACATTTTTTTTTTTTTTGATTAGTTGTAAGGTTCCTAATTTTCACTCTCAAGTCTTACGTTTATGTTGAAGTCTTTGGCAGTTCTGTTTCTGATGTTGATCGCAGACGCGTTTCGGGCAGACTTCTTGCTGGGTAAGCATTAATGTGAAAGGATTATTTGATCATCTGTGTTTGCAGAGCAGGTTTCATCAGCCTCAAAATTTTGTCTTAATGTAGTAGGTAATGAAATACACAACTTGATAAGCCAAGGTATTTTCAAACTGTGAATTTGATAATTTTGGTAACCTGTATTTTCAAGTCTGTTTTACAGTGACTAAACTATAAACTTGCAGCTGATCATAATCTATATTGCAGTAAAACAAAATAGATTCCAGAACGCAGCCAAGAAATCTCTCCTAAAAACATCATTTTCTTGGTACTGTAACTTCTGAGTAGTCTGTGCCACAGATTCTCAAATGTGGCTACCATACTTGCCAGAGATTACTGTTATTTGGTAAAGCTGGTAAAACTTATGGTCACAGGATTTGTTTCAGTTCATGTAGTCTGTGCTGTGGTTAAGAATCCATTTTATTTCCCAGATTCTATGACTTAGACTTAATTTGTAGAGGTTCTGTATTATTCTAGGGATCTGTGAATGGGAAAGTGGTTATATAATAATAAAGAGTTAGTTTTTCTCGAGATGGAGAAGTATGTATGTCAGCTGAAGCTTGATTCATTAAACTACAAAGATAGAAGAACTACTCAGGTCATTATTTACATTATGGTATTTCATTACTGAGTCAAATTGTAATGCGTAGCATGCTCTGCAAGAGGTAAAGCATTGCCCCTGCTTATGATATGATGACTCTTTCAGTGCTGAACCTTTACTAATGGCATTTCTTGTTATCACGCATGCACACATGCAATTGTTGTAGCTTACCTTTCAGAAAGTCTGTTGACAGGTTCAGGAGGCTGTTGATTTGTTTGAGTCTTTTGACTGGGGATTTTCTTCTGCGAATAAGCTTAGGACATTGAAGCCATGTGCAGAAATAAAAGCGAAGAGAAATGTTGTATACATCTAGCATCTTTCTCTGTGCAGCGTAAAACTCAATTTCACAAGGCTACTGAATAAAAATCTGAACATGTTAAGAATTTATCTAAATGAGACCAAAATATTTCTTTGCGTTCCTTTTTTGGGTTGAGTTTAGCTCTTGAACGAATGATGTATAGATTTGTATTGCATTTCTTAACAGTGAAAGACCCCAGAAAGAAAGTGTTGCATAATGGCATAATCTCAGCCTAATAATGATGTGCCACTTTGATGCAGTGTTTTTCTGTCTTAATAGAGAAATAGCTAACCTGTACTTTCTGCTCACTGCTGAAGAGTTGATCAATTCAACTGAAGGTACATACTGCATTCAGTTTATTCCTACAGTACAAAGAGTCTAATAGAGAAGTGACTTTAAAAGCTAGATGTTCAATGTATTTTAAAAACTACGCGATCCTTGACTTTGCTGTATGTCACACAGTGCAGAGCTGAGCTGGTATTCCCTTTTAATACTTGTTTATAGTATGTATAGTAACAGCCAGTAATGAAAAGGTTGGTGTAATTATGGCCAGTTTTAATATTCTTCTGTGTGGCATTGGAAAACTGGCGATGTTACTGTTTATAGTGAAATATGGGACTTGTCAAAGAGCAGTACAGAAGGTGGTAGCTTTTGTGCACAGGGAATTAAACTCGGGTAGGTGTGTAAATGTTGGATTTGCTCACTTACTGTTTAGCTGAAGTGCTGTGTGGCTTGCTCATACTAAATGAAAGCTTGATACATGCACAATATAGCTTTTTTTGTTTTTGAAACTAACTCGTAATTGAAAATTACTTCAGTAATGTGTTATACTTACATGTTGAACCAGAGTTTTTATTTCTATGTGGAGTGCAAGACTGAACAGATTCCTTGTAGTTCCTGAGTTTAAATGGATTTTGGCTTTCTCTAGAGCATCTGCATTTAAATCCTGAAACAAAGACAAATCATTGAACAATTGGAACAATGCAAAGAAGAAAACTTTGTGTCGATTTGGGTATTTTTCAAATCATTATACCTTTTCTCTCTCTATGTAGTCTTGCATGGAATATTTTGTGACTTTCACATTTCATAAATTCATTGCTTTGTGAACCATAAGAACGGTAGGCTGAGATGGCTTCTGAATCATTGCCTAAAATCCCAAAACACATGAAAAATATCTGAAATACTAAAATTTTTGGCTTGTGCATGTAAGTCATTATTTAACTTTAGCTAAATAATTTCTGAGCCCTTCACAGTCAGTAACAGTTCTGCAGTTTGAGGTACTTTTCCATTCATTTTACAGGTGTCTGAGCTGTTAAGAATGGCTTTCAGCTCTTACTGTAAGCACTTCTTACTGTTCTTTTTGGTATTAGAAGCGTTAAAAAAAAAAAAAAAACCTACAAAAAACAACACAACAACAAAACAAAAACAATGAAATGCTCCCCTTTTCCTGTCCTTAGGTTTTTGCTCTGCAGGTCCAAATGGCTGAAAGTTGAAGTGTTATACAAACAAGGCAGCCTAAGAACATGATAGAAGCTGG